TTTGAAATTTTCAAAATTGACTTTTGTTAATTTTAAACCTATATTTATAGATTTTGATGAAGAAAATATATATTTAAGGTTATTCAACGTTGTTTCTTTGCTTTTGTGGCTAAATGTTAGTAAAAGGCGGAAATATAGCTATATTTCTCCAAAAATTGCGAGATAGTATTAAAAGGAAGAGCGCGTAAGACAGTCAGATAAATCAAGCCCAATCCAATGGTAACGAGCGCTTTCAAGATATATTGGTGTATGAAGAGATCTATAGGATTAATATCCACAAACAAGGTTAGCCTGTCGTTCTGGCTCTCATAAGTAGCTAGAAATTACTAATTTTGGAATGTTTGGCTGATAAGTTAAACTAATATAAAGTTATAACTAACTAATGCATTTTTCAAATTGTTTTATAAATTTCTGAAAAAGTAAAATTCGAAGTTACAACAGTAAGTTTTTTAACTTTTTTATCTTAAAAGCAAGATAATATGGCTAACCTGGCTGTACACTTCCAAAAACTATCATATATATAGTGCGTCTTAAACTTTTTTAGGTTAAAAACAATCATAAAATAAACTTTGCATCTAGATGTGTGCAGATTAGAATATAACTAGGGAGAGCGTATAATAAAGAGACCGTAAGACAGTCATACAAAACCAAACTCAATCAAAAGGTAATGAACGCTTTAAAGACCTTTTAGAGTATGAACAGATCTATAGGATTAATATCCACAAACAAGGTTAGCCTGTCGTTCTGGCTCTCATAAGTGGCTAGAAAAAATAAATTTTGGAATGTTTGACTAATAAGTTGAACGAATATCAGTACAGTGAAACCGTTTAAATTCGTTGAAGCTCAGCGTGCATGCTGGCGGCCAAACATTTTGACCTTTTATTAAACCGTTTATTTACTTATCGATAGTAACACACTTTCTTTAAGTTTACGTTTTTACTACTAGTATACTGCTGTAGTACTATTTATATACGTGTTGAAAGACTTTTGTTTTGATGACATCCTTGTTAATCCGTCTATTGTAAGATTCCCTTCACCATGACTGTTTACTGTGTAAATCACCCCAAATCTATAGTATTTTAGGCCTTCGTACAGATTCTGTTCTTGTGTATGTTGTTTTTGTAAATATAATTCTAGTACGGGTATCGGATATACGTCTCTCATGACCAAAAAACTTACACTCTTTGGCTTTGTCGAGTACGCAAACACGTGCTCTTACTTTAACTTGCTCGCTTTATAATGTTATAGTTTCCGAGTTTTTTATTTTTAACATTTTCAGCTTGGAGGGGGGGGGGGGGCGATTGGCTAAAAAATCGTTGTAGTTACACTCTACAACTTTTTGTCTTAGAAAAGCTCAAACTTGTGAGCCAGCCCATAATTACGTATGAAAGACTTTTGGCCAAGTACTTAAAGGATGTCCTTTGAGTACGATGTGTGCACTTGGAGATAGATGTATGTGTTTGTTGTTATTGACTCTGTTAACAGCTTTTTTTACTAACCACAACATACGCTTCCTTTTGGTTTTGGCTTTTTTATTTCTGGAGGTACTATTTAGTACTATGTTACATATAACATAAGTTAAAATATGATTTTTCATTCACAGTAGTTCTTTTCTAGTAAATTCACTCAAAGCCCAATCAAAATTATCCAAATACTATGTAACAATACAAGTATATGTATGTTTGTTTAGTAACGTAGCGACCGTATAATTTATGGTGTTTTTTCGTATCTTGGGTGGTCTTCGCCTTTTACTTTTAGTGTTGTTTTGCATTGTACTCTATAAATTTTAATTGAAAATTATGTTCGTTTCAATATTACGGAAGATCTTTTTTGCCATTTACCTTTAATTTTCGATCATTTTTTTAAATTTATTTTAATTTTCAAACTTTTTTTTACACAACATCTACTAAAATGACCAAACCTTGAAGACAACCAAATCAGTCTAATCGTATTTCACTGACAAGATACGATAATTAGTGTCAATAATTTGAAGCCTTTTCAGTATTCGAATTCATTTCAATTACTTTTGCAAAAAATGGCTTTGTGGCCAGAGAAAAGCCCATAAAAACCGTCTCTCTTCGACCGCAGTAAAAGGTCACAAGATACGAAACATGAAAAAAGTGAAACAAATTTATTTGAAATAACATGTCTTTATATAGCTATTATTGTTTTAATTTTTTATTGTAAAATTATTGACTTTAGCAATTGATTTAGACTTAATAATAAATTTTGGTATATTTTATCTTTTTAAATAGTAAAAAAAATTGGCTTACATTAATCGAATGTTAACAATCTCACAGTATTGATATTCGTTCAACTTATCAGTCAAACATTCCAAAATTAGTCGTTCTAGCCGCTTTTGAGAGCCGGAACCACAAGATAACCTTGTTTGTGGATATTAATCCTATAGGTCTGTTCATACTCTAAAAGGTCTTTAAAGCGCTCATTACCTTTTGATTGGATTTGGTTTTGTCTGACTGTTTTACGCGCTCTGTTTCTGATATGATCTTTTTCTTACTATCATATCATATCATATTTGATATATAAAGCAACTTATATTTTGAGCTTCCAAAAGTACTCAATTCACATAACGTAAAGAGTATTTTGAACTTTGAGTATTACAGTTTTACTTCTCTATCATTTTACCTTCCTTTCTTTCTACGTACGCTTACTACGTAATTCTAAATGCTCTTAAGTGTTCTTTTAGATTTAAAAGTGCATTGGGTTCAAAATTTGAATTTCAAAGTACTCACACTGTTGTTAGTACATAAGGAGAAGAGAAAAGTACGCAAAATACTCAAATATTGTTCTTGATATGGTTATTTTTTTTGAAGAATCCACATAAGTAATAAGAGTATGGATAGTAAAGTATATAAAGGTATAGATAGCGTATAACATAGCTGTAATAACTTACTTTAATAGACTATAAGACGAAGAATAATAACAGAGAAAGAGCGCGTAAGACAGTCAGAGAAAACCAACGCCAATCAAAAGGTAAATAAAACAAGTTTAAAAAACAACATTAGCTTGTCAAAAGTTAACATTAGTCCAACATATCAGCCGAACATTCCAAAATTAGTAATTTCTAGCCACTTTTGAGAGCTAGAACTACAAGCTAACCTTGTTTGTGGATTTAATCCTATTGCTTTGTTCATACTGTCAAAGGTCTTTAAATCGCTCATTACTTTTTGATTGGGTTTGATTTTCTCTGACAGTCTTACCCTCCCTTTATTTTTTTAGTCTCTTGTTACTTTATGCCTAGCGCTATGATTTTATTATGCATTTTATTTCCTCCCTAATAAGACGTAGTTTGATAGAGAGTTCGTAAGACGAAGACGTAGTTTGATAGAGAGTTCGTAAGACGGTTAGGGTAAACCTAACCCAATCATAAGGTAATGAGCGCTTTAAAGACCTTTTAGAGTATGAACAGACCTATAGGATTAATATCCACAAACAAGGTTAGCTTGTGGTTCTGGCTCTGCACAGTGGCTAGAAATTAATAATTTTGGAATGTTTGGCTGATAAGTTGAACTAATTTTTAAATTTATTTGCAGCAATCGTATTTTACAATTTATATTTTCTGGCCAGAACTTGATCTCACAATGTTAGTTGAAAATATATACCGTTAGTTACGAAACTCGCAGGTTTATCAATATTACGATACAGTGGAACTCCTGTATAACGAATCGCTCGGGGACTTGAAATTTATTCGTTATAAAGGAGTTTCGTTATACAGGAGTTTTAAATGCACTGTGTATTGATAGACGGGGATTCAAAAGTTGTTCGTTATACGGGAGTTTCGTTATAGAAGAGTTCGTTATACAGGAGTTCCACTGTAACTAAAAACGGTATTGGTTAAAGGATTATTCAACTCAAGAAGATTTTAAAAAATTTGTGCTGGTTTGTTTCACCAAAGAGTATTCAGCAAAGCGAGAGTCCAAGAGACAGTTAGAGAAATTAAAACCCAACCAAAAGGTAATGAGCGCTTTTAAGACCTTTTAGAGTGTGACTATAGCTATAGGATTAATATCCACAAACAAGGTTAGCGTGTGGTTCTAGCTCTCAAAAGTGGCTAGAAATTAATAATTTTGGAATGTTCGACTGATAAGTTGAACGTATAACGTTAATAATGACTACAAGGAAACATCTTTAGTATGACCCTCAATAGTGTGCCACCATTTTATACATTATGACAGCTCCAGACTCTTTGGTCCAGTCCTGTAATTGCATTAGCTTTTATAGTCCGCTACTTGGCTAATTTTAAACTTTTTTAAATTTTTAGAGCCATACCTCAAGGTGTTTATTATATTAAAATTCTACTACGTCGTACAACTTTCTTTATTCTTGTTATGCCTACAGTTCCGTGTTGTTGTACTTGAGCATATTTTAAAAGTAAACACATTTAGCGTTAAGCGGTTTAGGCGCTACAGTAATACCAACAAAGCGATAATAACCGTGAAGGAATCTGTTGGAATATGTTCGAATAGAATTATGAGCGTCCTCGTCCTCTTTTCGGATGTCTTCGATACAGAGAGCGGGCCCCCCTCAGGCCGTCGGGCCCGCTCACAATGGATAAAACTTTTTTCGGCCGCCGCTTTTTATGGCCAGATTCCAAAGCGCCGCGGGGATTTGGCTAGCAGTTTATTAAACCGCTTTTAAGGGGGTGTCATCAAACTATAATAGATTATTCGATATCAGATAAACACCATATTGGACTTGTCTGGGCGTGGGGAAAGTCGTGCAAGGCTGATATTGTAGATTTGTCTACTATAATATAGTTTTTTTTTATGTTTTTATAATTACATATTAATAATTTAGAGTCGTATTTTAGTTAAACAAACGTCATTTCATTGTAAAACTGACATGCTTATACTAATAGTAACCTTATTTTGACTCGAATTTTAGTTGAAAGTATTACATAGCGTACTGTAAAATAAGAAAATCATTTGAAAAATTTATTTTGATCTAAAATACGACTTAAAATGCAATTTCAGCCCCAAATGTCGGCAGTCGGCACTCCAACGACCAAAAAGAAAGAGAAGGAAGAAGAAAAAGAGAAAAAGTTCCTAGGGTACCTCTCCTTCAAACTCGACTACGACTTCGACAAAAATGCCGTAAGTTCTATACATAAAACGTTATCACAACATTCATATCAAACGAATTTTTTATCAATTTTGTGCAAAAAAGGCTCATTTTCAGCTTTGCACAGTGCAATAACTACAAAAACTGCACCGTACAATTTACTTTTCGATTAAAATTAAACCCAAAATTTTAAATTTCATATCAAAAATAATAAAAAAAAATAAAATTAAACTTTTCAGTTGACCGTGCTAGTCATAAGTGCCGAATCCCTACCGGCAATGGACCTGGGTGGCACTTCAGATCCTTATGTGAAAGTATACCTACTGCCTGATAAGAAAAAGAAATTCCAAACAAAAGTTCAACGAAAATCATTGAATCCCGTCTTCAACGAGTCATTTACCTTTAAAGTAAGTTTTAAAAAAGATAATCACTATAAGAACTATCTGTTACAAAATATTTTACATTGAAACTATAGTTTACAGCTCTTGTTTTATAAAACAAGTCAAAGTAAACCCAACTTGATAAAAGCAACATTTCGAAGCCAACAATTTGACACTCAAGATGTACAGAAGATAAAATTAGATCATAATTATAAATTTCAGGTGCCATACAGTGAAATCGGCGGTCAAACATTAGTCCTGAACGTCTTTGACTTTGATCGCTTCGGAAAACATGATCAAGTGAGTTTGTTACCTAAAAACTAAACTAAAAAGTCAAAATCTTACCTTCAAAATTGTCCAATACCGGTATCTTATCTATAAAGATAACGATCTAATTTCCGTATTTTACCTTCAATTGAACTTCTTCCACCTAAACTTTCATTTTCCTTCATCTAACTTCAATTATAAAATAAATAAACTCCAAAAAATGTAAATACACGCCCATTTCAGATAGGACAAGTATCCATACCTCTGGGAAAAATAGATTTGGCCATGACAATCGAAAAACGTGCCGAAATAGAAGCTCCACCAGTAAGTTAACATCAAGTTTCGTATATTATGTTTAGGAAAACCGACTGGGCGAGGTTTGTTTGGCCTTGAGGTATGTGCCGAACAAAAACAAACTCACGGTAGTAGTGATGGAATGCAAAAACTTGAAGAAGATGGACGTGCTCGGATTGTCTGGTGAGTTTCAAGGGTTTATGTAAGTAGACATGAGAAACGGGCCGGGCCCAATTTTCAGGCCCGGCCCGATCGGAATTTTGCTCAAGGCCGGCCCGGCCCGTTTCTCATGTCTATATGTAAGGGCAATGCACGTCTGTCTGAAATGGGAAATGACCAATAGTGGCTTTTCGTTCGTTGCGAATTGTTTTTAAATTTTATTTTAATTTTAGCGCTGAAATGTAACGAAAAGCCAGAAAATTCCATTTCCAATTTTTGTTTTATTTCAGACAGACGTGCAATGTTATAATTTTTGACAAAATTTTGTTTTTGGACGAAATACCACAGAAATTATTGGAAAATGTATCAAAGTGTCACAATTTTATTGGATTTTTAAATATATGCTTATTATCTGTAAAATACGATGCAGAAAAATTGTAATACAGAGGAACTCCTGTATAACGAACTCCTCTATAACGAAAATCCCGTATAACGAACGACTTTTGAATCCCCGTCTACCACTACACAGTGCATTTAAAACTCCTGTATAACGAAACTCCTATATAACGAACAAATTTCAAGTCCCCGAGCGATTCGTTATACAGGAGTTCCACTGTAAATAATATTTTTAATTTAATTATAATTTTTCCAGATCCGTATGTCAAAGTATACCTAATGGCGCAGAACAAGCGACTAGAAAAGAAGAAAACGACCATCAAGATGAAAACCCTGAACCCCTACTACAACGAGTCGTTCAGTTACGATGTCACCCCCGAGAAGATGCAGCGTGTCCATCTACATGTCATCGTATCTGACTATGACCGAGTCGGATCTAATGAAAGGATCGGCCAAGTTCTGATTGGCACCCAGGCTTCTGGAGCTGGCTTAAAACATTGGACTGACATGTTGGCCACGCCCAGACGGTCTGTTGCCATGTGGCACACGCTACAGCCATTCAACGACGATTGAGTACCTCGAGATTACCATGAGTTTCCAACGCATATCTTCGTATCTTTGCTGTTTCCGGTTTTTAGGTATCCTTTAGGTAACACAAGGTGTTTGGCAGTATTTTATATTGTCAACATTTTTGTGATTTTTAAAATATATTTAAATGCATCTGAGATTGTATTTTCAGATTTTAATAGATTATTAAAAAACACTACGAAATGTCACATTGTTTTTCGAAAAAAGACGAAGTGTCACAAAAATTATTGGAAAAAGTGCCAATGACATTATACGTTTTTAATATGTTGTGACATTACTTTTGAGTTGTAAAACATAGATTTGCTTAGATTTTTAATAACTTTAATACATCTTGACACATTCTAGTGTTCAAAGCTTTAGCACTGTCATAGTAAGAGATTATATCATCGTATGAGTTTACTTTGATCTCATTTTGTAAATAAACATATTTGCTATACAGTTATGATAATTACTTTATTTAATTTAAACAACAATATCCATCTATCTCAAAGTTTCCTATCAAAATCATATTCACCATTATCACCAGTCCATGTCCAAATAGCTTTTCAGGAATCCAGTGTGAGCTTCGGTAAAAGAGGCATCCAGAAGGCGGATTTCTTGACGAAGATCATCACGTTCATACATGGCAGCGTTCTTGTCGTCGTGGAAAGCGTAGAAATCCTTGAGAATCGACTTTACTCTGTCGAAGGCACGGCCCATGGCTATCAACATTTTGGTTTCTAGCACGATACGATGGCCTAGCTTTACTTTGCGCTCCTGAAAGTCAATATTGGTACTAGTTTTTATTAAAAATTGATTTTTTATTTCATTTTTGCTAAAAAAATCCCCAAATTTGGTAGTGTTTTGGACAAAAATTCACATTTTTCTAACAAAAATGCCATTTTTCGTTAGACTAAACTAAAAAATATATAAAATATTAATATTATTTACTAGACTATACACTATACTTTTTAAAACATCGACTTACAATATGTTCTTCGTTGATTTCGAAGCCTTGCATGGCCTTATCCATGACTTCACTCACAATTTCGTAGCGATCTTCCTCGATGGAGCCGTCTTCCCACTTCACGTCCTTCACCAGAGCTTCCAGCTCCTTGACACGTTCTTCAGCACGTTCCCATCGTCGTTTCACTTCCTACAAATTTTAAATTTTATCAGTTTAACTACTATTTTTAAGCTTTTTTATTTTTTGGTTTAAAAAGATATTGCACCGTGCAAACCTTAAAGCACTGCACGGTGCAGAGCTAATAATTTTGCACGGTGCAAGGAAATAGAGATTTTAAAACAAAAAACCAAAAAAAACTTTTAAAATTTGAAAAAAAGCAAGGCTTACTTCATAAATCGGAGCCGCGACCACATCAGGACAGTTCTTGAGCAGCTTGAAGTAGTCCAAAGGTTTCTCTGCCAGTCTTTTCTGTCGCTCTTCGGGTTCGAGGTTGGAGATATCGACCACGTCGCTCATGTTGTCGCAGCCTTACCAGAGATGGTTGAAAGCAAAGTGACAATGTTGCCACGACATTTTTGTCACTGTTTTTCTCGAATTTTCGATATTCAAATTTTTTCAAATTCTTTGAAATTTTTTTTTAAATTTAAAAATTAATTTTTTAGGTAATATTATGAATAAAAATGCTAACTGTTTTCTAAAAAATGCTTATTACATTAACATTTAACCGTTTACACCACAATATAAGTCTTATTCATATAAAACTTAACAACCCAATATCACCCATGCCAATATTAATATGAGCCCATTTCGAATCGACTAGAAAGGATAACTTTTATTTAAACAGAGTATGATACAATTCATGTTAACATGAAGTTTATTTAAATCACTGGGTCCGCAATAATTAATGAGATGACTACTCTGAGAGAACACGCAAAGAGAGGAGAGTCGACAGAGAAAAAAACAAAAGAAACACCGCATTATAGATGACTGTGATACCGCTACGACGTTCCGTGAGCACGATGGTGGGCTCGGAAACGTCGTGTTTGCCTTTCGGACTGTGAATATTCAAGTACGATCTTGTTTTAGGTTAAAAATAGGTATAAAGTACCATAAAATACCAAATTTTAAGAATTTTTAGGTAACAAATGCCGTTTTTTACTGAACTTTAGGCTTCAAAAGTAAAATTTGATACTTTTAGACTAAAAAACTGTAAAAAACGCTCGAAAATACAGTAGAATCGTACTAAAATGCTCACAGTAAACGTTCGTATGTCGGAAGATAGACAGCGTAACAGAGAGACGACAGGCCCGATGTAAGATACGACCATTTAGATACCATGACCATCCTTCTTGGAGACGCTTCGCAGAACCTCGCCTTGTAGATATGGGTTGGGCTTGAAGCCGGCGATAGAGCGCTTGCGACGGCGGGGCTCTTCGAACTACAACAATATCAAGGTTAAGTAAAATACGAACGTAAATATAGCTTTTTCAGTAAAAAATGAGAAATTACGTCATGTACAACATAAACATTTAAATTTTTCTTTTCCGTTACTATATAAATACCATGGTAAACAAGCTGCAAAACTGTATTAGGTTGTTCAAATAACTCTGAGCCCCTAATCCAAACAATTTGCTTTAAAAAATAGCTCAGAATTAATTGGACAGCCTAAAAAAAATAAAAAAAAACCTTTAAAATTTTTTTTTTCAAAATTTCAAAGTTAACGAGTTAAAACAGCCCTATATCTTACCATAGATCTCTTTTCGTGGAACTTCTTGGCGATCATGGACTTGTGCAGACCGTTCTTCTCTAACATATCATCCAGATTGTCACCGAATTCGCTGTTCTTTGATGGGCAACTAAAGCATAGATATCAGTGCAGGATAAGTGACTTTTATCAAAAATGAAATTGTTCAAATAATTCTGTGCCCCCTCTCAAGGCAAGTTTTCTGTCTTGGGGGCACAGAATTTTTGAAAAACCCGATAAAAACCCAGTTTTAAAAAACTTCCATTTGATGTACAAGCCTAGAAAACGTCTCATTTTCCCTCAAAAAAATTTTTTTCAAAATTTGCATAACGTTTCCAACCCGCAAACCCTCCCCCAAACTTTCATTCATTGCGTATCCCTGTCAGCAGTCCGGTTGACATAATATGATAATTTATTTACTACTGCTACCGTTCAATTTCCTGCTGATATACTGCTCAAAGAAGGGCAAACAAAACCCGCCGACCCCGCCCATCATTAACATTGGCACGCCAAGATCAAGAACACCCATCGGCAGCAGCAGCAAATCAAAGCTTTTGGATGGATCACCCCTGGCTCAGGAGTCGCAGAAGTCGAAGCAACAGAGCGAGATGAAGAAGAGCTCGATGAAAAGTGAGTTTGAGTAGGAGAAGATACTAGTTAGAGGGATATTTTATCAGTATAGAGGGGGGTGATTTTTTTTGAAAAATTATAAGCCAAATTCAACTTTTTAAAAAAAAAATTTTTTTTGGGAAAGTCCACCCCCATTTTCCAAACTTACCGCCCAGCTATAAATAATAGCACAATTCCAAAAAAGACCAATAATATCATTACTATCTATACTTTTTAAACTAAACCTTTTTAGGCCCAGGCGACAAAGAGAAATCCGCCATAAAGCAACCAGACGGTAAAGCAAATCGTAAGTTATTAACCAGGCCTTTCTCGCTATATGCAGTGTAAACTCGCTAATTGAATTCCGCTTACAATAAAACCCCAGCTATAAAGGATTTTTTTAAATACCCTAGAAAAAATTTTGGACTGATTTTTAAGTATTAGGTGCCGACATAAACAACCCGCCATACTTTGCCTGTAATTTCCGTTAAAAATGGCGGGCTCTTTATGTCGGCACCTAATATAACAACTCCGGATATAACGAAACCCCGCTACAGCAAAAGCTTCTTCAATCTCCTGGCGATTTGTTATAACGAAAGTTCACTGTATATGTATAAAGCTTTACCACAAATGTAAATTTAGAACACGAAGAAGAGGAAGAAGAAGAATCGACCGAAATCAAGTCCGAAGTCCTCAAAGAAAATATTAAACAGTACCGAGCGTGAGTTTAGTTTTACTCTGTAATCAACATAGTTTCTAATTTGATAATAATTACATCTTGAAGTAATTTTATGTAAATTCAGCTCAATACTTGTCAGCAACAAGCTAATTTCAGCTCCAAAGGAACCCTGAACAGAACGAAGAAAGAAAAGTCGAAATCAGGTCGAAAGAAGAACAAGTCCAGCAAGGGATCCAACGAGAAGCCGAGAACCAACAGACAGTCAGCCAGAACGGCAGCTCCAGTCGGTGGCTCCGAGGCTTGTGGTTATGGCGCAGGTGCAGGTGCAAGTGCATACATGCAGCCGACCCAGAAGTTGACATCGAGTGCCAAGACTACACAAAGAATAACATCCATAGCGAAGACACAGAAGAAGGAACCATCGGAGATGGCGTCGGCCGTGGTGAACGTGTCGACCAATTCCAAGGCCAAAGACAAGAGTAAGATGAACGAGAAGGAGCATGATCAGAACTCTGCCTATTTGGTTGCTTGATCAGTTTAATCCAATAAATAGATTGTGTGTGCTATTGGGGTGATTATTTGTGTTTTGGTGTCCAATTTTGGACCAGTTTACCTCGTTCTACAAAGTTTCGACCAAGCTATCTTATTCTATATACTTTTTGACCATTATATCTAGTTATATTTACTTTTTGACCCATATTTCTTACACCCCGTACGTTTTGGCCTATAAGCCTACTTCCACGTACTTTTTTACCTACACACCTAATTCTATGCACTTTTTGAACCCCAATTCCCTCAAAAATAAACCCACTTGAACATGTGCTCCTGATCACACAGACATTGTTGTTGAGCTTGGTAGTTGCGCGAGAACTCGGCACTATTGTCGAACTCTTCCAAACACCCGTGCTCGGCGGTGTAACCGACCGGGCATGGGTTCGGGGGCTCGCAGTAAGCGGGCAGAACGTTGTCGCTCTTCACCTGTTCACGGTGCTCGAACGAGTCTTCTGGTCGAAGTTGTTGATCACCTTCACCGGCTCCACCTGCAAGTTTAAAAGGTAATGAGGGCTTCAGAAGGGTGGATATATCAACAAAAGGAAGTCAGAAACCTTTGAGACAGCCAAGAAAATCACATTAGGTTGTCCAAATACTTCTGTGCCTCTTTTCAACGCCTTTTTTCTGGTGTTATGGGGCACAGAACTACTTGAAAAGCCTAATATAAGAGAATAAATATTTTGTACCTTTTTTATAAAAAATCATTTTAAAACTCTAGATCTTATATTTACCTGTAATGAACTTGTTGCCGTATCCTAGAGGTCCTGGAAAGCTTTCGATGTCTCTGGAGATCAAATCAATGTATGGCGAGTCGGGGTACAGCTAAAATATGACAGTTGATGACATAAAAATGATTAAATGTACAACTAAGATGTCCATATTAGGCCTATTTTTAAAAAATTTTTATTACTAGATTTCAAATAATCCTGTGCCCCATGACTCCAAAAACTTGCTTTGACAGGAAGCGCAGAGTTATTTGAACAACTCAAAGTTTTAGGCCTAATGTTAAAAAAACAGGAAAAAATGCAATTTTATGGCCAGTATAATATAAATTTAAATGGTTTTTCAGCTTCCTAGTTTTAGAAATACAAAAAGTCGTCGTTTTACTAGTAAAAAAGTATTAATTAAATTGTTGAACAAGGACACATCTTGCGAGCTGGATTAATATCTGGTTATGTATTAACAGCTTAACAATTTGTCATAACTTTAAAGCAATGTCAGATTTGAGAACAATCTTAAGTTACAAGTTAGAAATTAAAATTTTGGCTTGAAAATCGATAAATAAAACCAAAATTTTTTAATTTTGGCCTAAAAATCAATAAATTTCAATAAAAATTTAAAATTTTGTCTTGAAAGTACGGTGTTTATCCTGTATTTTATAAAGTAAAAACGAAAATTTTTAAACATAAAATAATCAATAATTTAAAATAAAAAACCTTATTTTACAGTTTAAAACAAGGTTCGCCCAAGGATCAGACATAGGCGATGAAAAATTTCAAACTATTTGAAAACCGCTCATTTTTTGATAAGAGGTAGCACTTGGGTATAGAAATGCAAAAATATAAAAAATTTTTTAAAAAAATTCGGGTTACGGTAGGATTACGGTAGGTTTTAAGATTTTTTTGTAACTGTTGTACTAAATGTCAGAAAGGAATGGGACTTTTTTAAAATTGTTTGTCACTATAAGACAATCATTTTATTTGTTGACAACTTTTTTTTATTATGCCCGGAAGGCATTGAAAAAATTAAATTTTTCAAAAAAACCATGAAAATTTTGAAAAATTTAAAATTTCTCGAAAAAAAGTCACTATGTAACAAACTTTTGACAACAGATAATGAAACTACATGCTCTTACAGTTCTAATGACACCGCGCATGGGTCATCTTAGCGGGGCCTGCGGTAGCTACGAATTTTCAAAGTTGACATCCTAAGGTCAATTAGCACAGAATTTGACTGTAATGTGGTTACAAATGGTTAAAATAGGTGTTTGACACATTTTGAGCGTTTTATAAGACTTTTAAACAATTTCCTTTCTATTGTCTCAGGGAATTTGTAATTTTAAAAAATTGATTTTTTTTTAAATTTAAATTTTAAAAAATTTTTAAAGCTCGGAAATTAAAATAATATGACTTGGCTTTTAATAAATGACCTATACAGAGACGTCGCTACGGATTTTCTCTAGGGAAGGGAAGGTTGAAAAAATTTTTTTCGTCCACAGGTTAATTTTTTTTTTGTTTTTTTTGCGTAAAAATCTTGTATATGTCACTTACCAAAAGCCGAGGCATTTATTTTGATTTCCAATCTTTAAAAATTTTTTAAAATTAAAATTCAAAAAAAAATTTTTTTTTTAAATTACAAATTCCCTGAGGCAATACACAAGAAATTGTTTGTAAACACTTATAAAACTTGCAATATGTGCCATGCATCTTTTTTAACCATTTGTAACCACATTACAGTCAAATTCTGTGCTAAATGACCTTAGGGTGTCAACTTTGAAAATTCGTAGCTACCGCAGGCCCCGCTAAGATGACCCATGCGTGGTGTCATTAGAACCGTAAGAGCATGTATTTTCATTATCTGTTGTCAAAAGTTTGTTACATAGTGAATTTTTTCCGAGAAATTTTAAATTTTTCAAAATTTTGATGGTTTTTTTGAAAATTTTAATTTTTTTCAATGCCTTCCGGGCATAATAAAAAAAAGTTGTCAACAGATAAAATGATTGCCTTATAATAAAAAACAATTTAAAAAAAGTCCCATTCCTTTCTGACATTTAGTACAACAGTTACAAAAAAATCTTAAAACCTACCGTAATCCTACCGTAACCAAAATTTTTAAAATTTTTTTATATTTTTGCATTTCTATACCCAAGTGCTACCTCTTATCAAAAAATGAGCGGTTTTAAAATAGTTTGAAATTTTTCATCGCCCCTGTCTGACCAATGTTCGATTCTTACGCGGACGTTGTTTTAAAAACAACTTACTTTATCTCCAAATTCCAGGTTTTGGGCGTTTAACACGCCGACCAAGCCGAGTAGGCCAATAATTTTAAACATTCTGAACCCCTGAAGGCATTAGTGTAAGATTTTGTTTTAAATTTAAAACGCGTTTTTTAAAATTAATTTTAAAAATATTTTTGTTGTAAAAATAAACATAAAAGTGTTGTTAAAGCATTATTTCATTACAAAAAATATTTTAAAATTTAAATTTAAAAAAAATATTTTCATAAGAAAATTGATTGAAAAAGCTCAAAATTTTAATTTTAAAACAAATTTCAGACCTAACACGTCATAAAATCCCTCACACTTTGTCTTTTGCCTTCATACCTCAAAACCACAAATTTCATACCTAAAAACTAATTCTACCTTGCCCAACGAAAATATTCAAATTTCAAGTCTCCAAACCCTCGGGCAACGTATTCAAATTAAGCGCAACACATGAACACGGAATAGCGGGACGAGAGTGGCTGCCCTGATAAGGCCTTTGGGGCTTTATTGATTACTTTTCCCTCTCCCCCCGTCTCGCATGCCCTCGAGCACGCACAGCCGGCTTTTGCCGTTTTTGCGCCCAAATAGGGGATGAAAGGGTGGTGTTCGGGGAAACAGAACGCACAGAAGCACGGCACGCTCCACGTAAAAACGAATTATTTACTTAATTAGGCCTCAAATTTATTATGGATTTATGAAAAGTTTTTCCGGTCCAAAATATTATAGAACTCGATGGTTTTGGTAAAATGTTATTCAAGCTACGAATTCTTTGTTTTTGTGATTTTAGATTTCAAATTATAACATCTACAACTTACAACAACCTTCTTAAGTCCCGGGTGTTTAAAAAAAAGCCACAAAGTTACAAAAAAAGCTTTTTAAATGCATGTTAAGCTCAACCTTTCACCCCGATATCTTCTACAACAAAACTTTGTGTCATACTGCTTCATTCTGACTAAAAAAAGACATATATGTATCGTCAGTATGAGGTTATAATTAAAGGTACAATAAACCAAGGTAGAGTAGAGTTAGGGTTAAAATGGGCAGAGATAGGCTTACAATTGTTAGATATGAAAACAATAGGCAAGGGTAGGCTTGGGTAAGAATAGACACGAGTAAACTTCGTCTAGAAAAAGTTAATCTTTGGTTTTAATTGGGGGTTACCTATTCAGTAAGGTTATCCATTTTTCAAGATGACCTATTCCCGGAAGAGACCTATCTAGAGGTGACCAATTCAGCGGGGTGTCCTACCCCATAAGGACAATATTTTTGATGACTTTAACAGTAAGTACTGACCTTATAATAAACTAAATGGGTCACATTAACGAAATTGTTTATGAAAGGCCAGAAACGTGCTTGTTATGCTTGTTCTAGCAATACCACCATCTACTACAACATTAAATGTACAAAATGGGGTTGCTCTTTAACTTACCTCTTCTACACTTCCTAAAACAACCGGTCGAAACTGTAATTAAAGTACAAAAAAGAAAAATGACTTTTCTTAAAAATCACGTCCAAAATTTGCATAAATTGAGACAAAATTTTGATTTCATGGGAAAATGGTTTCATATTTGTTGTTTTCAATCTGAGGAGCGGTGGAAAGTTTTCCTACTATGTCTAGAGAAAGCGACGATAACAAGGTAAGTTTTGATCCGATGTTTTACTCTGTTATAATTCAAAGAAACTCGGTAAAACAGTAAACTTATTTTGGTTGGTTATAAAGAAGATCTAAAGGATTATTAGTCTACTAATCGATTCTTTTCTGACCTATAATAAAATTTTCAAACTTTTCTTGAGTTTTAATTTTCAGCTTCGTAAAAAAGAGTCGATTAATTCAGCGGAATCCGCGAATAGACAAGGCAGAACTAAGAGGTCCAAGTCAACTTCGCGGCCCAAAAAGTCTGTTAAAGGTACGTTTTTTACATTTTTTATAAATTATAATTTTTTAAAGACACTTAAAATTGACAATTGAAACGAGCGCGCATTTCAACATTCAAAAATTATTTTCTCGAATTTTTTATTTTTCGCGGCAAGTTTATTTTCTCCAGTGTAACTTATCGTTGTTTTTATCAATTTGTTTATCGTGACTTGTTTTATATTATTTGTTAGTCTTTAAACTTTACATCACAATATTATTTTAGAATCAGACGATGAAGTGTCAAAAACATCAAGGAAAGACCGGAAACCGAAGAAAGGTTCAAAGGACACCATCAAGAAAAAGGTGGTAAATATTTAGAATTTAGTTTACTTGTTTATTTGTTTAATTTTAAAAATTTGTTGTATTTAGCACCAGAGTTCCCAAATTTAGAAATCCTAGCTCCGGCTCCGGCCATTTTCAAATTTTAGCTCCGGCTCCGGGCTCCGGAGCCGACATTTTCGCAAGCTCCGGCTCCGGCTTTGGCTCCGAGGGCACAAAATCAATAAAAATCGTATTTTTTATAAAAAAACGCAAAAACAACCAAAAATAAGCTTTATCTTTTCTAAATTTAATACAACAACAATTTTTAACTATTAAAACAATAAAAAAGTACATGTAACTTATTCAGAGTATGGGGAATTAAAAGACATTAACATTTTTTGTCTGATTAAGGCATGCTGAGAGTTGCAGAGCTTTGAGGCGGTTACAGCTTGAAGACGGCTAAAGAATTGCTCTACATTTGCCGAAGCCGCGGGTACTGTTAATGCTGCCAAACATATTGCCGTGAGTCTAGGCCATTTCTAAACATAACTGAGATTACTTTTCATATAATAGCCATACCTTTTCGTTATCGATCCAATATGCAATTGAGTTGTCCCAGTTTGAGTATGACCCTTTGGCAACTTCGATAAGGAAATCGTCTAGTTCCGTTTCTAACGACAGCTCTCCTCTTGCGTTTGCGACGTCAGGGGAATCTTTAACATGAAGAAACGACAAACCGAATCCTTTTGCTTGTGCCATCTGTGACGATGGTCTTTGAGGGATGTCATCAATGTCTAGCAAATTGATTTGTTGAGCCTAAAGAAAATGTAGACTTATTCAAAAACTTACAAGTAACTTTAATGAAGACAAAGTCTGGTCTCTTCTGGCTGCAATTTGTTGAAATCCTCGTATATCTCCCATTATTCCAACGGTGTATACCGGGTCGTTTTTCATCGATAAAATGCACTAGTATGCCCATAGCTGCATGTGAGTTTGCAATTGCTGTTGCTATATCACACGAAATAGCGTAATGCCGGTCACCAATAATATGTTTTATTGTTTTTTCGAACTTCTTGATTTCCTCTTCCATACTGTTCTTTAATGCCTGCGGATGAGGTATTTTAAATCCAGGAATTAGTGACAATAAGCTCTAAAAAAACATAAACATTCAATTTTTAAAACCATACCTTAAAATGTGGGTTTCGCAGGTGATTTAATGGAAAGCTTGTGGAACCGGCATAATAAACAAGCCTTTTCATGGCAACTTCTGATGCTGACTTTTGTGTAAACGAGGCAAAAATTGTAGGCTGTTTCGAAGACTTTTCATCGATAAACTTAACGTGAATTTCTTTGTGTTTCCGCTCAAAGTGCCTGTTGACGTTAAATGTTTTTGTCCCTAGTTCTTCACCGCAGTATTTGCATTTACCATCAATTACATTTTCTTGCACATCGCTTTTGTCAAACGATTTTGAAACATCTAACTTCCGGCGCTTTTTTGCTTCCATTTGAAAATAACACAAAAATTTGTCCAAAAAACTATTTTATCGCAATGCCAACCTTTTGAATTGGCCGTGGATAGTTTTCTTTTCGAGACCTTTTTACACTACTCGAATAATAAAAATTAAAATGTGGAGCCATCCTAGAAAAACTCGGCTCCGGCTCCAGCTCCGGCTCCGACCACTTTCAAAAATGAGCTCCGGCTCCAGCTCTGGAGCCGGAGCTGCCCCGGAGCCGGCTCCGGAGCCCGTGGGAACTCTGTTTAGCACTGGTCTCGAGCATCGTTTTACTTAAATATTTTTTTCAGAACGAAAACCCGGACTACGTGATGCCGGTGATAAAGAAGCGTAAGCCAAAGATAAACTCCAAAGAAACAGTTAAAGGCGGCGGCAGTAAAGACAACGAAGCGAGCAATGAGAAGGTAAAAGAGAAGAAGCCCAATTCAAAGGAGAAGATCAAGGAAGTGGAGAAGGATAACGAGAAGATCAAGGACAAGAAGGATAAAAGCTTTAAGAAGAGTGTCAGAAAGACGGATTCAAAGCGAAAAACAAAGAAAAAGTCTAATGAGAACGCGGCATCCGACCGGTCGGAAGAAGAAAAAGCTCCAGAGAAGGTGGAAGAAGTCAAGCAGGACAAGAAAGATAACATAGAGGGCGAAGACGTAGTAGCCAAGACTCCAACTTCCTCAAAGAAGAACAAAGAGACCGACAAGGACGATGGGCCGATCAGCGAGAAGGAGCCAATATAAAGTCTGTCATATCCGAAATAAACTTTATTGGAGTCATTGTTGTGTTTGCAAATCGTAACAGTTTTGAATATTTCACTTATTACCTAAAATTAAAACCTAAAGCTACTTAGCAATATAGGCTTGGTTTATAAACCTAGTTAATATATTACAGAACCCGATTTAACCTCAAAATTATCAATAATTTACTAGTATTGTAATATCACGTTAGAAAAGGTATTAAATTCGGAACATTGTGAGAATTCCTTCGATCTTTTTCATGAAGTTCGAGCCGGGGACCCTGTTCAAGTTGACTATCTTGAACAGTTTGAGGAACTCTTCCGTGTCCATCTCATCCAAGGCTCTTTGATCGTCTTCGAGGACTGGTTCTGTCATTATGAAGACCTTTGGTGATCTATAGTCGGCCGAGAATTCGATGAATAGACGTCTAAAAAATTAGCATAAAATTTTATGGTGTACTTGTAGATTAAAGATTAAGTTTTAATATTTATATGATATACACGTGTTTTACAAAAATCTTACTTTGTAGAGCTCTGGTTACAACAATATAAGGTGGGTGAAGGTACTCCTTCAGAGTTGTACGCGTTACTATTGGCATGAAGCACTTGCCATCCAAATTGGCGAGCAAAATTTGATGTGGAGTATAACTGGCAGTTTGACGCCTAAAATACAACATTATATTAAACATGGAAGCTCAAAAGTTCTGTAAAACATTCATTATGATGAATATAAACTCGAAATCCGCTTACCAAAGTATGAATAGCTTGCGCCAGTAGATTTGACTGTCTGTAGCACTGTATCACCATGTTTTCTTTGGTCGTTACCACAACGTCGTGACTGCCAATTCTAATGTTGAATAGCATTTTACCGTGACTGTCTGGTCGATTCTGCAAATGACCGAGGATGACAGAGTAAGTTGGCGTCGTTCTCAGCCATCTCCACGTTAGTGCTGGGTCATCTCGAGTCAGCATGTGCATGTTCAGCACTTCCACCACTCTGTCGACCAACATGTAGTGTTCAGCTCGCCTAATCATGCGAGCGAGTAGGGGTATCGGGGGAAAAGTGCGGGTCTTTATCTATAATAATATGCTTTGATGAACTTTAATTGAAAAATTATTCTTTGTTCAAAAGTAATTACAATAATTTCATTATCAAAGATACGTTTTTAATAAGTTAGACACATATTATTTACCTCATCGGAAGCTACACCTTGAGATCCTCGAAGGTCCAATGCGTCTTGAAGTTGTGACAACGGAGCTCCGACGAACCTTTGAGGCCGATATCTTGGTTTAACCAAATCTGACACAAACAACTCACGAAGATTGACGTTAAGATATGGATCACCCAGTTCTGGTAAGTCACCGGCCTTAAAAATATTATTTTAGATCACCAGTTAACGTTTCTTTTTATTTAAATAAGACAAATCATGTATATAAAATATGATAGGTCATGTCTAAAAAATTTTATATTAAAGTCCATTTACAGCTACATGATTAAACCATAAAACTTGCTACTCATCTAAAATAAATATTTTATTTGATGTTGTACTTACTTGAAACGGAAAGTAATGCATCCCAAACTTCAGCAACATTCCATCCGATAAACATACAATAAGCGTCTTGTCCGTGACAATACAAATATGACTTTCGGTCACCGCTTCTTTGATCAGCTAAAGTGAAATTCGTTAAAATACGGTCCTTATCTTCATCACATAAAAAGTGAGTTTCAATTTTAACCATTTCCAGATAATTCAAAACTATTAACAAAGAAAGTGCCCCACCTGCCCCGCTCTAATTGACTTCAAACTTTTTATATAGAAACAACATGTAAATATAAGATGTTCAGCAAAGTACTAAATCGCGCTTTCCAGGAAATCCCGAGAAAATAAAGATTAAAAAATTACGTTTTGAATTTCCCGCCAACTTGGCATTGTGTTTCAAGCTTGTAACTTTGTCATTTTCTGACTTTTAATAATTTTTCTTTGATATACTAATAGAAAACCTTTAAATGAACCTACATTTTTAAATTTGTAAGTGTAGATTGGCTGGAAAGTCGAAAAAAGTGCTTGAAACACAATGGCAAATTGGCGGAAAACCCAAATAACTTAAATTTGAAACTCAAAAGCGCGAGCCAAAATTTTTTATGGGTACTATTGGTAGTACGAAGTATTCATATAAAAATTTTTAGCTGATTCTGAGCAGGTAGGGTACTTTCCTTGTAAGTTGTTCAAATAATTTTGTGCTTCTTCTCAAAGCAAATTTTCGGAGTTGAAGGGCACAGAATTTTAATCAAATCACTATCTTGGCGTAAAGCAGTTTAAGAACTACATTGACGTGTAGCATTAAAAACTTAAAATATTATAACATGTTACCTGAGTAAAGATATCCTTGCATATCAGACTTTCTTGAGCCCATTCCAATGCGTCTTCCCATGGTACATCCATCGAGTTCGAGTCATAGGCGTTGAAGGAGTCCTTTGAGAAGATCAAGTCATGGTTTTCTTGGTCATCTAAAAACCACAAACTTATGACTACATAATTTTATAACTACATCGTTAATTGAATATTTGAAGTTGTTTACCTTTCACTATAGAAACCGCCAACTTGGTCCTTCGTTGCAGGTTCTTAGGTACCTGAATTTGCATACAGCCTTTGCCAGACTGATTGGCCAACTTTGGGCTCCAAAGAATGTCAAACATTTCCGCTTGTTGGAACTTGGGACCGTCTGAAACAAATTTTATATAAAGCTAAATGTATACCTTTAGCTTATATTATATTAGGTTGTTCACATAAATCTGTGCCCCCAAACCCCGTATATTTTACTTTTAAAGGGCACAGCATTATGTGAATAACTTAATAGGACTAAAATATATGGTAATATCTCGTTTTTTGTAACTTATATTCAAAATGTCATTGTTATATTAACTTACATATCCGGTATCCAAGATCGCCAAAAATAAGTTCGTTAACCTTTCGTATCCTCCAGTTTTCTCTCATTCTTTTCAATTCATCAAAGAATTGAGACTTTTCCGTGTTGAAATGCGTGTCCTTGCTGTTGGCTTTGAACATTTCCAGCAGCTTCTTCGCTTCGTCGAAAGCCTAAACATCGAAATTTTAAACAAATGTCTTTAATTAACATAATACTCTCGATTTTAGTATTTTTTGACAAGATTTTCAGTTTAGAATACTACCTTGTTACCTGTTTTTATTTTTTATGTTACCCTACCTTTCGTCTTGATACAAGGTTAAAAGCCTTGACTTTTTGAGCAGTTTCAGCCGGAATATCTTCAGGTATGAAAGCTGCCAGTTGTTCTGGTTTCAAATACTTTGTTTTCGAAATCCGTAATACATCCAGCAGTACATCTACCTCTTGCATTGATTGACTAAAATTTGAAACTCTATTTTATTTATGGTTAATATAGCCTTATTTAACTCATAGTTAATATAAAATACCATATTAAAAAACATTCATAATAACATCAACAAACATACTACAGACACTTGGCCACAGAAGCCCATGGTCCAGCCGTTGGTTCGACCTTCTCCTTGACCTGTTCCTTCACGGCTTGAGCCGTCTGTATCACTTTTTTAGCCTCCTTCACCGCGGGGCTGTCTTGATCATCGTACAAGTCGAGTAATGTCATTTGGCCAACAATATTCCGCCACTGGATCTTCTCCGCATTCCTTGATATCACATCCGAAAACTTGGCTTTTCTAAAAATACGTTTTTGAAAGCTAAAAGTGTGTTTTTTAAAGGTAAAAGACAATATTTAGAAAACAGGTTTCAATATACTTAAATAATGTATTGTTTTAGTCCTATTGGTAAGGAAAAAACCTAAAAATGTTAGGAAGTATACCTAAAAACCAACGCCAAAAATTTAAAAACTTACGGAATCGAATGTTCTGTACCATCATAATCAAAGAAGTCTATTGGGCATTCAGGAGGACATTCAATGGCATACTTGGACGTGCTTGGATTGGATTCAGGTTGGTTTGAAGCCATCCTAACAATACTATTTATAAATTAACTTTAAAGCCATATAATATTTAAAAAACTATATTAAATGATAAAAATTGTAATAATAAATAATAGAATAAGGTTTAAAACCATTAATTCAATAAAACAAACGTTTCTATTGCACTGTTTATTAGAAAATAACTTGACAATCATGTGTAAAGCAACTATAATTATTGCAATAAGTATCGAAATCCAAATATATCTCTATTATGCTAATATCTATGAACGACACTATAAATTAACATTCAAAAATTTCTTGAAAGTTGGTAACCCTAACGACTTCTTTGTTATCAACATGTTTCTTTTTCGGATCGTACAAAATGCTTCTGAATCCACAATTCTTCGCAGCAATGTAGTCTTTCTCCATGTTGTCTCCAATGTGTACAATCTCAGAATTGTCAGCTATTCCAGACATGTCGTGTAGCATTTTGAAGATCTTTTTATTAGGCTTCTGAACCCCGACTTCTCCACTCAAAATCAAGTAATCTATCTTATCCATAAGGTTAAAGCTTTGTAAAATTATGCGAAGACGTTCGTCAAAGTTGGATATAACTCCCACGCCAATGTTGAGTTCATGAAGTTGGTCGAAATATCCGTAGATCTAGAAAATATGTTAAAGGTATACTTAGAAGATATTAAGCTTATGTCTGCCAATTTAGAAGCCTCTAAAGCTGAAGAATCAAATAATAATAACATATGAAACCAAAAAATAAACCCTAAAACAAAAAGAAGACAATTAACACACCTTTCCGTCCAGCAGAGTCCAAGCAGTACAATCGACATAGTAATGTCTATATAACTCAATATAAAAGTCTCCAAACTTGGCGTGATCCTTCTGTTCAACACAAACTTCATCCAACAACTGTCTCCACCATCCCAAGCTCCCATTTCCGGCGAAGTCATAAGCTGGCTTTTCCAGCTCCAAGCGTTTAAAGGCCGCTGGAAATCTTCGGGTAATAAGTTCAGAATAACAATTTATCCCATATTTGGCAGCTAATCGTGAATAAGTTGAGCCTGGCGCTTCTCGTAGACCAAGCAAGGTGTTCGTTACATCCAAGGAGACCAAACGAACGCCTTTCAACATCAGCGCGACAAATTTTTGTAAATTATTTTATTTTCGTCCAAAAATGGCGTCAATAAGATAACAAAATATGAAACTAAACCAAAATTTAAAGTTAGCAAAAATTGCGAAGTATATGGATAATATACAAACATATATTATAAGTTGTTTAATGTTTTTAACTTTAAATATAAAAAGTGTCATAATGACAGGTTTTGTACACAGATCGTATAAAAAAGACCCAAACTCGCGCCCTAAATCAAAATATTTTTTTTACAAAACAATTTCTGAAAATGTTGTTGTAAATGTGTTTATAACTATGTAAATGGCAGGTACTGCTACTAGAATTTTCGCTAAAAGAACTGCTAGCACGTCAAAACATGTGATAATTCAAAATCCTGCGGTCTCAGCACCGTATTGTAAGTTTTTGGTAAATATGAATTTGTTAAAATAATACTTTCTGACATACATAGTTATTAATAATTTTTAAATTTCAGCTGAAGAAAAGCCTGTAATGTTGCCATTTCTGACTCCACAAGTAAGTTTACTTTGTTTTTGTATTTATGGTTTAGATATTTAATATCTTTTTGATCTGTTACATGAAAATACGATAGATAATAGAAAAACATTGTTTAGCAAATTCGTCTTGAATACAACAAGGAGATACGTAGGCTGGACAAGGGTTTGTGGTTGGCAGAAAAGAAGAGGAAGAAGTTGATCAAAGATCAGATGGAACATCAGACTAGAGTCAAGAATCTGATAGAAAATGTAGTTTGTGGAGATTCTGGGAGGAGTAGATTGATTCCTGTGGGAAGTCTGGCTACTGGCTTGTCGATGGGAGATTCCTCCGACTTTGACTTTTGTTTGATACCTAAAGATGCCGAATTTTACAAGGATTTCTTTCATAACCACAATTTTAAACGGTATGTGCATGTTTGCTTGAAAAAACTAACGTAAATTTATTTATCTTTATTTGAAAAAAGTTTATATGAATAACTTGAGTGTTTAGGGTATTTATGGACTCCGTCATGGAGTTACTGGCTCAACTACATCGCCATGACCCTGATCTTGCTTATAGTCAAGACCCCTTCCCTTTGTACAGAGCGCGAGTGCCACTAATTTGTTGTTACTTTATCAGTGGACTAAGTATTGATGTACAATTCCCTGACGAGAACTTTCACGCCATTAGGAACACAAATCTTATTCGACATTACTGTGCTGTAAGAGTTTTAGCTTAGTAGTGTACCTTGAATAATCGTTTATTAGTGTGATATCTTTAGTAATTTTTACCTAAAAAATCCGATAATTCCCTATAAATCAATTCTGATCATACTATTTTAGGCAGATCCACGATTCGGGTTGTTGTATATGTATGTAAGAACAGTATTCAACCGACTTGGAGTAAGGAATAGTAAAGATGGATTGTTATCAAGTTATCATATTCTACTACTTGTTGTGCATTTCCTACAGTCTAGGACGGTAAGATACTGCTTATTCGAACGTTTCATAAATTTTTTCTTGTTTTATACCTATTTTTGTAAAAAAACTATAGTGCAGTATAAGAAGTTGCAAGTGATATGAAAAGTACAAATTTAGGCCCCTCCAGTCCTACCAGTCTTGAACATAACCCACAACGATAAAGTTGGGAGTAAGCTACCGCTAGATGTACTAATAGAACGAATAGAGTTACCGAGTAACCAACTAATCGACTGGAAAAGTGAAAACAAGAGTTCGGTCGGAGAATTGGCAGTCGAATTCATGGAGTATTACAGTACACTGGATACCCAGACGACCGCCATTCAAATAAGATATGGTCGGACGGTCAAGAAGTAGGTTTGGCTAACGAAAAGGGCCTTTTTAGGCTTTATATATTATAATTTTTTTATTTGGTGTGAGTTATTGCCAGTGTTTGCATTTTTGAAATTTTTGGCTCCAGCTCCGGCTCCGACCTTTTTTCAAAGTGGGCTCCGGCTCCGGGCTCCGGAGCCTCATTTTAGTCCGCTCCGGCTCCGGGTCAGATTTTTTAAAAAATGGTTAAAAACCGTTAAATTTGGTGTTATTGACGTGTTTTGCCATATATAACAACATTTATTATAAGAAATTGAAAGATGTAACAAAAAATATATAATTTAACAAAACAAAGTTAAACTTTACTTTGTGTACGAACTATTAAACCCTATTAGCCTCTTTTGCCTGACCAACACGTTTAGATTTTCAAAACTTCGACAGAGCTACTGCTTGCAATCTGCTAAAGAATTGTTCATGCTGGCTGAATCTAGTAGCTAAAGTAAAAGGATTGAATGTAAATCTAGCTAAAAGTTTGTAATTTTTCTTCAACCTGGCCTGCCTAAAGTCGCGTCGTAATTAAGTTTTAGTATATTATTAGTGGTGTTTTTAGAGCATTTTTTGTAATCAAACAAAAAGCAATAAGCGTTTGCACGCAGCGAGGTTCGAACCTGCGAGTGCAACACCGATGGATAACGCTTTATCCATTCCGCTATATGATCACGCTCTCCTTTTCTTTCGTTTCTCTTCTTTTTGGGAAATATATCACAACAAATCGCAAAAAAAAGGTTTTTGTCCTCTTTTTCCCCGAAAAAGCACCCGTAAGCTCCGCCCTTCTTTTTGAAAAGGAGAAGAAAAAGCACTTTTCGGGAGAAAGGCGCAAGCCCCGCCCCGCCCTTCTCTTCTCCCAGCAAAAAAAATAAAAAAGAAAAAAAAAAATGTGCGGAGCTGGAGCCGTGCCAAAAAAAATCAAGCTCCGGCTCCAGCTCCGGCTCCGACCATTTTCGAATTTTAGCTCCGGCTCCGACTCCGGAGCCCATGCAAACACTGGTTATTGCTTATTGAGGTATGACTTAATTATGTCGTAAACTGTATTTCTATTAAAGAATATTTTCAGGCGACAACTGCCAGGAGACACGAGGTTATTAATGTACGACCCCTACTCTAATATAACTGTTGCCAGAGGCCCTAAAATCAGCGATACGTTGAAAATAGGCAGTACCTATTTATACAACAGAATGTGCAGGGGTAAGAACATTGTTTTAGTTTTAAGATTAGAATGTTATATTTATAGTATTTCTTACCATTTCCAAACTTTTAAAACAATAAAAAAACTAATTTAGAAACTCAATATATGGGTTTAACACATCTCATTCCTCAAAGTTTAAACTCTTATACTACATCCTTTGTAGGTATGTATCTAGACACATTTCCCGAATTCCCTGAGGCGAATGACTTCAAACTTTTGTTATAAGTGGTAAGAATACCGGTGCTCAAATTCTAGAATAAATATTTTATTTTTTTTACATTTTGACTCGTTTTGAACTGTTGATATTGACATCGGTGGTGTACATGATGAAGAGCTACGATTCCAGATAATAACGGTGTAATACCACGACGTTATGAGATCTATGACATTGGCAGATTTTCTACAGGAGTGTCGAACCTGAAGTCTTCGGGGAACAATTCCTTGGCTTTGGGATACAGTAACCGATAGGTCTGGCGTACGGTAACTTCGGCCGCTCCAGCGATCTCCCCAATTTCCTTGGCCGTTCGCTTGTCGCGAGATGCTTGAGAGGCCATGTAGATGGCGGCAGCTGCGATGGAAATGGGACTTCGCCTAAAGGAATATTAGCATGGACTGGACTGCTTACCCAGCCACCAGATCCAAGTCGACCGCCTTCTTCGCGATCCTCGTCGCTGCTGCTTGTATCTGTATCGTCAGACCGAGGTTTCCGCAGAATCGACTCTGAAACGGGTATGTTGTGATACATACAACAGCTTACCATGAAGTCGGCCGAAGTGATTTGTTCCAGGTTGGTTTCCAAGGATTTGATGATTAGCTTGAAACATCTTCCTATCTCCTTCTTGGATACGCGAGAAACGGCACAGATTTCTGAAATTAAAGATAATAAACTTTGAAACCAAGACAATAACTTTACATATGATAATTCCCTAGCCGTTTTTACCTATTTTGACTAATAAAGGCTTACAAACAATACAAAACAACAAAGAAAACCCTAAAATATATTTTTAGACTTATTTTATCCAAAAAGGATGAAATTTGTTACCTAAATTTTAAAAAAGTGAAACAATCAACCTACCTTTAAAAGTACGAGGCACTCCTTCTTTCCTACAAGCAATATATAAACAGGCAGCTGCTTGTGCTTCATTGTTCCTTCCTCTAAGAGCTCGCGAATCCAAAACATTCTTGAATATTTCGGCAGCTTGATCTTGAATTCCTCTGGTTAAGTGAATACGTTCGGACATTTCTCGGATCACACTGATGGCTTGGGTCATCTGACGATCCGTGTTGTTCATGTTCTTTCGTTGAGCATTGGCCAAACTGAAAATAATGTATTAGTGGACAAACTACCATACAAAACATAAAAAATATTATAGTATGTTAAAAAGCAGAAAATGGTATGTTAAGCGTAAAATATACGCTAAAAATATAACTCTTTTATATATTGATTAAAATTTTAAAATTAAAATAAAAAACCATATTGACTGTTTCCTTACCTCTGATCCGACTCAGTACCTCCAAATCCAACAGCAATCGTGGTTGACAGATCAGATCCGCCAAGAAGCGGATTCTCTGGCGCGCCAACACGACTGGGATCATTGCCACTTCTTTCGTTACTGAACGATCTCCATTCTGTGCCCACATCCACCAATCGATCTCCCACTACAAGTCCGCATTCAGAGCAAATCACGTCTCCAGCACGGTGATCCTCGATCAGGTGTGCTGTTGGATGCATAGGACAAGCGAGAGTTGCCATCTTTACCTTATGTCAGTGTAGAATACTGAACAAATGCAAAAATATAGCGAAGAGTTGTTTTAGAACTCGAACGCTCCAAAAAAGTTTGAAAGAAAAAAAATATTGTGAAATATGAAGCGGAAGGTCAAAAAGATTGGCGCTGCTTGTTTTCGTGGTGGGACTCAAGTAGTTAGTGTTCAAATGTACTGTATTGAAAATATAGTATATTTTAACCAAAAAATCTTTATGCTATATTTCAAAATTAAGATATTATTTTTAATTTTGAACTCAATGTATCAATTTTTGAAGTATCTAACATATGATTACAAAATACGTACAATTTGCACAATCCTACAGTAAGTTTTATATCTTATTTTATGATTTAGCGTACTCTGTGATTTGAACAGATTTTGTTCCTAGTTCTTTCTTTATATGACAAGGTTTTAAGTGTTAAAGTATAAATTTAACAATACATATTGCCTAAAGCTATATTATAGTAGGTTAGATGTCAAAAGCATCACATTACTTCTGAATGTCAATTTCCCTACGTTAATTTGTATACGAACTGTGCAAGATTTGTTAGTTTTGAAATAGTGAGTTTTTTGGGCCTACGCTCTCTAGTTTTGGGTATTACACTCTTCTAAGAGTACAATACTATTATTTATTGTGGTTACAGTTCGAAACTTAATAGTTTTAACAATGTATGCTGCCAAAAGTATTAGATTGTTTAAATAATTCTGTGCTTCTTCAATTCAAAAATTTGTTTGAGAGAGGGCGCAGAATTAGTTGAACCATCTAATAGCTTGTATCACAAGGAACATATACAACTTTACCGAGTTGTAATTACCAGAAAGGAAGTTGAGTCCTTATAAGTGCTTATTTTCCTACCTTGTACATCTTCATTTTGTAACTTTGAGGTGTTTTTAAATGATAAAGTTTACATTTGTTGACATAATTAACATAACATTGGTTTTTGTATTACTGTGTATAATGTAAACTAAAATAATATTTTTAATAGGGTCACAGTAGATTTTTAGATAATTTTTTGAAAAAGAACATACTGGGCTCTAACATACTGGGATAATATTGTTGAGTTAAAATATTTTAAGTTTTCAAAAGTCTTGTCGTCAATTTATATTGTTTTTCATTATTAAAAACGACAAGACTTTTGTTTCACTCTAATATAATGTAAATTGTATCTTGATGTTTATGTTGTGAGTAATTATAACCTTTTACACCTTTGTCTCAATATAATAACGACGTTACCTATAATTTAATATTGTTTTTTCCTTTTAACGTGTTTTATGTTTTGTGAGAACATACGATGCCAAATGTTCATAAGGAAGCGATTACTTATGTCATAGCTGAAATTACTATACTGTTTCCTTTATATTACGCATCAAAAAAGGTCTTCCTTTAACTTATGGCAAGGTAATTTGTATTTTGGTCAGCTATTTATAATTTTAATATTACCTAAAATTTCATTTGCTATTGTCTTGTGTATATATTTATATATATGTGATACAGTTGGTCTCAAAGATACAACTGATAATTACTTAATGCTACATTTGAATATATATTGTGTAACCTCATACTATGTTTAAATCTTTCAAAACATGTAATTACAGTAGATTTGAGAATGCTGTGGTAGATGATATGACACAAGATAATGGATTGGACTGAATTCATCCTATGCAATCTGTATGGCATACCATTGTTTTTACTGTATGCCAGGATCATCTACGTGCTACAGACAAATCGACAAGTATATTCGTCTGCCTTTTATAGGTTTATTATCGTCAGCGGGACTGTGGTAATTTTCAATTTTTAAAAAAAAAATTTAGGGTTTCTTTGATTGAAAAATGCATTTTAAAGAGTTTTTAGGCTTTATTGTTAGAAAAAAAATTTTTTAATTTTGAAATTGGTTTTTGTTCTTTAATCAGGACGACCACAGAATTTTTTTGAGCTACATCGGATGGGTGGGCATTAGGTACACCTTTTGACACTTTCCTTGTTAAAATTGTATTCTTCATTATATGCATTTAGTACCGCTGCAAATTAAAAAAATCACCTTGAAAAGGAAGTAAATTTTGTATTAACTATCATGCACATCCACTTATCTATCATATATACTATTTTACATGCACATACTACAAAAATGCGTAGGCCAAAGAGTCACAAAACTGGACTCAAAAAAAAAGAAAACCTCTTGAAAGCATTGTCATATTATAATTATTAAATTAGTTTGAATTCTGGCAGAATGTAGGCGTTAATTTTAACAGGTGTCAACGGTGGACAAAATTGTGACAAATAATATTAAGCTTAAATGTATAAAATTTAGAGTTTTGGATACAAAGTTAGCATTAGGCTGTTCAAATAATTCTGTGCTCCCTAATTCTGAAAATTTGCTTTGAGAGGGGGGGGGCAGAATTATTTGAACAACCTAATAGTTTTGTAAAATACATAAAATTAAATCAAATAAAATGCTGAATATACTATAATATATTTTAAATTTGTGTATAACTCAAGTTTCGAACTACAGTAAAGTTTTTTTTCAAAGTGCCAAACTACAGTAAAATGAAAGTTATAATGTTTTACACAGTGACAAAGCTAACAAATTTTAGGATTGTTGTGGCTACTGGTTAAATCAGATCTTCAATCGTTGGCCAGCCTCTCCTTTGTTCGGAGACCTTCTGTTACATTTATTTGGGTCACCAACATACTACTTTACTCTACCATACATGTGCACGTTTTACTCGATGTACTTGGTACACATGAGTGCCTTGTTATTGGCCATAAACAGGATCAGCTCTCTGTTCATGCCTTTGTCTTATGAAAAGGTAAGAGGATGACGGTTAGGACATGTAGTAGTGATTAATGTTAGCAATAAATCTTGTAAGGTTAGGATAGGATAGAGGGTAGAGTAGGGCCTAAAGTAAAGCTAAGGTAAGGCTAGAGTAAGTTTAGAACATGGGCTAAAACAATGCTTGGGCAAGGACTAAAAAAGAGCTAGGATAGGGGAAGGGTAGGTTTTAAAGTAAGTTAATGTAAAGCTGAGACAGGGGCTAAAGTAGAGCTAGGATAAAGCTATGTAGGCTAAAAAAAGTTTATGATAAGACTATGAATCAATCTTAATTCTGTTACGGTAAAAAAGTTTATAATTTAAAAAAATTTTAATATTTTGTAAAATACGGCATGGCAGCGACAGTTGATTCGTTCTTTTGCTACTGTAGATTTTTAGGTATGGCGAGAGTACTTTGCATGGGTATTACTGTTTTACTTTGCTGTGCCATTCTTTTTTTGCTTCCACCTATTAGCATCTCCAGTCTTTGTTTCAACTGAATCTGTGGATCACTTCTTCACTTACAAAGCCGTACTCACTGGAGCATTCTTTGGGGTAGGTCAAGTTCTCAATTTTGTGACAAACATACTGTATTTTTTATTCATTTTATAAGTACTAACTTAATGAGGAAAACACTCTTTTTTGTTGCATAAAAGTACGATTAGTAGCTAAAAATTAAAAATATTGTATTATAAGCACAAAGCAACTGATAAGGAGTTTGTAAACAAAAAACAGCTCAACAAGGTCACAATATTATTCAAGTACGTCAAAAATACTGTGAGCGTATATATTAGTGGTAAAAATAATAATCAAAGATGACACATATGTCACGCTTTTTAATTTTTATGACGCAAAGAATTTCAAATTCAAACACAGAGTATATTTTAGTATTTTAACTGTAATTTCAAGCAATATACTGTGAATTTCAAAAAATTTTAAAAAAATTAAGTTTTAATTTTTAAAATATTTTAAAAATTTACGTAGGGCCCAATATTTTTACACAATATAGATATACTATTTGCGCTTATGAGTACCGATTTTCAAAAAATTACAAAAATTTTTACAAAAGTTACAACAGTTTCTTTGAGCGCATTCTTATCATACCATTAACTTCTTTGGGACATAATGGTCGCTTATGTACCATTTTTTCTTACTTTTTTCCGATACGATAATTTGGAAAAATTCGATTTTTCATATAGTTTTATTTGTCTTTATCTTTCTTTCCTCTTTCCACGCTATGTCTTACCATAACTACAGTATGCTGGTACCGTAAAACCTGAAGCCTCAACCCACGCTGCGAAGCCATTTTTTCAAAAATTTGAATTCGAGATCGGAGGGAGGCTGGCTGTGAGTGGGGTTTCGAAGCGAAGGAAAAGGCCGTTACAGTCAGCTGACTGTCGACCGTCTCTCACTTCGCCTTCGCTCTCTCCGCCCGTTGAGGAGACGGCTGCGGCGTCGGAGAGAAAACGAAGCTTTCTGAGCGAAGCGTTGTTATAAAAGTGCATTTTGAGAGAAAAACAACAATACACATTCATGCTACGATGTCAAGAAGGAACGTGAATTCAGAATCCTACGAAAGCGATGGATTCTGTGGGATTAGGTAATAACATAGGGTATATCTACAAAAATTGGTCTTACGGTCTGAAAAACTATCTAATATGTCGCCTAACAAAAAATATAAAGTTTGCGACAAACTATACTCATTAATAATATAACCACAAAACTGTATTAACAAAAACATACAAAAGGCAAACCTTCCAATAGAAGTTACAGTACACGTTTCATCGTATAAAATGAACCTTTTAACGTTTATCAAGGTTCAATATCCAAAGGCTCAATTCGTACTCCAGTATCTCAAACATTACCATTACTATCACCGTATGTCTTTTGTCATAATATTTCCAAATCTTACTGTAACGTAGCGTCGTCTCCAAAGTAATTACCCCCACATTACTCACTCAGCCAGCCGCGCCCGTCTCTCAACCCTTGATTATATTCGCTTCGATTCAAATTCCTATCGATAACTTTGAATTACATTGAACTACATCTATATACGAGCTGTTTACAATAGGATACTTCTATTTACATTATCTTACTGCATCTATATCTACTTTACCTGCGAATTACTACATCTATATACATCTTTAAGCCACTAAAATAATATAATAACCTACATCTATCCATAGTAAATTTAGAATAATGTCTGGTATCTTGGCAGTAGGCTTGATTATCACGGCTTTGATCGGTTTCGCTCTCTATGGTAAGGTAACTAAAGCTAGTCTACGTTGATGTAACGAACTTATAAATGTAAATACTGTAAACTTGTATTTTGTACTAAATGTAAATTTAATGTAAAAGGTGTAGTAATGTAATGTAAATGTTGTAGTAACCTGGTCGTTGGGCTTTTTCAAGCAAGAAGAACCTCATTTCCCAACCGCTCATTGCAAGAAACAACTTTGATTTCTGTCGCAAAAGTTTTGGGATCATTTCAGTTCAATGTAATGTCGTTTTCCTTCTTTTATTTGTGATACAAGACTAATATACCTTCGTTATATCTACTATACTATATTTTTGTTATGTTGTTAGTAAAATTTTTTACTTTCTTATAAAGCTGTTGGTAAAATACGATTCTCAAATCACTAGGGTATTAATTAAGGAACATAAAAGCTCATAATGAACTGAATTCTACGTACTTTTTGACCGAAACAACCAAATTCATTTTTACTAATATGATCTGTAATGCCAATTTTTTGACCATAGTAATGTCGTGGTATTACTACGCATTATTTAATATTACTAATCTGGTCAAAAGTTCTTAGAACGTCTAAATAGGCTTCTATTGAAGTCCTCAGACCATCTGCACGGTGTAGCCACTATATCTTAGTTTTGATAACATTCACAGCACTAACCTACTAATTCTGAGAAAGTTAGTGTTATAAGATACGATAGCTTTCCCAATGTATTAAAGCCTGCCATATTTAATATAGCTCACAAGAGGACCGCAATGATCAACTTTAGAAAGCTGACCTGATGTAACAAGTTCTTAGTCTTAACTTCCATTTTGACTAACTTATTCTTGAACTACTATCATATCATTCAAAGCTTACCCAAAATAATGTAGCGCAAATATAAAACTCAACTTATATCTACTATAATATAATTAAGAAGCCAACATCCGAGAAGTAATGTATAAATATTCATTGGTATTTGAATGATTTACAATAGAGATCAGTCGAGACTTTCATCTCCGCAAGAGGTCATGAGTATGTACAACTATGTGATAGACTACCAAAATAAAAAGTGAAAATTATTAAGGACACTTATTAGGCTTTGGCCTTGGGGGCAGCCTTCTTCTTGGGCGCGGCTTTCTTGGCTGGTGCTTTCTTGGCGGCGGCTGGCTTTTTGGGCGAGGCGGCCTTCTTCGTGGCTGGCTTCTTAGCGACGGCGGTCTTCTTAGCCTTAGGGGCTTTAGGCTTAGCGGGGCTCTTGGGCTTGGCGGCCTTCTTAGCGGCAGTCTTCTTTGGCTTGGGCGAGGCTGGGGACTTCTTGACCGCGGCCTTCTTCTTGGGTGAAGCGGCCTTCTTGGGGGCATCAGCCAGACGGAACGAGCCGGAGGCACCAACTCCCTTAACTTGCTTCAACGAGCCACTGGCAACACCACGCTTCAATCCCAGGCGGAGGTGAGCGTTGATCTGAAATTTCAATAATAAGAATATGTAATTTTAAAATTAAATTGGCTTGTAATTGAACTTTAAGAAAAGTGTTACCTAATCTTAGCCATTCTACAAATAATTTTTAAATTAGGCAACAAAAATATTTTTTTTAAAGTTTAAACCCAAAAATTCTTTAAAATGCAACTAGAATACAAAAATTAACTATTAAATATCAAAACTAACTATCTAACTCCACAAAACCATCTAATCTATCTACTATACATCCCGAAACATACCTGAACAAGGTTGTCTCCAACTTTGTAGTGTTGAACGATGTACTTGAGGATAGCAGCACGGCTGGAGCCCTTCTTCTCCTTCAATTCACCGACGGCCTTCTTGATCATCTCAATGTAGGTTGGGTGAGAAGCTGGGACCTTAGGCTTGGCGGCTCCCTTGGCTTTAGGGGCCTTGGCCTTCTTGGTGGCCTTTGGGCTAGCCTTGGGCGAAGCTGGGGCCTTGGGCGAAGATGGAGCAGCAACTGGAGCAGTGTCGGACATTGTAGCGGATTATAGCAACTTGCAAAATGCAAAATGGTATGTGCAGAGCCAATTTTTCGCGTTTTATACCTCGCGCCTCAACCGCGAGTGGACCTCTAACGCCCGCCTCTTTTTCCACCAAAAGGGAATGTCCGAAATTCGAAGGGGGCTAGCGAAATACGCCGATAACGCAGCACCAATAGCACCGATTGGCTTCGCTGTAAGCGCATTGTGTAGCCAATACAATAAGCTCCATTTTAAGCTACAGTTTGCTATCAAAATGTTTTTTCATAACTTTTTCTCCAACGCAAAACTAAACATTTTGTGTTTTTCTTCCAAGTAGGTGTTGTTTACTAATTAGTTACAGTACCAAGACAAATAAAAAAGCACAATTCGAAGCTGCAAAATTGTTAGAAAATAGATGAGCTTTCGAATGGTGTATATATTGACATATTTTTAATATCATACCAATTTGCTAGAGAGCAAAAAGTTACCACTACCAACTACACTGACTCTGTCATGTGATATACAAAAGTACCAGTATCTCGAAAAGTACGAAAGGGTTTGAAATGAGATTTACATTACTGTAAAGGTATTGTAATTTTCTATCTTTTGATACTAGTTTCATTTTTATCCGATGTTATTAACATGGGTTACGGTAACCAAACGCAAAAGCGTCACGCCCCAAAAAAGTGGAAAAGCTATGAAATGGAATATAAGTGGTAGAACAAACATGGTCGATTGTAGAGTTACAATAACAGTAAACTATAAAAATTATACATAAAAATGATCCTTGAGTAATTTGCAATTTTTTAAATGTAATTTTGTGAATTTTGGTGTACTGTAACCTTGTTAAATTTGGGCTTAAAGGATTTTGAGTCAAATGGGAAAAAGGGGAGAAACGGGAAGAGAATGTGAGATAGCAGTTGTACATGTTCATGGTATTTACATATGCAAATGTACTGTAAAGGTTACAATTTTAGGGCTGTAGATGGGGAATACTACCGTACTCGACCCTGTGTTCATGCCATCTTGTTTACTAACTCTTTTGGGGGTATTGGAGGTTGTTTTTGATTCCAATGCCAGCCCAAAACCAATCGATATTCTCTTTCTGACCCGCTTAATGCTCCACACATGTTACCGTTGTACTCGACAGTAGAAGGGGGTACTGTAATGTGTATGAAGGTGTGGATGGGGTGATAGGGTACTGTAATTTATCGATGAATTTTGAGTTTTGTCGATGAATGTTGGGGTTGAGGTGGGGAAAGGGCAGTATGACTTTTTAGTGTTTTTGGGAGGAAAAAAACAAAAAATGAAAAGAAAAACATTACTGAATAGAAGGGGTGTTGCACTGTAAAAAGGTTACTGTAAGCAGAGGGAAGTGGTTTGTAAGGTGTAAGGGCAGGAGAAGGGAAGTAAAGTGAATTGATGTTAGTGATGATGACTAATTCAAATATGGAGTTTTACTAAACTTCGGTCATCGACACTTACTGTTATCTAGATTGACTTATAATACCTATAAAATGACTTTAAATAACAGAAAAGTTAAGACTACATTAACAAAAAATGTCAAAAACAATTCAAAAAGCTAAGATATAACTATGTAACCCTCAAAGCATAACATTTTAGATGTCGATGAGAGTCCGCTCGCTAGCCTTCTTCCTGACCACATCTTCATTCACATTACTCATCAACCTCACCAGCTTCCTCTACCTGATTTACAGACAAAAGGCCATGAAACTAACTCAAGATACTCAAACTCGACTGTTCATATTTACTATAGCTTTGTTTGGCTGTCACATACTACTGGTCATAGAGCAATGTCTATATGTTTACGCTGGTTATGTCGAGAAACTACCATGGATCAGTGCGATCACAACCAAATATCCTTACTTTTGTGATCTGACGACACTGGCGCCGGCTGTTTTGTTGCTGGCAACTTCGACAAAGTTGCGGCGACACGTTTTTCGGCCACTGAGGTTGTGGTTGTTGTCGTTGTTGGGGACGGAGCCGCCGGTTAAAACGACTACGGTGTTTGTGTCAACTTACAAAACTAATATTCAACCAATAAGGATCACTAAATGAAATGGTGCTGTTGGTGCTGATGGAATGGTGCTACTGGAACTGATGGAAAAAGTATTTGGAGTAAAATTCTTTTTTATGATATTATTTATGTTAGTTGTTTTAAGAAATTTTCGGTTGGATTAATGTCTTTTTGATAGAGTTCTAATATTTTTAAGTTTCAATTTGTATTTTTCTTTAGTTTTTAAGTACAATATACTGGTGCTAAAAGCTTGTAAACGTCCTATAGTAACTTAATTTGATAAAACTTGGTGTTATAACATAAAAGAAGACTACTTTAATTTTCTTTGTAAAATAAGAACATACATTGAGCTAATTTTTTAAACTTACTTTTTTATATACAGGGTGTCCCGAGAAATTTCGTCGCTAGAAATAATTCATAACTTGGCAACTATGCATCCTAAAAATGTCCAATTTGGCACAGTTGTAGAACAGACTTGTACATTTTTTTATGGAAAATTTTGAGTTTTAAAAGTGCAAATTACGGTCATTGTGAATTTTTAAAAATCAGCTTTATTTCTAGCGACGAAATTTCTCGGGACACCCTGTATTCATCAAGAACCTAACTTTAAACCTCATTACTTTACCGCACTTATACTACAATATTATGATACCTGTTTGTTATGTTATTGTACTGTCACATTTAATAAAGTTTTATTCTACGAATATATAGTATTCCCAAAACTGTTTTACACACCAAAACCACGTAAAACATATGAAAGGCTATTTGACCACTTTTTATGATTTAAGATAGTATCTGAGAAAGTTGCGCAACGTATTATGTCGCTATATGGGTAAGATGAGGTGAGGGCAATGTCTTGGTCAATACCGCCAAGGCGATACTCTATATGAAGTATAAGGCGGCATTTTCATAACTAAATATACTTTTTTTAAATTTTTTAAAAAATTAGTCATAAAAGTGGTAGTAAATTTTAAAAAAATGCTGTTGGAAGGATTAAAAAAGCGTTTTTATGGACTTTTCGACCGAGATAAAGTGTTAAAATGTGAAAAAATGTTAAGGTATACTTAGAATGTAATAGGTATAGTTGTTAAAGATATTATTTGTAAGTTTAACAGCCTTTTTTGTTATTTTTGAAGTGAAACAACAATGTTTGACTAGTTTTCATAGCCTCGAGCACTTTTATATACAATTTTATTGTTTTCAAGTGGCAATTTAAATATTTCTTCATTTTTTACCGAACTTTAAATTTTTATTACTTTAATTATGTCTTATGACTTTCCTAACTTCATCGCCCGCCACTGTCCTTTTTTTAAGTTCATCGTCCGCCACAGCCACTCCATAAACCACCGTAAATCCGCTGATTCCCTCGATCGCGTCGCAATGCTTCCTTAATCTTGACCTCGGCCTGTTGTCCTAATTTAGCGCCAAAATATTGCGACGCCAGTCACGATTTTTGGCGCCACTTTCGTTCGTATCGGGCCTCGTGGTCGTATCTTCCCGACCTTTGTCGGGCTCGTTCCAAATGTCCAGATGTCCGCGGCTTTTCGACCAGCGCGCCCAAAAGTGACCGCGCCAAGAATGAGGGCCAAGCCGAGATTTGTAAGAGAGAATGAGATGAAAATAGACATAAAGAACATGATATTATGACGAGATCAAGCATGAAAATTTATTGTATTAAAAATTCAAACACTTCATGTATTATGTTAGATCGTATCGGCGTATATAAAATAGTCAAATTGCCAATTATTTGGCTTATTCCCATAAGACCAATTATAAGTATACATAGTACATTACTTTTAAGTTTTTTTTCGAAATTTATGTTTTTGTACTTTTATGTAGCTATTGTATACTACGTCAAGTTGTTTGCATATTTCGAACAACATTTTGAAACTATGGCACACTTAGCTGGTTGTCATGTGTTTCTTTGTTTCCTGAATGACCACTCTTCTTTCTCTGACCGCATCTCTCCGTGAAACAGTCTCTTTCATCACGTTGCCGAGCCTTCTACCGTTTTACTCTTCTCTCGATTAAAACTATTTCTTTCTTTATGTTCTTGTTGGCATACACTATGCTTTTCTTTATATTATTGTTAAATAGTGTAAACTATGCTTTTTATGTTCTTCTTGTTATTCTCTCTCGATTTATTGTTCTTGTTGATATAAACTGTGTTTTTCCTTTTTCCTATGTTATTATTGGTATATCTTCCCCGATTTTATTGACACTATAACCTTTCCCCTCCTCTTGTTTGTGTACTCTTACCCTTCTTTCGCTTAACGCTTCATTCCCGCCATTTCTCTCGAGAGTAAGAAAACGCGGTCGAATTAGTTGCGCGCCAAAATCGACCCAAATTATAATCCTAAAATGATTGGCAGTTTATTCGGTTTACAATAGGTTTAAAGTTTATTACACTGGGAGCGTAAGAAGCATATTATGATAGAAGAAAGAGTATTATGAAGGTAATATTGTGATAGGAGAAAACATATAATAATATGGTGACAAAACTAAAAAGAAGTTACTATTGAGATAGAAGAAACGGTATTATGAAGACAATATTGTAATAGAACAGAAAGTAAGATAATATTGTGACAGAACAGCAGTTGAGATAAAGGTAAATCGAGGAGGTTTACTTAGCACTCAAAGGTATAAAAGCAATACACTTAAAAATGCACGACTTGGCCACAATGAGTTTCCTGGAAAGAAGCAAAGGTGAAGAACACAAATTATATTTTTAAAACTTCATTTTTCAAATTTAAAGCTCATAGTGACTATAACAACTCATAAGATCTATAAACATCATGAAATTCTACGCACTTTTTGACCAAGATCTCAAAATTTTAAAAACAATAAAGGTACCAACTACTTACAAGGTGGAGGTTTATATGACTAAAGATAATATAAACACTATTTATTTACTAGTGACTGGGGTAACTACCGTTGTGGGATGTTGAGTAGTAGTATTAGAAGGATGTATTGTATGATTTGTCAAGCTTCCATGATCAGATCTTTCAGAATAGCACCATACATTCAATAACAACATGATGATCGCGAAGCAGAACAAGATGATCAAGAACACAAGAAGTGCGTTCGTACTGTAACGTAATAGCTTTAAAGTTACTTTCAAAAACACATTCACTATCAATGTAAAATACGGTGATTTTTTTATCTACAACAAAATTATAACCAAATACAATTTAAATTACCAAACCTACTCATTTCTATTCAAGTAGTCAGTTAACAAAGCAGAAAAGTAGATTCCGACTAAAAAGTACAGTAAAAGTAGGTACTGTAAGTGCAAATGCTTATTGATAAACTTTTCAAATGAGTTTTCATGATGACTTGCCGTAGGTACTGGCTCTGGAGAAACTCTAGTTCTATACATTTTAAAGAAAATGTACTAGACTATAGCACGATTGTTATACTATGTTCTTGTCGAAGGAAGCTTGGTTTGTTCTGCGTAACTAACTTTATTTGACAAATAATGTGACAGGTAAGAGAATATATGCAAAAGCTACTACACTACATTATATTAGGTGCCGGCAAAAGTTTTTCCACAATTTTTGTTTTTACCAAAATTTAATATTTAAAAAAAAGAACATCAACTAATGAACAAATATATGTACCATTATTATCAACGACCTGTTGCCATTCCTTCGGCAGCATTTGGATTCAACTTCTATAGAAACCTGGAGTTTGAGAACTGAAAAAGTTAGCCCATCACCTCTTGAGGTACTCTCGATTGTTAAAGTGTGTTGCGTTCAGGTGGTTTTGAAGAGAGTGGAACATATTATAATCTGTAGGCACAACATCAGTTGAGTACTGTGCATATAGCATCACAGCCCAGCCGAAGCTTTTCAGCTTGTGGTGGGTCAACTTTGTCACATAGGCGCGAGCAGTATCATGAATGAAGAAGGTTTTATCCTGTTCACCATGCAATGCCGCCGCAACAGATTTAATTTGTCTACAGTCGACAACTACAGGAATCGTATTTCCATGTGGTACCATTTCCTAGTACAATACCTGTTGAGTTCCAGCTAACTTATCTGATCATCTCCTCCAGTGGCCACTGCAGCGGTTGTAGATCAGGTTTTGGAGTTGATACACTCTGTTCTCTACGTCCACGCCATTGTTTCTTCCTGGTGTGATTAACATACAGTACCCACTTCTCATCCCCAGTAACCAAATTGCCAAGCCATGCAAAGGTCCTTGGGAACATCAACAAATAAGTGCAACTTCCACTTAGCGTTTCAGCTGGCCGCTGTTCAAATCATGTGGAACCCCTTGACCATATTTCCATGATCTTCTAAAGGGCGTGAAGTCTAGTTAATATGGTAGAAGGATCACACTGAAGCTCTACAGTCAAATGAGTACAGGTTTGTCTGGGGTCTTCTTCAATCAGCTTCAGAAAGTGGGGTTTCTTCAACGCTGATGGTCTACCATATCGAACTTTTCGGACAGGTCAAAGTCACCGTTTTTGAACTTGTGGAACCAAACTTTTGTGGTGTCGTAAGAGACAACTGAAGGCCTTACAGCACTGCATATTTCCTTCGTCGCTCTTGTTGCGTTGCCGGGATTGCGGAATTTGAGAAGCAACACTGCCCAAACATGGTCATGTTTCACCTTGATTTCCTGAACCATCGTAAACAACAGAATGCTTGAACATGCAATAGTTTTTAGTCCTTGGACAACTCTTTATATAGGTTATCAACAGAAACTTCTAGAACTGTCTATAATTTTTTGGTAAATTTTTGAAAAATTGTGGAAAAACTTTTGCCGGCACCTAATATTAACATAAAAAACATTAAAAAGTTAACAAAATACATATCAAAAACAAGTTAGAAAATATAAAAAAATACAAAATCATTTCTAAAACAGTTTATTGGCACAAAAACAGATGAACACGATGGCGTTGATTCACTTTGTATCCTTCTTCTTTTCCTTTTCTTTCTCCTTTTCTTTGTCTTTTTCCTTTTCCTTCTCTTTCTCCTTCTCTTTGTCGTCTTTCTTCTCGTCTTTTAAACTAAAAACATACAGTAATTTACAGTACTAGTTTATTTTTAAACTTAGAAACGTATTTAAAAATATGAAAAAATGTAAGTTCTAAGCTCAGATATATCAACTTACTCTTCATCTTTACTGAGCGTCTTTTCGTGAGCTGAAAGTACAAAAACATTGTTATATATGTAGGTATGAGCAAGGTGGATATCAAAATATATAGTAAAAATCAATTTTTATGGTATAAAGTATGAAAAACGTATTTTACAACTAAAGAATCGCAAGAAATTTCATTTCTTATCCAATAAATGGCAAAAAGTTACTTTCCACTGCTAAAAAATGATGAAAACTTTCTTTCCAAAGCAAAATATGACGAAAACTTTCTTTACAACCCAAAAACCACTGATTTCAGAACAATATTCTCTAGTTACTATAGTAGAATTAACCAAAACAAACTCACATAAATCCTCGGACGTGTTCTTCTTCCGCCTACTCATAGGCTTGGCACGGTGATTCGAGATCTTTTGTCGCGGTTTCTTGTCTCCCATGTCGACTGTCGCGTGTTATGTCACGTAAACCACTTTCAGAGTTGACTGCCACCAGTTCGTCACGGTAAAAATGGTTAGAAATGAAGATTTGCAAAACGAACACTTTTGATTTTTGAATGACAAAAAATTTGCATAAAGGTAAATTGAAAAAAATGTTGAGCTTGATCAAAAAAATATTTTCAAAATCGTTCAAAAAATTTTTTTCTTTTTTTTTCACCCTAGCTTACCTGATACGTACTGCATATACTATAATATCGTTTCAAATATTATACAAACTAAGAATTAGATTATTTTATTATAACAACGTCTAGTACTACAACATAAGTGTAGATGACTTCTAAAAGTTTAAAAAATACCCATAATAAATGACTTTGAAGGTCGTAAATAAACAAAAAAAAACTCCAAAAAACGTTAAAAAACTAAAAAAACAACAACGTTAACATTGAAATATCAAAATATTATAGTACGATATCAGACATCAGAATATTTGATAAATCAAGAGATTCAAATCTTAAACTTCTTCTTTTCAAGCTCATCTTCTCCTAGGATCGTGGACCACGATCTTGAACGGATCTTCAGAAGGCTGATTGCTTGGTTCGAAGCCTTTTGGCTTAAAGAAGAAGAATTCATCGCTGTCTTCACCTTCGTCCTCATCCTCATCATAGTCATCATCCATATCGAACAAAGACTTTCCTTTCACCGTGGGAGCTGGTGTTGTTGTAGTTGGTCGAGGCTGGCGAGGATCTGGACGACCGTATGGTACTGGTACTAAAAATATTAATTTTGCAATAGTATGTGGATCTCCTATAAAATAAATTTTAAAATTTAAAAAAAGCATTGTTTTTGTCTTTTGTGATCAAAAAGTATGTAGAACAATCGCTATTACAGTACCCACAACCTAAAGTACAAAATCTAACTTACATCTCGTAGAAACCGGATAAACCAAGCTTGGTGGCCTTGTTGTAGTCGTTGTAGTGGTGGTTGTAGTAGTAGGTGTAGGAGTAGTCGTAGTAGTTGTGGTTGTCGTTGTAGTAGTCTCTTCTTCCTCCTCACTACTCATGTTGTTATCATCGTAGTAATCCAGATTCAACATTTGTCTAGCTATTACATCCGGAATTGTAGGCTTTACTGCTTTTACTCTTATCGTCTCTTTGATGCCAACATCAATTGGCTCAGCTTGATGAGTAACGATTACTGGAGGCGGTGGAGTTGTTGTTGTAGTCGTTGTGGTGGTAGTTGAGGTTGTTGTTGTTTCTCTAAAAGTAAAAATTAGTTCAAAAATAATATATGTTACCTAAATAACAAAGTGATAACGTTTTTGCAACCGTGCCAAATTATTTAAAAAAATTTTATTTTATGTCTATACCTACATCAATATAACTCATAAAACTCACAAAACTCCGCTTGATCCTCCACTGAAAACTAAAGGTGGCGGCCGTCTAGAGACCTGGTACACTCTGTTCGTTGGACTAAACGTAATATAGTACCGTCCAGCCGTGTTGATCGGATCAGCCGCCTCTCCATTACCGACCGGTCGAGCAGGTATTTTACCATTCCTGAGCTTCTTCTTGATCCCCTCCTTCCACTGTTTCCTCTTTTCTTCGTACGACAAAGCTGTAGCGTTGTGAGACCATCTTCTGAACGGGGTTTGTCGCAGCTCCGTGATATGAGAAACGCCCTTCAGAATCGGTTCGTCGCCAAACAGATTCTGTTGTTGTTGCATTTGTTGGAGATGAGCCAGTTTGAGACGTTGTTGATGTCGCATATGTTCTCTGATTAGATGAGCAAACATGTCGTTCGAGATGTAGTTGAGGTTGAAGAGTGGAGGAGCTCGGTAAGGCACGGAGAAGTACGACGGACGACGGTACGGGGTTTCAGCGTACTCAATATACTTGCTGAAGGAGTTGGGCTGGAAGGAGGTTTTTAAGATAAAATCAGTACATAATTTACTGTAGAAATTGTAAATTTTGAAAAATTATTCAAAATTTAAAAAAAACTAAATTCGCTTCAAAACCAAAGATCAACTCAAACCACCCCCTCTTACCTCATACTGTCCCCCAGCTTGTCGTCCATACCCATCCACAACATTCACTAGTACTGTAACCAGTACTACAGCCCAATGCCACATTGTCTGACCTCACATTCAGCCAGTTTTTCGAAATGAGCTGAAGCTGCACTTTCCGGAACTGATAAAAGGAGCGATCGGCCTGAGGGCGGCTGCTCTTTGGCCCTTCGGATGCACAGACAAGCAAGGGCGGCCATTAATTAACGTGTTGAAACATGTTCTTGTATTATTGATGCATGAACATGTTCACAATCTTTACGACCGGTTCAAGGTGTTTTCCGTTTTATGACCAAAGTTTAGAGGTTTGGTGTTGTTTTAGGCCAGATTTTAGTGTTCAAAGCTGATTTTCGATAGGCTTTCATGTTTTCTCAAAAACTAAAGGTTTAAATTTATGGTAAAATACATCATTGTAGTCTTTTTTTTTCATGTCCGATATCGTTCTATTAGGCCCGCCTTACCTCATTTTAGGTATGAAAAGTAGTGCTAAAAACAAAAGATTAGGCGCAGCTGTCAAGTACGAGGTTGTGGTTTGCAAAAGAAAGCCTTTTCATAATAATAAGTCCATTATTCATCTTGACAGGCTCTTTTAAAATAACTAAAGACGACAATTTTTTTCATATCATAAACCTCTATACCTATTTCGGAAACCCAAAAATACCATTTTTTAAACAAAAAGTTTTTAATTCCCGTACTCCTAGAGCCCGTATTTTACAAAAAGTGACAATATTATTTATCCTTAACAATAATATGTATGAAATTGTCTGGGTAGGCCATGTTTCTGGCCAACCAAAGCAGAGGTGTTTGTAATGGCAGAGGTACTCCATGAGAAATGACATTATATTCTTTGTCCAATTCGAGCACCTTCTCTAGAGTATTATCTTCGTTTTCGTCGTTTTTGAGACCGATTAGAAGTTGTTTCATGATTTGCCTTGGCTAAAATACAATGTTTTTAAAAATCGTTTTTCTTCTCACTTCTTGACCAAAAATAATTTAAAATTAAAAAATGGCGCTAGGACAAATGCGGTTTCTGGACATTTGCGGATCTTCGGTTTTTTGACAATTGCAGATTTTTTAAAGGGTTTTTTTAAAATTTTTCAGTTAATTTAGTTGTAGTATGGTACTAAAATTTAAGTTGGTACGGTTTTCACATAATAGTACCATTTTGGGCTTTTAGTACCATTTAGTACCAAAAAATATAAAACATTAGCAATTTAAAATTTAGTACTATTTAGCACTAAAAAACATTAAAACTGTACCAATTTAAACTTTAGTACCATTTAGTACCATACTACTCACTAAATTAACTAAACAAAAACCCCCACCCCCTTTAAAAAATCCGCAAGCGTCCAAAAACCGCATTTGCCCTAGCGCCTTAAAAAATGTAAAAACGTACAAAATAAACTTTGATAGGTACGTTGATAATATTCTCGTCCATGAGCTTTGAATTTATCGACCAAAAATCATCAAACCTTCCTGAAAGTTATTTTTTATAAAGCTTAACCTAACACAATGTAAATTTAATATAAACTTGACATAGATATGATAAAATAATATAAGTAGACTGTACCTATTATAACACTATTAACTTCTGTCTTGAAAATTTTGAAAAAACAAATTTAAGAAATTAAATTTTTAAATTTCACAAAAAGATAAAAAAAGATACAGTAAGCCAATAAAAACAAATTGACCATTTTGACCAGATGTGATAACCAACTTAACATATGCCTTTCAAATCATCAAAAGGTAATATAATTCATATTTTTCTATAGAAAGGTGAGAAATAACCATATGGGCAATGTTTCACGTAAAAAAATTTTTTAACAGATGGACAGCAATAATCATAAAAAGATCAATTTTTGTTAAAAATATTTTAAAACTTTAACATTTCAAAAAATGCAATCTATGTCTCAAAGAAAAGCTCAATAACCATAGTTTTGGTTTTTGCTTAACTCAAAACTAGCTGATACTTCCAAAATTGACATTACTATACTATCTAATAACTTCAAACCTAAAATTACCTTGAGCTATCGACTCGAAGAGTTTGTTATGTTCTTCGGCCTTCATATCCGATATTATGTTACCTCGGTGCTTCAGCTGGTCAGCTTCTTTCACATTTTGTAAAAACAAATTTCTCATTTCTTCTTTGCGCACTAATTCGTCTGGAAATGCCTAAAACAACATGTTATAATCATTAACAATTGAAAAAATCCATTTTCAATTATATATTGTCAGAAATAGATCAATATAACTTACCTTTAGCCTAACAGTAACTGACCATGGCAACTGCTCGGGTCCTGAGTGTAAATCGTATAAGACTCCTATAGGATAATGCCTAAAACAAGTAAAGTCATGTATAACAATTTGAAAACTTTGAAATTAATTAGCTTACAATTCAATATTAATTTACAAATAATTTGGTATCAAGGTATTTGCCAGATCATTATTCTTTAAGAATATAAACTACAACAGATAATATGCTCAAAGGCTTACCACTTTAAAGGTTGACCATTACATTCCAACCATATGTCTTCCGTTTCTCTTACAGTACTACTAATGTTTGTGAAATTTTGTAAAACTTTGTTAATGACTAGAGGAAAATACTCGACCCGTTTCAACATCAACTAAAATTATATTACAGTACCTAATAAAAACCAAAAAAAACACAAAACTGTAATAAAAAGTAATTTTAGGTAACAAACTCACAAATGCAGGCTTAACAGAATGTACAATATCAGGTCCCAGTTTGAATTCAATCGGTATCGTCGCCTCCCATGTGTTCCTCCTTACTTCGTAATCGTCCATCTACAACAATATACAGATCAACAAGAAAAAGTAATATCACCGATTCTAATTCTCAGTAATTTACGCTATGATATATCCAAAACCTTCAAATTACAAAACAAAACAATACAAATCAAATAAATATACAGATTACTCTTTGACACTACAATTAAAATCAAACGCCAAGGATAAGGTCAATGGCTTTATTCAACCTTTTAGGTAACAAAATACAAAATCGAGATATATCTGTACTAGTTATGCTTTTAAGTCATTTGGCCACGTTTTCTTGCTTGTTGATACTTTTTTGTCCCGTATGATACTCGACTAGCTGTTCCAGTTGATGAAGAAAATCTGAAAAAAGTGAATTAAGTATTGACAATTGGAATACGAGCTTTAAAAGTATTGGAAATTTTTGACAGCAACAAAACTTACACATTGTGAGGCGGTGCGACCGTCCCAACCGAAGTTCCAGCACTATTCAAGTTAGTGGTCGATCCTTGGCTGCTATTCAATCCAGACGAAGTCGTAGGACCAAATTTAGAGAGCATTAATGCTCTGGTCTTATCACATATCTGTCTCCATTTCTCTTCTGACGAATTAAAGAATTCTGATATCTCAGTTGCCAAACTAGCCAGACAAGCCTTGAAGTTGTCAATGTGTTCGATTTGTTCGGCTTTGAAGTCGTTCTTCACTATATCTTGAGAGTTTTTACATCGTTCGTGGAGATCGGTCAATAACTAAAAGAAAAAATTTTTAAAAATTTTCGACAAATCGTTTTAAATGTTGAAAATAGCACATATAGATCACAAAAAATCTTAAAAAATATTAAAATAAACCCACAGCGTTCAGTTCATCACCTTTATCGTAACAACGGTCTCTATACTCGTAGAATCGACTCATGAGATCTCTGAGATCACTTTCTGCATTTTCTAAACTTTCGGTAGCCGTCGCCTGAGCTTTATCTCTCGTAACGTAATCGTGGTATTGATGGCACTGCGCAACACACTCGGAACATAACTTCTCCTAAAATAAGGTAGATATAGGCAGATTTAAATTTCCGAAAGTCTATTTTAAAAAGTCAATAAGCATCCTAAACATAAAAAAATATAAAAAACTTACAACTAAATGGGCGTCGTGTCTCGGGCATTTTGGGCAACAATATACTTTATCTGATCGAATCACTTTCTTACACAAGCTGCAGGTATCGTTAAACTCCTCCTTTGGCTCTTCTTTCTCTGGTTCTTCGTGCTCGCTTTCTGTACTCATTCTTGCCATCTTTTCAGCAAAATCTTTAAAAAATTACGTTACTTCTGATAAGATCACTACATGTACATAAACGGATACAACCATTGAATTAAAACAACATCAACTAAAAAACCTAACAAAATATAAAAAACTTACGCATTAAAGAGTAGTCCTTGATCAGCTCGTCCATTCCAAAACGACTCCGACATTCCGGACACATCAAGGTTGATCCACCATCGTTCTCACAACAACTTTTACAACATTCGAAACACAATCTATGGCCACAAGGTAACATTCGCGGATCCTTCATCAAATTGCAGCATATCGAACACTCGATGAACTGCTTCAATGCCTTGTCGTGCTCGGCGGACGGCATTCTCGGCTCAAGAAATCAATTCCGAGGCGCGAGACGAAATAATCTCGAAAAAAAATTATATTTTCCTCGCGCTGGTGTCAAGTCTATGCTTGTTTACGCGTCAAGTCTGACGCTATTTCTTAATTTTACGACAAATTTTTGTCGGACAATTTATGCCATGGCGTCATGCATGATATACTGAAAATGCCACCATACTTTACGTGTGAAACACTACAATTTTCGACACTTTATAGATATAAGAAATGTGTTCATTGTGTATTTTAGATTAGTATAGTTGATATTACAGCGGAAAATAACAAAAATTTAAAGATATTTAATGTTTTTCATGCTTCTCACGTTGTTCATGGGCTGGAATTGGCTTGCCGAGATGACCGTTCTGAAAGTTAGATTGTTCACATCAAAGTTTGAATTGAAACATAAGAAACTAAAATTATAACTTTTTCCGAGCTATTGGTTCTACTGCAACATGAATACCTTTAAAGTTATGGTCGCTTTATAAAAAATAAAAAATTGAAGTTTGTAAAGGATAAAGCGTAGTATATTTGTTGAAAGTTTTATGTGAATATTTTGATATTGAAAAATTTGGGTCGATTTAAAATGTTAAAGGACAAAAAATATTAATTTGAATAAAGCTCATAGTCAGTGAAGTGGTATTTTTACACATTACCCACCTTTTTCAGATGTTTCAATTCATCTTTGCTCAGATCTGAGTATTGAGTGACATCAACGCTGGCTTTGGGATTCTTTTTGTGTAGTTCTTCGGCTTTGTCTAATGAAGATTTGAAGGCTTCGAAACGGGATTTCAACTCTTCTTCATCTACGTAGCACTTGTGGAAGCTGAATACTGCGATGTATGGTTTGGACACAACATATTATGATATTACTTTGAATTTTAAATCAAAAATGGGTATAAAAAGTGATATTATACTGCTCAAAACCTCTATGTTAAAACAACCTACTCCTTGATGAACTTGACCAACTTCTTGAAGGCTTCTTTGTCTTTTTCACCTTCTAGTTTGTTTTCAAAATGCTTCAAAAGTTCAGAATCTTCTTTGAGGCAAGCTTTTTTAATTTCCGGTTCAGCGGAAGATACGACAACGACACATAAACACAGTAATACGATACCTTTCATGGTGATTATATGCTATTTCCTATCATTTTGTCCTTATATATTGATATGCAAATGGCCATAAAATATTTTTTGAAAGATTTGTCCTTTTGAAAAATGGCTATTATATATGCATAGTAATGTTGCATAAAGAAAAATATAATAATGTTGAGTAATCCAACGACGAGACATGGTAAGGTTAAAATATTGAAACAATAGTAAAAATGTAATGTTTAAAATTTGTAAAAACTAGGTTAATATAAGACTTTTCGTTGTTTCGTATAACCAGGTTGTTTTTCGTTACGAGTAAAACCAAAAACGATACAGAAGCTAATGCTTTTGTTCAAAAGTAAAATTGTTTACTATAACATATAATAAAAAGAACAGGTAATGTACGCATAGTTAGCTGTATATAAATGTGGAGATCAAGTTGAACCTTTCAAACTTAATGTATAACACAAAAGTGTGTCAAACACGGTATTAGTATTTAAAAAATAATGTTTTCTTAAGTAAGTTACGATGGTTTAATCTAATTTTTGGCAAAATGATAAAATAAATTTAAATACGATTTTTAGTAATATTTTAGAGACTGACTGCGATATCAATTCGCTTTTTTTGTTAAATTAAAGCTGCTATTTGACTTGGTTACAAAATAAAGCTTTAAAAACTTTCAATACTTTCATATTGATGCATCGCTTTTTACTTTTATCAGCGTTTTTTGTGAAAATCTTCTTTACAGCAAACACTTTTGATTATCAGTCTGAAGCTATAAATACAAACATTTTATCGTTGTTGTTACATTTTCAACCATTGTTTCTCTTATTACAGCGGCTTTACAGTAGGCAGTACATTGACTTTAGTACATCGGCATTACAGTAAAATGTTCATTTTTTATAGTACTACCGATGTTACAGTAGTCTGTACTTTAACAGAACTGTAGACCGAACAACTTGATCTTTGTTCTGTTCACTTTGAATGTTCGAAAATAAACAAAAGTTCAAATTGTTTATCAAAAAGAGTTTCGGCCACACATTGGTGGGCCGAATGGAGGCAATTGTTATATTATCATACACAATCAATATGGCCTTTTTGTTTATAAAAAAGGGCAGTCAAAAAATATTGTCTCATTTTATCAACAATCAAAAAGGACCTCGTTTTAAAAATTCAATATTTTAACTCGAAGTTTTCGATTGTAAAACGTTGATGGTGGACTTTGTAATCAGACTAATGGTGTTTGTTAATGTTTGGCTTATTGCTATATCTAATCAGTATTGACTGATCTTTAAACTATCTAATCAGTATTGACTGATCTTTAAAGGTCGCCAACCTATCATTATCATATTTATATAAGGCTTGCTAACTTGTTTGTCAGCATTTTTCGCATTGTAATTCTTTTTTGAGTAGTATATAAAGGACACGCTTTTTGTTATCGTACAGAGTGTTTTGTTGCTTTTTAGGTATTCAAAACGTTTTTAGGGGTATTACATTACTTTAGGAGTTATATAATATAGTATAACGTGATACTGATTGTTAGTACTATACCTTTCAAATTTATGTACTCCGTATTTTACATTTATCATGATTCCTTTAATTGTATGGTAAAAGCAGTGTATTATAACAGACAACTTTACATTTTAAAACATTTACGGTAATGTCAATTTTACCACAGTAATGTAACGTTTACCATGGTAATGTAAATTTTAGTAAAATGACATCTAACGAGAAGTACCATACCAAGTTCTCCAATGGCGTTACTTTTCCACTGATCGGTTACGGTACTTGGCAATGTGACGATTCTGAATCCTTGAAGAAGTGTCTGAGAATTGCTTTGGACGCTGGTTACAGATACATTGACACCGCTTACTTGTACAAGAACGAACATATTATTGGAGAAGTGCTGGAAGAGTACTATCAAGCTGGAAAGTTCAAGAGGGAGGACATATTCTTGACTACTAAGGTACGATCTCATTACACTATTAGGGGCTTTCACTAAAGCAACAATTAGTAGGTTGTTCAAAGCATTCTGTGTCCCCTCTCAAAGCCAAGGGTTTTTGGGGTTAGGGGCACATAATTATTCGAACAACCTAATATTAAAAGTGCTGACATCAAATGAATTAGAAGTAATGTCACTACGGCACAAAGTAAGTACTAAACATTGAAAAGTAGCGAATGTTAGAGTTTAATTTTATGTAAGATATGAATTTAGTTGCCACTTCAAGGCCACAAACCCGAAGATGCTGAATGGTTCGTCCAATACTCTCTGAAGGCTCTGAAGACTGAATACATTGATCTTTTCATTATCCATAATGCTTGCTCTGCCAAGGTAATGATTTTATCTTACTTTAACAACACATTTTATACTCAAAATAACTCAATTTCTATATATTTTAACCTGTACTCTTACTTATGAGCTTTCTCATAATCAAGTAACTTTTTGATGGGCTTTCTACTATTTTCCATCATTACCTTGATCTACATTACTTAATCTTACAGATGGATCCACAGACTAAAGAGCCAATCGAAGCCGAGCCAGATATTCTAGAACCAAGTGATGTTCCCCATATTGACACCTGGAGGGTACTCGAGAAGTACTACAAAGAAGGTGTCTTCAAAGCCATTGGAGTGTCTAACTTCACCGTGCCTCAACTAGAAGACCTCTACAACAAAGCCAAAGTGAAGCCAATGAATCTTCAAATCGAACTTCATATCTTTTCTCGTCGTCGCGCTTTGGTCGACTTCTGTAACAAACACAACATCACTGTAACGTCTTATGCTACACTCGGATCTCCGGCTAGAAAGAACGGATTTATAAAGAGCTACGATGAGAAATGGCCCGAAGCCGATTGTTTGAATCATCCGATCGTTCAGGAGTTGAGCAAGAAGTACAACAAAACTCCAGCTCAGGTAGGACATATCGTTTTGTAGCTAAAATTACCATTCTAAGTAAAAAAGAAAGGAGTCGACGTTGGTCTTTTCAAAATTTTAATAATCTCGTTGTAGATCCTGCTCCGCCACCTGATCCACCTCAAAATCAGCGTGATTCCAAAGAGTTTGACGCCATCCAGAATCCACGAGAACTTTGACGTTTTCGACTTTGATTTATCAGAAGAAGACGTCAAGAAGTTTGACGAAATCAAGGATGATGTTCGACTGTTCATCTACCCTCATCTCAAGAAAAGCGCTTTCTTCCCATGTTACGATTAATCAATCTTAAATTAACTTTCAATATGTTATACTTGCCAATTTTATTATATATGAATAAAAAGATATTCAAAAAACTGAAAAGCTTAAATTAAACCTTTAAAATTTGGAAAAAAAAGGCAGTAGACTTTTTGCGTAATATTACGCTGATAATGCTTTTATCAACATGTTACCTAGTTTCAAATCAAAAAAATCAAAAAGGTCAAAAATGAGATTTTATTCAAATTTCGGTCGAGTTTTGACAAATTTCATTTTTCCCGTAGTGGCGAGCTCAAAGTGGTGAGAGATGGGGCTCTTGCAGTATCTTACCATTCTAGTGATATTGAGGACAACGGTAATTGGACAGAACCGAGGCATCCACAGGGCCGATTTCATCCGGGAGAACGGTTATGAACATCCTCTGTAAGTCGTTGTGATTTGAACTTGTACTTTTACTTTCAGATCTTTTCACTTTTAAATTTTAAAGTTAAAAAAAGATTTTAAATCTTAATATTGTACTAAATATTCTGCTTTCAGGATTCTAGACATTGACTATCGTTGTAAGTTTTTAATTTCTTTTAAAAATCAAGTCTTTTAAGTTTTAAAATTTAAAAAATTTAAATTCAGGGTCATTGGATAAGCCAGAGTTTCAATTGGAATTTGTTCACGAAAACTTTGCCGAGTTACAAATCACGTTTAGGCACAGTGCCGAGTTCTTGTTGAAAAAACCATTGTAAGTTATTGTCTTATGCTATATCAGGCTTTTGTTTTAGATTACTTTGATGTAGTTTTAATCTTTTTTAACATACGAAAGCGCAGCTATCAGCTTTTGATTAACCTGTGCAAATTATTTAGTGATATTATATTTTAGATGCTTCACGGTAGTTCCGGCTTCGAAAATTTGTGCGGAGAGTCAGCAGGTCCAATCAAACCTCGTCACTACATATTACTTTATAATCGACACGACTTACTGTGGTAAGAAACTTTTTCAATAAAAATAGTTTGAACTAACACTTTAGGCTTGTTTTTCTCATATTAACCTGTTTTTAGAATACAACCAAGACTACGCACATAAACAAACAATTGGCGGCGTAGAGTACAATCTGGTCATCGATGTTCCACACGATCCTGCCGATCTCCATGACATGGTCTACCTCAACTTGGTCATCACCAGAAAAGGCCGTGTGTTCGGAAATGGTCGATATGTTGCCACGATTGACTCGGTGACTCCACTGGTGACAAAAGACGAGAAAATGATGGATGTCTTTGATATTGGACTTAAAGACTTGGCCTTTGTTAAGGTGTTCTTCCAACCAGATGGTTTTGTCAGGGGTGTTATTGGTGAAGAAGAAATGATCAACTACACTTTGACTCACAGGACGACCACTACTACACCGTGCCCATCCGATGAAGACATTTATGAACATGACGTCATGGGCATCATCTTGGCATTGCTGTTCTGGCTGGTGTAAGTTTATAGACTGTTAATGTTACAATGAATAGCTTTGGTTTGAAGGAGTTTGGATATATTGCAGTAGCCTCGCATACCTTGTAAATGACTCAAAGTATTTTAATTCAATTTTTTAGAGGAGCACTCATTGCTTGTTCTCTTGCTAGCATTATTGCCATCATTTTGCTAAAAGCGGCTTTTAGTGAGGGAGTAAGTTTGGTTTACACACTTTAATTTTATGATTTTTAATGCTTTTGAATCAAATTGCTCGTTCTAGCAAGATCAAGTTGACGATGATGAGGACTTTGCCAAGAATGCTGACAAAGATAAGGTCAAGGAGGCGTTGGCGGCTAAAACACCCAAAGGTGGCAATGATAATGGACGTCGCGGCAAGAAGAAGAAGAAGGACAAAGCGATCAAGGACTCGAACAAGAAGGGCAAGGGCTCCTCCGAAGAGAAGAGTAAATATGTCACGGCCGAAGACGATCAGAAGAGTGAGAAGAGTCAGTACAAGACGGCCGACGACGGAGATGAGAAGTCGGCCAAGAGCGCCTATGTCACGGCCGATGATGGAGATGAGTCGAAGCTGGTCTAGACTGTGCAGAGGGCTTTTTGGAAGTGGAAATAAACTGATTTTACTGGATTTTTGTAAAAAATGTTGGATACTGATAAAACTATTAAAGAAGTGGTGTGTAGAAAATTCTTGTCGGCATTTACTTAGGAATTTAAATTTAGAAATGATGATGGTTAACACAATGTTTGCGTAGAGTCGGAGAAACATAATATAAGGTTAATATTGTTATATTGAATTCGGCATTTTAATCAAAACATTATTATTATGCTATAAAATCATGACAATGACGTTTGTTTCGTTAAAACCAGCGGGATTGACGAGTTTTTTCCTTCAAATGCCTTCAAGAACAAACTCAAAAATTTTATTAGGTTGAATACTCAATATTGAGCCACTGAACCCCATATCAGAAAAAAATTTTTTGCGCAACAAAAACAACTATTTATTATATCAAATAACTATCACCAACATTAATACAATCCGTCTAACGTATGTTAAAAGTTTTGTACTAGTAGCATAGGATTCAGAATTTCTGGAGCCTAGTAAAGTTTTGGTGGCCTCAGTGAAATCTTTATCTTCAGTGGATAGCCACTTACATATAAATGCTGTCGAAAATTTGAAACTATGGTAATATGTAGCTGTCATGTCGGGTAAATACGTATGATGGTCAAGAACTTCGTATCCAAACTCGTTCTGTTTTTCTGAGGTCATCTTTGCCCCGTGCGGACGGACATCGTCATGAACAATATTCGAACCTCCGTTTCTCATCTTTGATGGTAGATGGCGACGCATTTGTTCGATATTGTCACAATACGTCTTAACAGTCATGGTTTGACCACGTTTCAAGAAATTGAGTAGAATCAGTCCACGGCTACATCACCAAACATTCACCATTACGTCCTTTTGTTGCAATTCTGGCTTCAGAAGCTGGCTAGCAGATTAACCACGATGAATCCATACCTTTGATCTTCTTGTAATGTCGTAGCAAACCCATTTCTTGGTGTTGGTAACAATTTAGTCCATAAATTTCGGATTCCTGGCTCGTAGCAACAGTTTATTTTCAGCCTGGTTTCACTTTATTTTTATTGACTTTTCTGGTAATTAGGCACCCAACATTTCAAATGTTTTACGTATCCTATCGACTTCAAATGTTTGAAAAATGTTCTAATATAAAATTGTAGGTCTTTTGCTAACTCTCTAACTTAAATTCACTGTTCAATTTTAGTCCGCTGTTTCAGGCAATCTTCGTATATTGTTTTAGGCCTTCATGACCTTCTTTCATTGTACCTCCAGAATGGAATTCCTGGAACTAGCGTTTTGCTGTAGAATAGCTCATAATACCTTCTTCATTCGTTCTATTGATCATTTGACTTGCTGAGTTTGCGCTACTAACTGCTTTGAGGGGATTCTCAAACACTGCCTAAAGCCGTGATTTGTCTACATTATTCAAACGACTAAAAAACCAAAACCAAAAGAACAAAAGTGCTGAAACTTACATTTTATGAAAATTTAGGTATTAAACTATGAAATGACAAAAAATTATAAAATTACACTATTTAATTATTTTTTCCTGATTTTTTGAAAATTCGTTGTGAGACATGGCTCAATATTAGCAACACCATGTCAAAAAGTTCGCGAAAAATAAAAAAAAACTTTTAAAACTATGAAAATCTGTTTTGTCCGCCAATAATAGGCTTAAAGACTAACTTTTCTACCAATATGTTACCTAAACTCTCATAAACAATTGTAAAATTTTACGAAAGTCCAAAAATGTGATTTTATTCAAATTTTGGCCGAGTTTTGACAAATTTCATTTTTCCCGTAGTGGCGAGCTCAAAGTGGTCGCGTGTGAGAGATGGGGCTCTTGCAGTATCTTACCATTCTAGTGATATTGAGGACAGCGGTAATTGGACAAAACCGAGGCATTCACAGGGCCGATTTCATCCGGGAGAACGGTTATGAACATCCCCTGTAGGTGATTGTGATTTGAACTTGTTGTACTTTTACATTCGGATTTTTTTATTTTTTTAAATTTAGTTAAAAAAAGATTTCAAATTTTGATATTGTACTAAATATTCTGCTTTTAGGATTCTAGACATTGACTATCGTTGTAAGTTTTTAATTTCTTTTAAAAATCAAGTCTTTTAAGTTTTAAAATTTAAAAAATTTAAATTCAGGGTCATTGGATAAGCCAGAGTTTCAGTTGGAATTTGTTCACGAAAACTTAGCCGAGTTACAAATCACGTTTAGGCACAGTGCCGAGCTCGTGAGAGAATTACCATTGTAAGTTAATGTGTTATGGTATAAAATGCTGTAATTTAGACTATTTTAGCACATTTTAATCTACAGAAGCAGTTTAAAGTATATTGTTATGACTATTATCGACTTTCAGATGTTTTACCGTGCTTCCGGCTTCAAAAATTTGTGTCCAGTCTAAGATGGTCGACTTACGTCTTATCACTACATATTACTTTATCATTGACACGACCTACTGTGGTAAGAAAGTTTTTACATTTAGCGAGTTTTAGCTTTATAATTCTTCGCTTTGGCTTATTTACATATCTTTTGCAGAATACAATCTCGTGCACGCGCACAAACAAAAAATAGACGGTGAAGACTATGAACTGGTTGTCGATGTTCCTCACGACCCTGCCGATATCCATGACATGGTCTACCTCAACTTGGTCATTACTAGAAAGGGCCGTGTGTTCGGAAATGGTCGATATGTTGCCACGGTTGACTCGGTGACCCCACTGGTGACAAAAGATCAGAACGTGATGGATGTCTTTGACATTGGATTTAAAGACTTGGCCTACGTTAAGGTGTTCTTCCAACCAGATGGTTTTGTCAGGGGTGTTATTGGTGAAGAAGAAATGATCAACTACACTTTGACTCACAGGACGACCACTACTACACCGTGCCCATCCGATGAAGACATTTATGAACATAAAATCATGGGCTATATCTTGGCATTTGTATTCTGGCTGGTGTAAGTTTATCGACTGTTAATGTTATAATGGATAGATTCGGTCTGAAGGCCTTTGGATATATTGTAGTAGACTTACAGAGCTAGTAAATGACTTTTAACTTCTGTATAATCATTTTTTTAGAGGAGCACTCATCGCTAGTTCCATTGCCAGCATCATCGTCATCAAGTTGCTAAAAGGAGCTTTAATAGAAGGCGTAAGTTTATTTTACGTATTATTTTTTTGATCTTTTAATGATTTTAAATTAAACTGCTTGTTCTAGAAAGAACAACTTGAAGATGAAGAGGAGTTTGCCCAGAATGCGGACAAAGAAAAGGTCAAGAAGGCGCTGGCGGCTAAAACTCCAAACCGTGGAAAAGATAATGGACGTCGCGACAAGAAGAATAAGAAGGACAAGGCGACCAAGGACTCGAACAAGAAGGGCACCAAGAACATTAAGGGGACCAAGAGCAGTAAGGACACTAAGAGCAAGAAGGGAGCCAAGAACAAGAAGAGCAAGGGTGCCGGCGAAGGGAAGAATAAATATGTCACGGCCGCAGACGATCAAAAGAGTGAGAAGAGTGAGTACAAGACGGCCGACGATGGAGATGAGTCGAAGATGGTATAGACTGTTCAGAAGGTTTTTTGAATGGGAATAAACTGATCTTTACTGGATTTTTATAAAAGTTATTGTGTTTGTGCGGTATTCTTTTGAATTTAACTTGATATTGTTATGGTAATGATAATACTGTTAGAGTTGTAGTAAGATGTGTAAAACATTCTTGTCTTTATTGACTGTGTTGACCAATTTAAAAGAATTCAGAATAATTTTTTTTCAAAATTTACAAAAAATTTTTTAAAAGTTGGAGTTTTGTTATAAAATGAGCCGCCACCACTGTCAATAAATTTTACAGCTCTAAACCATGGTAAGATGTCTACTTTTGTGGGTTTTCCGCCTCTGATTCCCGTTCCGATCGAGAGTGGCATTGTTTTGGAGGTCATCTCACGTATTGTGCCATTAAAGCGCTCTCTGATTGCGTCAAGGAATTAGCACTCGGTTCACAGTGGTTTCTTTTGAATTTTGGTCTATTTTTAGTATTTTACAGTGTTATTATTATTTATTTGTTTATTGAACATGACTTTAATTGATCTTATTTACCAATAGATAGGAGAAAACTTACGGTAATTTTCGAAAAATTTGGGTGTATAGTGTTCAATGTTATATGTATTAGAATCGCTAAAGTTAATAAAAAAGTAGTGTAAGGTGAAGTTAAAAACGTGAAAAACGGTTTATAATTATAGATATTAAATGTGAAATTATACTATGGGTCTTAATTTTAGTAATCTAACAATTATAAGATGTTTTTCAAAGTTTAAACGTAACAATGCAATTATTAAAAGAATTTAGAGAAAACGTCATTATCATGCTTAAAAATCATTTGAAAGCTCATAAATATTGAACAGTGAAATTACCTTCTCAACCTCATTATTACTCTGATTTTACTCAAAGGTAGTGAATATTACTTTAAAAGTAGAAGGTATTGGTCTAACAGTGGAAGGTATTCTTATAACAGTAGAACATGCTACCCTAACAGTAGATAGTCGCCCTTTATTTGAGTAACATGTTCCTAACCTTTCGTCTTTTCACCTTTACTCGTCTTGCACTTGAAGGTCTTTATATGCAAATATGCGAGCAAGACCACAGTGACGTGAGAGACGCGAGAGAACGAGAGGAAACGGCGATAATTCAAAGGGAACTTGAAAATTTGCATATTCATTTCCCTGCGGTCGAAATGACCGTCTACCTCGTTTACCTCCATGTTTCGGTCAGTATTTTCTTTACCTTTGTTCCTCGGCCTGTATTTCGGTTCACCTCTCTTTTTCGTTTGATATTTCTTGCTTTGACCCTCCGGCGCTGTTTCACGTCACAAAAATGCGCGCTTAAAGTCTCGATCTCGGTTTGCATGAAATACGAATTGAAAATGTTTTTCTTAAAACTGTTTTGATTATTTTGATTTTTCCATGATTTTTACGTTTCAAGGTGTATATTTTCGGTTTTTTTAAATTTTGCTTTTAGAAACTTAAATTCTGGGAGGGGGGGGAGGGGGGACGGGGGACGGGGGGATAGCTTGGATTAGAAGTGGTTCTCTGTGAACAACGGAGGGGTGTTTCAATCACCAATTTTATTGTTTTTAAATCAGCGTATTAATTTTAAAATCGTATTTTACTAATCCCCAATAACTTCTATTATCCTTACTCCCCCTCATCGTCGTCTCCTTTCAAAACAGTTACATTGGATGGTAATGTGGAGTGACATATTGGGATTATTTTAATTCGAATCGAAATTCCAACGCGATAACTATGTAGTTTATTTGTTATCACTTTACAATTACTTCGATTAATCAAAATTTGTATTTGCGACGATTTTTTTTTGCGGTTTGGGGTGGTTTGATCATTTTTGTAGGTTTATTTTGCGATTTTTTAAAAAATTTTTAAGATTTAAAATTTTTTTTTGCAATTTGAGGAAAGGGAGGAGGAGGGGGAGTAAAGATAGACCTGAAAGAGGGTTTATTCAGCTCGGCCCAGCAGGGGCTGTGCTGAAGCAAATTTGAAAAGGGGCCGGGCCGAGACATGTGGACCCCAAGGCAGGGCTGAAAAACTAGGCCCAGCCCCTTTACAGGCCTAGAGGGGGATACAGATTTTAAAACTCGAAGTTATGATTATTATCATTGTAAAATAAAAAAAACGAAAAAAACCGTCATTTTAGGAATTAAAGGTTCTTCTCATTAGCGATGTATAAAGCGTCTTGTGGAAGGTCACTAACGGAATAAGTCGCTCGAGTTTAAACTTTGTCACAACTTCAATTTAATATTTTGTAATAGACTCTTATTCAGCGACGCTTTTTTACCATGTTCTTGCAGTTTATCATAGAATAATACCTTGTTCTTACGTATTTTACCTTTAACAACTTTCAGAACACGTTTTTTGCCGCAATTTTCCAAAAATGCGGCAAAAATGGCCGCCATTTTGTGGCCAACTCTTAATACCTTTATTAATCATCACATCAACAGTAGACAGCACCATAACTTCAAATTCTTATCAGCTGTGTCAAGAAAATTGTGTGGACAAGAATATTGTAGGTGGTATTTCAAAAATTAGACTTTTTAATTTTTAATTCGTAAATATATTATTTAGCAATATTTTATTTATTTTTTCAAAATAGATTTAATACCATGTAGGCTCTTATTGTTAATAATTTTATAAAAACAATTTTCAGGCATACCCCTTGCCTTCAAATGACCTGGATTGGCCTGAAAGTACGATGACAGCGTGTGACTACAATTGTCATGTGTCTTCGGTAAGCAATTGATTCTATTTTTAGTTTTAAAGGGCCACGAAACGTCCTTGCAAATGGTTGGCATTCTGTCGCAAAAAGCGTTCAAAATCAGGAAATTTCAGTTGAAATTATTTTTCTCAAAAAAAATGAGCGGGCCGAGCTCCAATTGAAGTTTCCCAATTTTTAAGTTTAAAAATTAAAGTGCCATTGTTATTTTAACACTAAAAAACAGATTTTGATGTAAAATACGATTTTGGGAACGCCATATTAAAAAATTTTAATTTTTTATATTTTAGTGTAACGTCGGATGTACAGATCTAGAAGCCGTAAATTCAACGTGCACGAACCGCTGCTCTAACACTAGTTCTCCATTAAGTTGTTTTCAAGGTTGTCGTGCCATATCAGATCTCTTTACTAATCAAATTCAGAGTAAGTTAAAACCAATTCATTATTGGAAATTTAGGTAACAATAGTGAATACTTTTCTCTTTATCAAGTACATATATAACAATATTAATATTAGAAAACGTTAAATTTCAATGAATAGTGTGTTAATTTCTATAAAAAAGTATATAAGAAACCAGTTTTTTTTATTTTTATTACCTAAAATCTTATTTTTTTAAATAAACTTGGAACAAATACCTAAAATATTATCGCAAAAACCGTTTCAGATCTACTGAACCAAGTAAATGTAGAAGCAACATTAGATACGACACAAGGAGTGAAATTGAATTGGTTTTTCGACGAATCTCATCTAGTTCAACTACAAGAAGTCTCGGCCGCTAATCTGAAATGGTTCGCCCAGTCAAAGAAGTCGACCAGTGGATGGCTGTGGACTCCTATGGGATTTCAGGTATATTTTCTATAAACTTTCTTTAAAAAAGCAGTCTAAATTCTAAGAGTTTTACATAAAAAAAGAAAAAAATTATATCAACGTATATTATTGTAGGCCTTCCGAGACTCAATGCTAACAGCAACCGTATATCTCCCAATAGAAGCCGTAGCCAATGAGTTTAAGACAAGATTGGTAGCTATTTGGCGTGATATTATAGTGACATCAGCTGAGTTCTCTCAAGCCATCCCACTACCACCAAGTCAAGAACCAAGTCTACCTGAACTGACATCTTCACTTCAAGTCACAGAGAATAGCTGGGCGGTGTGTTGGCATTCTGAGAAGCACGCAGCTGAAAGTGCTGAACCTGTCAAGTTCAGGTAGGTTTAAAATAACCTATTTAATTCTTTGGGTAAGAAATGGCAATATAAAGAGATAAAAAACTGTATTTTGGAGGTAGAAATGGGTAGTATAATATAAGTTTTTGTTGCCACTTTAATTTTAACTTTTAATTTTTGAAATTTGAAGCTCAAAAACTAGATAAAAAAGCTTTTATCTAGGTTAATATGTCTTTTAGTTTGAAACTCTTTGTAACAAAATAATTTATATTTATTCTCAGTAAAAAGCATGAAATGATAGTATTATATATATCTTTATATCCATATCTCAATTCTGAATATCCATGTTTTCGTACAATTTCTCAGTATCAGGCTGTTCAAGCGGTGTTTTCGGTGGTGGTTTCATATCGCACGGTGTTCCGATGGGTTCGTAGAATCCTGGATCGTCGCCCAAAACCTTGGGAGCGTCACTTTGAGTTGGTCCAACTGTCCCTTGAGTGGTACCCAGAGTCCCTTGGGTTTGTACCGTTCCTCCTTGAGTTGGTACCGTTGTTCCTTGAGTTGGAACCACTGTTGGTGCTGGAGGAAGCGACTGAAGTTGGGTTTGTTGACTTGGAGCTGCTGCATGATCTTCTGCAGGAATTGTAAAAGGATAGTTTTACACTTTTGTTAAAAATAAATTTTTTAATGTTACCTATCATATACAAAAAAATGTCAATTTACTATAATATTGTAAAAAATTTACTTTTTTTGGCCTAAAACTTTAAAATTTAAACTTACAAAACGTAGAAAACCATAAAAATAGGCAGACAAGATCCTTGAACAGCCAAATCAGGTTCATTCCAAGCCACTTTACTTTTGTATTCTTGATTCTCGGCCATCTGATGAGTCAAAAAAGCTATGCTGCCTTGAGTTGATACCACATATCCTTCCAAAGGGAAGTTCACAATACAGTAAGCCAAGTTGGTTAGCTTTGTTCTGTAAACGTCGAATCTTTTTTCGTCTTGAATGATTACTGTACGATTTTGTAGCTCTCCTATCCATATGTCGTTACCGTATACCATGCCTTCGCGGGTTACTGTTATTTTTAGAGTGAAGTAAGGAGCGTCTGGGCGGGATGGTATCTGTACCTTGATTGTCTCTTTCCCTTGCCAGGTTGCTGTCTTAGCGTTTTTTTCTAAAAGTAGTATTGTATAGGTTAATATTATACCGTAACTGCAGGTGTAAGCTACTGTAAAATATTTGCTACTGAAAAATGGTATAGAATGTGTTATAGATAAGGTAAAGCTACAAAACATACTAAGATAACCCTTTTCAATATTGAAGTAGTATGTGCATTCTGAAGCCAGTGTCGTTTGGCTGTTGATGTTTAGTACCATACAGATTTCTGGCACAGTATCGACCGAAAAACAGCTAAAAATCGAAATTTTGCTTGTAAAATCTACGGTAACTTTCAAAGCTAGCGTGACATAGGTTGATAACAGTCTGCAGAAAAAAACAAACTTACTTTGTAATTTCATGATCAGTTTGTCTTACGGTATCTCTACCTACTGTAATAAAAACAGTAAAATTGTGAAAGACAGGGTAGACGACAGCCATTTTGAACTCGGATCCATTATATCTTTCGTCTTGTAGAAGATCATTTACATTCAGGGTTCTAAACTATACTTCTTTAAGTAATTTAGCATAAAATAAATTACAGTATCTTAAAATGAATTACAGTACCTTATAATTACCGTAATTTTAAAGCCAACATTTAGAAAAATTCGGCCATTTTTAAAAATAAGTAACGTTTTAAAAGAACCTACAATGGATGCATAAAATCTTCGTAATCATCTTCTCCGTACTGTAGAGTACTACAGAGTATGGTGGGTATCAAAAGGAATAGGATGAGCATACGATAATGCATTACCTAATTCTGTCATTCAAAACGACCGCTCGCTTCTAAGGTACAAAAACAGTAAAAATTGAAGTAGAGAGAAAAATTGTTACAAAACCAATAATTTTTTGTGCTTTTGGCATAATGACCATAAAAAGTATCACTATATAACCATATTTTATAAGGTAAAACAATATTTTTGAAAATTTTTTAAAAGTAAGTATTTCGTTGTCAAAAGTCTAATATTTTTATAGATTTTTATTCTATTTTTGCAAATATTAAAATATTTTTTGATTTAACTTCAATTTTTCGTATTTGAATTCATCATTCCCGCCTTTTCGCGCCAAATTCCCTTTCTCTTTTGGAAAAGAAGGGAGTGTGATCTCGTGGTGTAGTGGTTATCACATCTGTCTAACACACAGAAGGCCGGCGGTTCGAGCCCGCCCGAGATCAAAATACTTTTTACGCTTTTAAACTTGATTTTGTCTTTTAAAGTTAATGTCATTAAATTAAACAATACTAATTTTTAGAAATTTAAGTATTTTTAACGCAAAACAACATTTTTATGAGGTAAAATCAACAGAAACAATGGCAGAAATTAATGAATATCAATGTTTCGAGCTGATTTAAGAGCAAAATACGAGAACAACTAGTGTTTTTGCTTTGAAATAAGTTTAAAACGAATAATAAAGCAGTTTATTCAAATATTATGAACAAGAGACACTTTTTATCCCATTTGTGTTTGGTTTTCTACTGGTGAATCCTTAAAGTCTGTGGCATAATCAGAGGCTTTGGCTTCTAGTGCTGTGGAGTCTGACGGGTTACTAACTTGCTGAAATTTCAAGTTTTAGTACTATAAAATGGTTTTTTTTTACATTTTATTACTAAAAAGACAAAAATCATATATTTTTTTAAATTAATTTAATTTTTTTTGAATTTTAAAAATTTTAAATTTTGAAATTTCATAAATCTCACATCAATTATGTCAGTTTCGCTTTGAGTAACTTCGGTTTCATAGACGGATTTCTCTTCAGAAATTTGTTTCCTGGTTCTACTGATTACTGTAGCATTAGAGGTGTCGTGTTTGGCATTCTTCTGACCACTACTCTTACTCTTGTCTGTCACACTTTCCGGGTCGACCGGTCGTTTCCTCTTCTCTGGCTTTAGTTTTTTCAACTTCTTTGATGACTTTTTCTTTTTGGTTACTTTCGGCTTGGGTACTTTAACTTTTTTCTTTTCCTTCTTCGGTTTTGGCTTTCGTACCTTGGTTATTGTCACTTTTCGTCGCCCCATGGCATAGAGTACGCCTGGAGGGATGTTTTTGGATTGAATGTTGCGGATCTGAAAGAAATTACATTTGAGATATTATAGATCCAATAAGTTAGATAAGAATGACATAATTTTTTTTTGAAATTTGCAAATTTTAATGAAATTTTCTTGAATTTAAAATTTAAAAAAGTCTTACCCCTTTTATATACGACTTTTCCATAAAATAACATGAAGATCCGGTCACTGTTATAGCGCTTATAATGAATCCTCTGAAAACTAGCATAATTAATCAATAAGAGCGAAAATCAATACAAGTGTGACGAAATCTCAAAATTATATTTTTTTTAATTTAAAAATACATCACAATATGTCATTTTTTGAAGTTTTGACACTAATTATGCAAAATTTTATTTTTGACATTTCGTCGCGTTTGTATTGATTTTTCTATTCATTACATTTTTGAGTAAAATACTGTAAACTACGAAAGTAACGTTTCACTCACATTAAAAACAGCAGAGCATTGATGATGATAGTCAGATCAAAGTCCACATCCCTCTTCATGTTCTCTCTGTGTTGTGCCATGTCATTGATAATGTCCAAAAACAGTTGTGCATTACCCACGCCTTCTACGTACCCATCGTCCGGAAACCATACCCTCATACTCCTCGTCACTCCTATTGTAACATCGACCACATCGTACTTGTTCTTGTCTTTTCTCACTACGACCGGTCGTAGTCGACCAATGTAGTTCTCGTTTCCAAATACTTGGCCAGTACGTGTCAGTATGATACGAAGGAACTCGGATGGTGGCAGGTATACTGTAGTTTCGGTTCTTGTTTGGTTCTCTAGTTGACATGGTAGATCTTGTGGTAGCTGTGATACTTCTGAAACAACTTTGTTTACATTTTTTGGAGTAGGGGAGAGGGTAGCAGAGGGGAGGGGGTAAAATTTTTTAAGAGGGGGAGCAATAATACGTTTTTAAAAAGTTTTAATGCGTCATTCCTTTCTAATCGACTTATATGAAGTAAAAGGGTTTCAAATGTAAACATACCAAGGTAATGATCGTCGTCTACCACAATGTAATACGTTTGAAACGGTCGATTATGTATAACGCCAAACTTGCCAAAAGGTTCTATTGAGAACTCTCTAAAAGGTATGGTATTACTGTACGTTTACATTTTGTTTGTAGTAGGTTACTGTATGAGCTGGGTAGGATGGGATAGGGTAGGGTAGAATAATGTGATACCATAGTAATTGAAACTTTACTCCGTGATTTGTTCTTCGTTTTCTTGTGTTTTGTGCACCAGGAGTACCATTTCTTGAAATTGAGGGTAGTGTATTGATATACGAAATTCAGTGTCAAACTCATCCTTTGCTATGTTTAGAACCCTAAAACAATGTCAGTAGGTATTTATTTTCAAACTTTTTTGAAAATTTAAAATTTTTAAAATGATTTCCAAAGACTTTTTGACCGCTTTTTTTTGTTCAAAAATGACTAAAATTTGACATTTTATGCCATTTTTTAATGTTAAATTTTTAAAAAATCAAAATTTTAAAAATAACAAATTTTGAAAAAAAAAAAATTTTTTTCTCCGAACTTTTGGACCTTTATTAGACGCATTAGAATAACTTAAATAGGATGACTATAGTCTGCGTAATCCGCAGCACTCTTGTAAATAGCTCGCTGTGCCATTGTAGATGAACATAGTAACAATATCGTAGTAACTCTCAACATTATTTTTCATACCGACCGGTAACAAAAAGGTAACAGAAAATAATGACATTTCTTGAGTTTTGGACGATTTTTGAAATTCTTTCCATTTTACATACTGTAATTTTTATATTTTTGAAAATTTACTAGGTTTTTCAAATAATACTGCGCCCCTTAATCCCGAAGATTTGCTTTGGGAAGGGGCACAGAATTATTTGAACAACCTAATAATATCACGTTTTTTAATTAAAAAATGATTTTCAGTTGGGATTTTTATACCTAAATAAAAATATTTTAATAAAGAAAGTAACTTTATGTTGCTGTTGTTATCTAAAAATTAAAAAATTTTCTACTTTTTCAAAATAAAAAAATTAAAATTTAAAATATTTTCAGATTAACACTGAAACAGACAGATGAATCCGAAACTCCAATTGAAATCATCGAGAAAGCTGGAAAATGTCATTTTTTCAAAAATTTATCGACCGAAAACTGTTGCACTGTGCAGATCGAAGAGATCGCTGCAGGCAAGGACAGCCCTAAACTTAATGTCAAATTGGACTTGAAGCATTCTCAAGGTAATATTTTGTTAGTTACTGACTTTTACTGTATTATTCTTTATGTTTTTTGGCTAAAGAGGAAGTAGAATAGGTATAAAAAGGCAGATTTTTTATTAGTTTGTTTAAATAATCCTGAGCTACTTCTCAAAGCAAATTGTTAGGGTTAGTAACGCGGGCTTCTTTGAACAATCTAATATGTGAATAGGAAAAGCCAAACTCAGCCTTTCTATACCTATTCTGTTTAATTTGTGACCGAACTGGGCGATGGGAGGGGTGGGGAAGTGAGACTAGAATAGAGGTCAAAAAATAAGTAGAATTGTGATTTTTTTAGAAGACCCATTAGAAGCGGCAGAACCATACATAGTATTCACGAATGGCACCACCTTGTTCCGACTACACGATTGGGACGACTATCTGATACAGTCTGAGCCGATGGTTGTACCGTTTTTATTGGAAGGAGACCAGAAGATCACTGGTGGGTTTCTTGGTTTAATTTTGAATTTTTAACATTTTTTGAAATTAAAAATTTTTTTTTTGAAGTTCGAAATTTTTAAAAACTTTTATTTTTTTTCAAATTTTAAACTTAAAAATCGATGTTAATATTAAAATATGACACCTTTTCCAGCCGTAAGCTCAATGTCATCAGACGAGCTTCTAATAGGCTTATCAGATGGCTCGGTCCATCTGATTGATATGCGGGGAGAGAACCTGACTACGATTCAGAAGAAGCTCCGAGAGCCAGATGCCATTCCCATCACCCAAATCGCCGTAGACCAAGTCCAGGAATGCTTTTACATAGTTCGCGAACAGACTGGACTAACTCGCTGCTTCATGCCGGACTGTCGCGACTACACGAACCTGATCACATCGTCGTTGAGCTACATCCAGAATATCGTAGTAGACGCGTGGAATGGGTACCTCTACTACATTACCAATGCTGGCGATGCCTTTTCTACCCCGCTGTTCATGGTGGATTCACCGAAGGAGTACAAGCTTCAGATCACGAGGAGGATACCTGAGTTGGCACCTGTTTATACCTTGGATATTGAATACAAGAGCCAGAGGCTACTGGCGTTGCTGAGGAATGGATCCCTTATTGGGATGAATTTGATTGATCAGGAGGTAAGGGATTCTTACCTAATACGATATAAATCTAAGGCCCTCCCCAGCTATTACAATATGACCCTTTCAACCTACTACAATATAAACCAAACACCCTTCCACCTACTACAATATCAAGCCAACAATCATTATTTTAGGTAACAGACGAACGAGAAGAGTTCGAAATCAATGGCAAGTACCATAACGTGGTCAGGTCCCACTACTACGAGAACCGCCTCTTCTGGACCTCGAACCAGTGTGAACACGAGAACACACCGTGCCTGTTCAGTGAGGAAAAGAATCCAGAATCCAACTCTCTGAACCTGAATAGGTACCTGTACAATGGGAAGGTGGTGGACTTTGCCATAATGAGGGATCTACCTAAACCTCTGAGTTTGAGTCCTCTAACTGAGATTGGCCTCATGGTTACCGACACTTCTGGCAAGGTGTCTTGGCGACCTCCCAAGCCTATGCCTTTTCAAGGTAACTTTATATATTTTACATTGTTATGAGTGCCGTATTTTACATTTTTTTGAAATCTTGACTTCATTTTGATCTCTTAATAAACCCAGCCCAATACCTATAACAATATTATCTACCCCCTTTCAGCCCCAATAGCTCACGGTTCGAACTGGCGTCGCCTCACCTTTGACTGTCAGATCAAAGATACAGTAAAGAATTCTACAGTATCCGAGAAGAGTGGGATCGAAATACACGAGTATCAATTCGAAGCCGATGCGAGTAAGGCCTACGAAGCCATGGTGAGAGCTTGTGCCAAGGATGGGACTTGTTCTGAATGGACCTCCACCTTAAACTCGGCCTTCAATGAGAACGAAACTGAAGCTTTGGCCGTTTTTGCTAAACAAATCGATAAACTTGGGGCTTTTGATCTGGTAAGTGATTTAGGGATGTTATAGTAGATGGCTTACCTTATTTTAGGAGCGTTGAAGTCAATGTTTATCTGTTTAAGGGAATTGTAGTCTAAAGTAATATAAAATGACCTTAACTAGCTAGAAAAACAACTTTTAATGACAATATAGCCCTAAAAATAGACTAATCATCGCTTTTTAATACCTAAAATCATCACCATTCAGGCAGGCGAAGAGATCGAGCGTTCCGTCCCCAAGAACCTCCCAACCTCAGGCCTCGTATCTTACGAATCCTTCTCTGACAATCTCTACTCAGTATCCGAAGCCGACTCCAGCATCTACAGAATCTTCCACTCCGAACGCAAAAAGAAGTTTCTCGACTTTTTAAAAGTAAAGTACATGGTAGTACTGTCAAGGACGGCTATCCTAACAGTAGCATCGTCGTATCAGATCACGGCATACCGCCTGACCGGCTCATTTTACAAGTCGATTTACAATGCTGAGGAAGGAGGAGCAGAGGTTGTTGGAGTTGCCGGAGATGATGTGAACAATATGATCGTGTTCTTCCTTCAGAAGGAGGATGGAGTCGTGGAGAAGCACTCGTACAAGATTGGAGGTGATGAACAAGGCAGTCAGGTCGTGGCTAGCCTCAAAACATTCCCTAAGTAAGTTTTATGACAATACTTTATAAAGCGATCAAATTCATTACATTCCCGAAATTTCTCAAAAATCAGGGTTTTTGTTGTGGAACCAAACAAGGATATCTTTAAAAGATAACTTGATGTAAAAAAAGTCGTTTATCTTGGAAAATAGACCTAAATGATAACGATAAATATCATTTTACTTTAAATTTGCCTTTAGAATCCGCCAAATCGCCGTTCTCGCAAAGAAGTTCGTGTTCATAACAACAGACAGCCTCCTCGGAATTTGTGACACCAACCTACGCAATATGAACCTTAACTATGCCTTAAAGGACGTCCAGCATCTTATCTCCTACTCTAACTGGTCCAAAGACAAACCTGCCCCAGACCGCGCTCAGTTCCTATTCCCTCAGGGCATTGAATTCGGCGGAGACAATAGAAACCTTATCTCATGGTCAATTCAACCCAATCTGATCAAAGGACACGCTCTATATAAGATACTACTGTATCCGAGTGGATTAGACGCCAAACCTACAGTAGACTACAGTTTGAGTCCGAGTTATACCATTCCAGGCCAGGTTTTGGACAAATGGAACAGCAAACAACAGTTTGATGCCCAGATTAGTGTTATCACAGCTTGGACTGAAACTGAGCAGAACAAGACTGACTTGACCGCTCCAACCAAGCCTCCTAATCCGCCTGTTGGACTGAAGATCTTCGCTACTACACAGGTTTGTAATTTTTAGAGTTATTTGGGGGAAAAAGAGTACAACAACATTGTTATACAGCCTAAACGAAATCATATATAAGGTCTACAAAGATCCAATTAGCATCTTTATGGCCTGACAAGATTCAGAAGGTTTTATACCTAAAACATGTCTTATATATCTTATAAAATACTAAAAGTTTATCTTGAGTGTATAAAATGATGTATAATATAAAAGAAAAGTGATAGACAGCTGTCCGTTTTTTACTGCGAGCTGATTTCAATCTTTTGCGAGAGCAATTGCAATAGAGACGACTTTAAAGAGAGCCTCTCTCGACTCCCATGTGGTCTAGTGGTTAGGATTCGTGGCTTTCACCCACGCGGCCCGGGTTCGATTCCCGGCATGGGAAGTAAACTTTTTTGCATTTTTAAAATGAACTTGACGCTGGAAATTACGTATTTTACTCGAAAAAACACTTCTACATTTATTTTTTTTAACTCTGACTCTAATTCAAGTCAATTACTCATCATATTTCTTCAAAAAACAATGTTTTCAGAAGACAGTAGATGGTCCACGCGCTGTAATCGACCTTTTCTGGGATGAACCAACAGAATGGAACGGCGACATGCTCGGTTATGTTGTAAATTGCACTAATGAAGCTGATGGACGTCCAGAACAAGTATTTTCGGAAAATGTCAGTGCTAGATTCTCCAGAGCTTATTCGTTGGAAGTGAAATCTGGCAAAGTACGATGTGCTGTAGCAGCACGGAACGAGCAGAATATTGTCGGAAAGTTCAGCGAACAAGTGGAAATTGACAGTGGAGGTAAGGTTTTGTCCAAGTTTTAAAGAAACAGTTGATTTATCGTCTTTAAGGACGATTAATCAAAAATTTATATTATCCATGACAAAAGTCGAACAAAAATTATGTTTTTATATCTAAAATACCATAAAAAACTTAAAAAACATACCCAGATAGCTGGAGAATCTTATTCTATACCGGAAACCTATAATTTTCAGAGTTCAAACCTCTTGTCCGTCTGTTTGCCATCGATTCCACTGATCAACTCCTGAACATAAACGACTGGTCGAACACGAAACCTCCAGCTTCTGAAACCACAAGAAAGAAACGAGAAGGAGATTCTGTAAAATATCAGTCAGTAGCCTTCATCGGTAATGATTTATATGCCATTAGAAGGGAACAGGAGACCACTCAACCATTCCTCAGCAGTTTGGATATTAATGACGTTGGAAATGTGTTGCACAAGGTTAGTTTCATATCTAAAATAAGGAAAAATGCTTTGTCTTACCATGATGAACATATTCAACAAGTTCCTCAATGGATAGCGCAAAATTTTGTCCAGAAAAATGGAAGTTTGGAAAAATAAGTAATTTTACGAGAAAAACCTGCCATAGAATGCCAAAGATGCCATTTTACCGCAATTTTCAAATTTTGAAAAAATAAATTTAAAATAAATGCTTTAAAAATCAAGTTCTGCAATGTATTCTTCGAGTTAGAACGTTGTCGATAATGTTTTAGATCCCGGTAACTGGAGAATTCAGCCAGATCAGTGCGATGGGAAGCGATTGGGTGGGGAATCGCCTTCTTCTTGTTGGGAACCACGATCTTCTTGAGATTCAACTGGAAAACTTTGAGAATCTTGTAGCCGTAACTCCGAAGAAACTTTTTTCACTTTCGGCCGGAGCTCAAGATGCCAAACAAATGATTGTCGATCCGTTTACCAAGTAAGGATGGTTAATACAATATTTTTATTGGTTTTAGGTATTAAATATTACTTATGTGAAAGATAATTAGGTTTATTCTGTCAATAATGTTGTTTCCTTTTAGCACAGCATATCTTTTGTCCAAGAATGGCTCCCTTTTCTCTCTCGACCTGACCAAACAGACAGAGGTTAACATTGGTCTTCACGTTGACTGTCTGAAGTCGCAGACCGTGACTTCTGTGGTCGGTGAGTTTGTGTGGAATAAGCCGGCTTCTCCCTTGATCTACGCTTTGACATGGAACGGTCTGATCACAATTGATCCGATCAGTCGAAAGTGTTCTGATATTAACATTGATTGGACGAAGTTTGGAGAAAAAGGTCTCAAAAGTGTTAATCTGTTCACGTTGGCTGACAAGACCTTCATCATTTTTGTCACATCGTCTCAATTGTTCATTTACGACCGGTCGAACAACAATGTCACACCGATTCCTATCATAAATCCACCTTTGAAGCAGATTCTGGCTGCTTCACAGGCTTCTCAACCTTACCCTGACAGAAGTTGCTTCACTTTGCCGTCAAGTGAGGGTATTCAGTTCAATGTCATCAACGAAGGACGGTCAGGAGCGTTAGTGAATGTGGGAGAAGCGGTGGTGCCAACCGGCTGTCGGCATCTTTCCAATCCTCCAACTCAGTACGAGATACACTTTAAAAGGAGAGACAGCGAGAAGGTGAAGCATATTACCACGATTCAGACATCGACTCATGTTGAGAATGGCATATTGGACAAGGAAACGGAGTAAGTACAGATTTATTTTATAAATATTATAGTAGAGGTATTATCAATATTAACCTACGCATAAGAGTCATATTGATAAAGAATTCAGGTCAAAAAGTACCTAGAAAAGTAAATCTATACCGTTATTTCGACTTATTCCAGCTATGATGTGTCAATCTCAACCTTCAACCGCTATTTCCCACCAGCTGGTCAGTCGGAAAGCCATCACTTGAGAACCAGTTATGGGTACCCAACAGCACCACAAGATCCAAAAGTGTTTGCTCTAACGCCAGATACTGTAGTCGTTTACTGGAAGTTACCATCAACACTTAATGCACCACCTTCTGAAATCAAGTACAGGGTAAGAGGATATATTCGGATTGGTGTGGGATACTGTATTTTTAGAGTTATTTTTAAATTTTAGAAGTAATAACAGTGCTTTTCTTAATGTTAATACCTAAACAAAATTTTTAAAGGTTAAGGGTTTTAGGTAGGCTTTTCTTTATTGAAAAAGGACTATTATAATACGTACAAAATTTGTGCCAAACTAGAGACTATTATATTGAAAGTGTGCGTAAGGCTAGAGAAGAAAACTGAACCCAATCAAAAAGTGATGAGCGATTTTAAGACCTTTGAGAGTAAGAAGTGATCTATAGGATTAATATCCACAAACAAGGTTGGCTTGTGGTCCTGGCTCTCAAAAGTGGCTAGAAATTACTAATTTTGAAAAGTTCGACTGAAATGTTGAACTGGTGTTAGTACTTTTAATTACGCGTAATCATCGTATGGATAAAGTTAATATATTTATTTAAAGAAAAGTTATTTTGTGGATATCTGAAATTGTTAAGAATGTGTAGAGATTAGTTTCTGCCTCTAATCATTTGTGAACTTCAAAAAAAAGAAAATTTTTCAATTTTTTTAGGAATATGCGTTCAACTTTTCAGTCAAACTTTCCAAAATTTCTCTTTCCTGGCCACTTTTGAGAGCCAGACTACAAGCTAACCTTGTTTATGGATATTAATCCTGTAGATCTGTCCATTTTCTAAATATATCAAAAGCGTTCGTCACCTTTTGATTGGGATTGGATATCTCTGCTTGTATTGCGTTCTTTTTACTCTACACTCTCTCTCTATTTATACCATAATTGAACGACATGTAGCTGCTATAAAAAGTTTATGGTAAAAGCTATGATTGTTTTTAAACTAAGAAATTTAAAAGCATACTTTTTGATATTTTTTGTGCACGGTGATGGCACGTTAGCCTTATTATCTTGTTTGTATTATAAGAAACACAATTTTTATTACATATCATAAATGAAAACTTTACTTTTTAAGATTACGTTTTAGTGAAATAAGTTTAAAAACGACATTACTTAGTTAAAATTTTATATTAGTTCAACTTATCAGTCGAATCTTCCAAAATAGTAATTTCTAGCCCCTTTTGAGAGCCAGAACCACAAGCTAACCTTGTTTGTGGATATTAATCCTGTAGATCTGTTCATATTCTGAAAGATATCAAACGCGCGCATTACCTTTTGGTTCGGTTAGGTATGCCATGACTGTCTTACGCACTCTCTATCTAATGATATATTGTTGAAAAGGAGAAACATGCATAATTAGGTCATAGAGTTGGGCATAAAATATTCGAGAGGCTGAAAAAAGAAATGTTTCATAAAAAATAGTAAAATAACACTATAAATGACATCTCATACTATAACATGTATATTATTATGTATAATTTTAATAATTTTTATACTTCAGATTACCCAGAAGACTAAAACAACATTGCCTGTAGTTGTTGGAGCCAAACCTTTTGTGAATGGAGATTTTGGACAGTTAAGCGACATTGTATCTTGTTCATTGAACCCATGTCAAGCCAAGATCAGCAATTTGAGGACTTCCAGTAACTACGAGTTCTATGTGAGTTTGCCTTTAGCTACTATAATATACTGTAAAATGCCGAAGCACTCTTAAAATTTAGTTTGTGTTAAATTTTCTTACTTGTCAGTGTATATTAGAGTAAGATCAAAAATTTTTTGATAAATGATTTTTCTTTGTGTATAGTATGTATTATATATTAGGCTAATACACATCATTCTACGTCGTATTTTACCTTTTAGATCACGGCGATTCACGTCAACCGACTGAACTTCCAGCTGGTCGAGGAAAACGAAGCCATTTCAATTGAAACCCAGACTAAAACCAAGGATGTACCTGGTACCCTGAGGGCAGAAAACGCGACAAGTTCGTCGCTTTTACTCAGATTCAACTCTCTCGAGCCTCAGTTCCTTCCTGATGACATATTTCTACAGTATAGACAGGTATGTTGCATATTTTTACACAAGATTAAACTTATTAGTCTTGTAATATTCTGAAACCTCTACAAACAACGTATTTTGCAAAGCTAATACAATAAAAATTAAGCTATAATTATATTAACCTTACCTTACAGAGCGGAGTAGATGCCTCCTGGCTGGACGTCCAGAACTCCACCTTCGACCAAGGTCAGAACCCAGTCCTCAACATGAGCATCACCGACCTCAGGTCGTGCACAACATACGACTATCGCTTTGTCGCCGAATACTCCGACAAGTTCGACTACGATGGCATTGAGCGACAGTTCACGGAGAGATTCTACCAGCAATCTCAACAAGCTCGTACCAAGCCTGGCACTCCATCAGCACCACTCGACATGAGTATAAGTCCAGTACGAGACGGCTTCGTACTCAAGTGGAATCCTCCAGAGAACGACGGTGGAAGTCCGATCACACGGTACGCTCTCGACTTCAGAAGGAACTCGACCAGTGAGTGGGAGATCGCCGAGGTCAAGAACCAGCCAGACTTTTTGCAGTGGCGAGTACTACCCACTATAGTACCGGAACCCAAGATTGCCGAGTTCCGAGTACGAGCAGGTAACGATGAAGGTCTTGGTGCATATGCATCACTGAAGTCAGTCATGGAACCAGACCAGTCTCCAGTCGAGCCGAATAGCATCTGGTTCTGGCCCCTGTTCGTACTGGTGGTACTCGTCATGATGATGGTAATACTCTTTCTCAGCGGATTACTGTACTTTCGGCACAAGAATCAGAAGGCCAAGAAGCGGAAGCAGCGGATCAACAAGCAGATTAATCTCCAGAACATCGGCGACATCGAGTTCCCTACCGCCCCCTCCCAGATCCCTCCCGAGCTGCAGAACGAGATCCAGAACCTGCCCAAGATCCCGAAGTCGAGCCTCCGGATTCAGCAGGAGCTGGGCAAGGGCAGCTTCGGCGTCGTCAACAAGGGCCTGCTCCAGAACTGGGACGTCTATGGCCCTAAGGGAGTATATGTGGCGATCAAGGTGATGAAGGGCTGTTGTCGCGACCAGAAGCAACGATCCCACTTCCTGAAGGAGGCCATCCTCATGAACAACTTCGACCACCCCAACATGATCAAGCTGTTGGGGGTGTGTCTGGATGACCCCAACGATCATATGCTGGTGATGGAGTTCATGGAGGGTGGGGATCTGAATGTGTTCCTGAGAGAGTGCAGAGTATCACACAATCATACTGGTAGTATCGAGCTGACATTCGCTGAACTGATCAGTATGATTGTTGATATTGGCAGGGGATGTGCTCATCTGGAGATGCACCACTTTGTCCATAGAGACTATGCGACCAGGAACTGTTTGCTCACGGCGAAGGAGGCTCCCAGGACTACTAAAATAGGTAAAGATAGAGGTATAGGTAGTGGTAACAGTATAGTATGATGAAAAAAGTAGTTACGGCTACTACAATATTACTTTATATTAGATACAGCCAAGGGCGGGCGGGGACTTTTGGTCTGGGGCGGGGGTCGAAAAAATCTTCACATGCTACCTGTGCCGATTTTTCGCGAAAATTTTTTTTCGAAAAATCAACAGAGGGGATCACGTTCAACTTTTTTCAAAAATTTTTTTCTCCCCAGCGCCCGGCCCTGTATACAGCTACTATAATATCATCAAAGTTCCGTTTTATATCATAAAATTGAATGTAATCTCAATTTCTATTTCATTAAGTCCTATACAGTACTAGTACTAAATAGTACCAGTACTCTAAATCACTTTTACTATATAAACCTACTTTTCAGCCGACTTCGGAATGGCGAGAGACATCTACAAAGATGATTACTATCGCTTGAATGGGAACGATCTCCTGCCGCTTCGGTGGCTGGCTCCAGAATCCGCTTCCTCCGGCGTCTTCAGCTGTAAATCAGATGTGTGGGCGTTTGGTATCTTGATGTGGGAGATTATGACAATGGCCGAAAAGCCATTTGGTCATATGGACAATCCGGTGGTACTAATGGAGATCAAGAATGGCAATCATCCTAAATGCCCTATCAATTGCCCTGAGGAAATGTAGGTTGATATATGTAGTTTTTAGTGACCTATCATGATTTGTAGGGGTCTATCTGTCAAAAAGTAAATAGAAAGAGCAATGAAGAAGCCAAATGTTACCTAAAAACCATATTTGTTGCTTTGTAGTGACATAGAAGGCGTTCTATTAAATTGTTCAAATAATTATGCGCTCTCTCTGAAATCAAGTTTTCGGAGTTAAGGGGCACATATGAACACTAATACATCATTTTTGACCAAATAAGCATAAAAACATTATTATTTATACTTCTTTTAGCATTTTGTGCATCAATTAATATATTGTAGTAGATAGAGTATACCTTGTTCTATATAATTTTAATCTATTTCAGCTTCCGAGTGATGCAACGCTGCTGGATCGTGGACATTGAAAAGCGCCCCACCTTCGCAGAACTATTACCAGACCTAGAATTACTGCGCTGTAATCACCACATGTTCCATGGTGATCCCTACAGTATACGCGTCAAGGAAAATACCGTAAGATTTCGAAGTTGCAGTACGATTTTAGGGCTTTTAGGACCAAAAAAATTTTAAAAACGTAAAAATATCGTGTTATGAGCTGGTTTGTGGGTATTTATTGACCAATTTGAATAGAATAACTGATTCGACATTACGTATAGCGTTATGCTATTATTGATTTTCTAAAAACTTTCTAAAATCGACCGTTTCAGCGTTTCGACGGCGAGTATAACATTGGTTTTGACAATTCGAATGGGTCCAGCTCCTCCTTTAACCGAAGTGCCAACAGAAACCTCTTCCCGGAGCAGAATAGGTACTACCTGGGAGGTGACGACAGCTCCTCGTATCGTCCGTTCTCAGGAATCTCGGGCGAAACCAGAACCACCAATACCGACTACGAGAAGCCCAGGTCCAGCTCTACTTCAACATCACACTCGAGGAACGCCAGCGGCTACGGAACGGACAGACCGAACGATGGATTTGCTTATCGGAACAATGCCTTCAGGCACGATAGTGATTACGGTAGCTTTTTTGTTTTGTATAGGGTGTACTCTAGCTTTTTGTTTTTATTTGGGCTTACTGTAGCTCAGTGTTTTATCTCTAAAGAACTAATATTTACATCGAAGAGTAGCTCCGTTTACAAAATATTGACTTCAGAATCCCCAGATTCCCACAGTTTGTCACAAGCCGCCTTCCGAATGCCTCACAATCAGCGCGCCCTGCGCCCATATAACGCGGAGATGCGGAGTAACAGTATGAATCTACCTCGAGACTTCAACAATGACTCTCCACCCACTTACGGCGGTCGAGGCAGAATCAGTCAGGTATAGTCATACTATATAGTATTCGGGCTCTAGTACAGTATATCTTTTTTGGTGCAGTATACTGTTTATATTAGGTTGTTCAAATAATCATGTTCCTAACTTCGAAAATTTGCTTTTAGAGGCGCACTGAATTATTTGAACAATCTAATAGTAGGTAAGGTATTTCTTTGATATTGTAGTAGGTCAAGAATTGGTTGGCTTGATATTATTTACTCAGGGACGTCGCTACAGATTTTCTCTGGGGGAGGCCGAAAAAATTTTTTCGTCCACAAGTAGAGCTACCTGACGACGTCCCTGTATGTACTGTATTTTCAATGTTACAGTACTGTCCATGATACTACAGTATTTTTTTAAATTACATGCTCTTTAACATTACAAAGACCGTTATATCGTCCTTTATATCGAATGTCTAACATTGAAAACCCTCCTATGACAACTACAATATCACCTAGTCAATTGTATCACATATCGACCAGTTGTAGCTAGCCATTTATTGCCATTTTTTCTACCTCTCTCAATCATGTTCACATATTGTCATCGGTTTCTTTCACTTATCAAATTTTTATTCCAACGGGTAGCTATTTATTAATAAACATATTGTTATAGACATGGGTGAGCTTAACTCTTCAAAACATGGCATTTTTTGATGAATTTATGAGCTAAATTGTCATATTAATTGTTGACAACGTAAACATGAATATTTTAAGCTAAAATTTGTCAATTTCAAAGACATTACCTCAAGTTATCGACCAATGAAACTTAAAAGCCACTAATGAAACTTATCCACCAACGAAATCTAAAATGAGGTCGCTGAACGCCGATGACACGTTGAAAATTAATAAAACAAAAACTTGAGACATTGTGTCGCCGCTATTTCATAATCTGATGTGACAAAAAGTGTTCGGACCTCACTTTTCTTTTTTTGCCCGCGAAATTCGAAAAATTTGCGCGAAAAACAGCCAACTTCTAGATGTTTTTGCAAAAAATAGATGGTTTCTTCCACAATTTTTTTAATTTTAAAGTGTTTTTAATTAGATAAATTATTTTTCTAGATTTTGCTTTGATTAATATTGTCTATTTTGTGGGTTAGAATTATGTTTTACCTTTTTTTTTCCAGACGAGCTCTTTGTTTTCTGGCTAATTTTTGTTAAATTCCAAGGTTTATCTCCTCAAAAGTGTTGTTCTTACTTCGAATATACCAAAACTGTTTTAGCAGAAGGCTGACGATGTTATTCTTTATTAGAAACTGATGATTTTGATACATTTTATTGCGTTTCGAAGCCATAAATCCTTGAAATTTTGATTAAAAAAGTTTGGAATTTCGTTCAGAAACCCGCCTTTCTTTATTTTCTTTTCGTCGACGAACTCTCTTGATGTTTTTTTTGATAAACAACATAGTATCTCTATTAATTTCATTGTCTCTTAATTGTTTTACCAAGGACCGCTAATTTTCATAAAAAATCTTGCTTTGATCACCCGCACCTAACATAATATCGCTTTTTTTGTTTTTCTTGAGTATCTACAATATTTTTTGTTCTCTCATGGTCTAACTAGATATACTATGATCTCTAAATCAATGTTTTTATCTTTGGATTGTCAAGCTATATCTAAATTACCTTCCTCACCTCAATCTATAACGACATCTCGTATATTGTCTATATTATCCTTCTAGGCTTCAAACTGTCTCTATATCTTTGTTTTTTCTTCTGAATCTTACTCTATTTTTACTTCCTCTATCTCACGAAACACATAAACTACCATCCCCCTCATCTACACCTCCATCTTGTATATTATCCATCCCGATTCTCGGCCTGAGCTCACGAAGCGCTTCGTCACCTCGCTTCTCGCACGCTGAATTCGAATCTGATCGCTCCCATGATGAATTCAGTGATAAGCGCGCCATAAAAAGTATAATCACGACATTGTTGTGGAGACAATGGGGGTTTGTCAGCCGGCTGTGTGGCCATTCTTTGTCGTGCGCGGTATAAAAGCGATGCGAGGTGGCGGAATCGATTGATTGCACCGATGCATTCGGACAAGAGCGCCGAAGCCCGCGGCCTCAGAGCCGTCGCCTTCGTAGGAGTCACGTTGACGACGGTGGCCGCGATGTGCTGTGTTGTGGCCGTGCCAATGGTCTACAACTACATGCAGCACCTGCACACGATGATGCTGGACGAAGTGGACTTTTGTCGGCTGAGGAGTACGAACGTGTGGAGAGAGGTGGCTAGGACACAGGTATGGATATTTTTAGTTTTAAAGGGTGGGAGAGGTAAATAAAGGGTGAATTTCAAAAAACCATACTTGATATTGCAGGTAATAGCCAAAGTTAGCCCCTCGAACCCACGCGCCAGCCGTTTGCCCCGTCAGGATAGTTACGGCGCTCCAGAAGTCAACTCGGACTACGCTCCAGCACCTGCTCCATCCAAGCCCAGCCGCAAAGACCTATGGCCCGACCTCCATCCTCAACCAACAGGTGGCTGCTGTGGCTGTGGAGTGTCACCTCGCGGCGCTCCAGGACCAAAAGGCGCTGAAGGTGCACCAGGTGACGAAGGACTACCAGGACCAGACGGTCTACCAGGAGACGACGCTCCCAACCCAGTCCATCAACCAGTCGAGTTCTGCTTCGACTGTCCCGAAGCTCCAGAAGGTCAGCCAGGAAAGCCTGGGCCAAAAGGACCATCGGGACCAGAAGGACCACCTGGAGAACCGGGACCAGTCGCAGAAATGGGAGAGAATGGTCCACCTGGTCCTCCTGGTAAGCCAGGTCGTGAAGGTGATCTTGGTAGACCAGGTAAGCGAGGTAAACCTGGAGTTGTTCATGCTGGACCAAGCAGAGTTGGACCACCAGGACCTCCTGGACCACCTGGAAGGCCAGGACCTCGAGGAGAGAAAGGAGAAGGTGGTGAGGAGGGCGAGGAAGGAAAACCTGGTAAGTCAATGAGCTTTGTCATTTTAAGATCTATACCTATTAATAGTCTGTTCATGATCAAATTTGTTAAAAATAGGTTAAAGGTAACTAAAAAATATTGTTCTAGGCGAGTCAGGACGTCAAGGTCGTGAAGGTCCAGGCGGCAATCCAGGACAGCCCGGCGAAACCGGAGGGCCCGGACCAAAAGGCCCTGAGGGCGGCTGCGACCATTGTGCTTTACCACGTACTCAGCCTGGGTACTAGAATCTCATCGTGCTTCAATTGTCTGTATATTTCCGATATAAATTATTACATGCTACTATATCATCGAGTATTATTAAATGCTACTATATCAACGATTGTTTTACAATTAAGGTTCGGTAACTTGTTTTTACTTTTGCTACTCGGGATTATCTTGTTATACACATCGTGAATTATATTATTGGGTTGTTCAAATAATTATGCGCCCCTCGAAGCAAACTTTCGGGATTAGGGGCGCAAAATTATTTGGAAAACCCAATATTTTATAACATTACGCAGTAAATAGTCGTATTTTAAAGATAAAACAACATATTATACCTAACAAGTATTTATCAACTTGAAATTTGCTACACGTTTAATAGTGTACGCCCCATTCATCTTATAATATCTAAAAAACATATTTAAAAAATACCAAGTAATTAACAAGAACGAACATGACCAACAATAACACCAACATACCCAAAAATATATATTTATTTCGATTTCGAATCAAGAATACACGTAAATCAACCAAATTCGTCAAAATTATTCTATATACATATTCTACATAATAGGTTATTGCAAATGTAACAAAATTAGTAAGACACTTTCAGATTGAGAATTCAAACTTCGGTTCCATCTACAGTAAGGGTAGGGTCGTCTTCCCATTCAAAGTCGGGGGCAGAGATGTTGATCGAGGCTACTGAGCCTGTAACCGATCGTGGAGTGTGTTTGGGAGAGCTTTGTGGAGTGTTCTGCTCGAGGATCTTGTCTAGCCATGTCATTCTGGAAAAAGTAGACTTGTACTAACCTTTCAAATAGGTATAGGTAGCTCTATTACCTTCAATTAAGACTTCAATACTTAAAACCATAAATATTAGGTTGTTCATATAATTCTGTGCTCCCACCCCCTACAATTTGCTTTGAAAGAAGGTACATAACTATTTGAACAAAAAACTGACGCTCCAATGTCAATATTAGTCCACAACTATAAATATAAAAAGTCTTGTCGCCAATCTATATTAATTTTCCGGTCCAAAATCGCCGAGACTTTTTACACCCTCGTTTTACACTTTAAAAGCTTACTTATTACCCGTTGCGCCTTCATATGACATTCCATTAGCTCTGGAACATCCACCTATGCTCGACCTGTCGTCTTCTGATGTGAAATCCGTCGATAGTCCTGAATCAAACATTGTTGATCGTCGAAATACCCTAAAACACATTTATTCAATTATTACAGCCATTTAAATTACTTTTACATTACAATAACGATTATAACATGTTAAACAACATAAAGACCTCATACTATGCAGAAACTTTAAAACGTCATAAAAGTGCAGATTTATAGTGCACTTTTATAAAACTTTTTAAAATACTTTTAAAGAAATTTAAAATCTCTTACCCCGGATTGGAGCTGAATGAACTCCTGCTAAAACACGAATCTGTCATCACATTCTTCACATCGCCCTCGTCAGTTATGGTCACAATCGTTGGCTTGACCTGAAATGACTTCTCGACATTCTGAGAAGACACGGCCAATGGAGATCGGACCTTGATCGAAGAACGACGAGAGAACGTTGAAGGCGTTGGGGAGAGAGAAGGCCTTGTAGTTAAGTCATACAATCTAAAATAATATCGTTAAAATAGGTTTAAAAAATAAGATATTAGCATAAAATAATCGTTTATCAATTTAAAAATGAAAAAATTTATTGTAATAACATTCATAATTACCTTTACTTCAATATAAAACCTCACAATTGTAATAAATGTTGTAATAAACTTCCAAAAAACTTACCCTTTAGGCTTTGCCATTCGTCTGAAACTAGATGTGCTTTGGAAGCTCATAACTGACATCGTATCAAAAGACGTGCTGGCATCGCCAAGGTGTACACTTTCATACATATACTGAACATTCTGTGCTGAACATTTAGATTGAATCATCTCGGCAATGTTGTGAAGACCTGAACAATTGTCCTCCATATCCGATATTGTAGACATGTTGGATGTGTTCAGCTGAAATACGTTATATGAGATGTTTTTAATGCTATTTGCTTCAAAATTTATCAAAATATTAATATAGTCAACTATACCACATTAAAACGCATCTTGTACTCAAATAAAAAACCTTTTGATCACATAATCTACCTAAAATAATACAAACCACGTCATAAACTCACTTTTTCCAATACAACAGATGCCGAAGTCGACACATCTCCTTTTTCTTGCAGTAGCCTCTTCAGATTCTTCACACAAGACAGATTACTAATGTCTGAAGGTGTAGGCGATCCAGAAAAGCATGGATTCATGGCAGAGAATCCGTGAGTGAACGAATCCTCCTCCCAGCCAGCTTCTGATTCCGTGTACTTGACACTGCATTGGGAAGACGGATACTCATCCGGAAGATCGTCTAATAGATCTCCATCTACATCATAAATGGCATTGGAAACAATCGATGCTGGGACGACTCGACTTATCGATGTTAGGTCTGATTTCGCACTAAAAACGTAATATTTTTGCAATTTTAAAGAATTATTAATAAAAACTAAGATTTTTTATTTTTATCATCTTAAAAAATACCTATTACAGCTTCTTCTTTACCAAAAGGTACAAATTTTGCCACATTTCAACAATTTTTCTTCAATTTCCCTACATTATACTAGACAAAATGACAATTTCTAAACGTTAGCACAATTTTGTTACCTAAAATCAACAAAAACACAACAAAAAGACAAAAAACTTACTCAATATTATCCAAATCATCTCCCAGTCCAGCAATCCGTGTGGTAATGCTCTTCTTAACACTTGCATCTTGACTTATACCTTCTAATCCCTTTTTAGATGGCCGTTTCCTCAATCCTTCGCCATCACACAATATCCTAATCGGTGATCCTGACCGTGTAGCCGAGATCTTGTACTTTCTACCTGATTCAGCTTGAATCGGCTTCAACGAAGCTAATTTCTTGTGTGGTTCGTCTTCTGAATCTCCTGACCTCCTTGGATAGAAAAAGCCCTGAAAAAGAAAATGATTGATAAAATTAAGTAAAACTGTTGTTAAAATACACTAAAACCCTATGTCTAACTTGCTAAACCCTTTTTATACACATTCTATACCTATTTCTACAAGTTTTCGTCTATTTTAATGCAAAAACACCATTTATTACCTATAGTAATATAATTTTAAGTGTTTAACAAACCTTTAAAACCTTATACAACCTATAATATGTTCGTATCAAACAAGATTGACATAATTGGACACCCATTTCGTGAAATCTACACCCATTTGGGCAATTTCTCGGGAAACAGGAGAAATCCTCTGGCATTCCGTTCGGCCGATGCTACTTTGGCGCCAAAAATCAAAATTTAAATTAATTTTTAGGGCAATCGCGCAAGAGTGGTAAAAAGGTAATATAAAATTTAAAATCTTAAATTTGTTGAAATAAAAATGGCATAGAACAAAAGTCTAACAACTTGATATTGCACTTGATCCGTCCAATCTTATTTCAAATTTTAAAAATATCCAAAGTTCAAAAAACGACATTATATTGCAAAAACACATTCAAACACCAGAGTCTGTAAATAAAACAAGGCCATTAAACAGAAACCCAAAACCAGAGTTCAGCTCCCTTCCTCAACCACTTGAACATGACCCTTTTCGCTTCGAACTTGACAAAACGGTTATGATCCCTACCATAACATGAGGTTGTAGTCACGACGTTCGACAAACAGGTGTGGTGACCTTATTCTCAAACGGTTAAAACTGTTTGCACTTTGAGTGACATGAAGCGACACGGCAAAGTGAGCGTGGATGTTGAACCGGTATGGTCAGAAATTTGAGTGTAAAACTGGTGTATATTATAGTAAATACTGGTATATATCATATTAAAAAAGCTTTTTAAACTATGTCGTTCAAAGACCAAAAAGATAAATCAAAAAAGAACCTTATTGTAGCTACTTTTCGACAAAATTTTGTCATTTTACACAGCTTTTACCCTAATTTTGCAGCAAAAAAGGTGTTAACCTTGCAAAAACCTAATTGTAAGCCTCTTTAACACTAAAATCTAAAGTAAGCTTTTCGACTCCAAGTTCTGTAGACCAAAATACACCATTTCAATATAAACTGGGTTCAGAATTGGGAACAGTGTTTGAGAATTCACCTATTTCGTTTCAAGTTTTACCGGTTTTTCCACGAAAAAAGCCTACTGTGCCGCTTATGTCATCATTGAAGAACTGCCGTAGGCTGTATTGTGTTATTATATAAAAGCATATTTTCAACTTGACTTTATTCGTCTTTTAAAAACAAAATTTTATCTAAATTTATCTTTAAGAAGCGTAAAATACGAGACATTCCTTGTGGTTAAGATTTTTCTAAAATATCTTTACTCTTCACAGCCTACAAGTACTATAATATAGGTCTTTACATAGTAATAACGTTAAAAAAAACTAAATGTATCCTATTGCTATTATAAACTGCGGAAACACTATAACAGTACATAAAAATACTTACTGGCACCAAAAAGACGTTACAAGAATATATCATCCTCCTTTAACCCCCATTACTCCTTCCCACTCTATACCATTTCGATCACCGTACTCCCACAACAATACCACCCCACAATCACCTCACTTTACTAAAAACCCTCTTAAAGAGCGACAAAAGTGAGAATTCGTTATGCAAAGGCGGAAGATGCATTATATACGTAAGTCATCGTATACGATCGCTATTTGAAAGAGGAATCTAGAAACGATGAGCTTCAGAAGAGACATTCCTTTTGTAACTATACTAAATAAGCCCTTTCTTTTAGCTTTGGATATTATCCATAAAGTTCGAGTGACATCGTGTCATCGAGCAAGTGACATCGCTAAGCTTCTGAGCTTTGATACGAATATGCAAATTAAGCTGAACTTCAAGGTCAACAATGTACAGAAGCTTGTAGTAAAACTTGAGCAACTTAATATTAGAGTAATATTAGGTTGTTCAAATTCTGTGCCTTGAAGAATTGTTTTGAAAGGAAGAACCGGATTAATTGAACAACCTAATAGAAAGAGGAAAGTAATACAAACAATATCTTATAAGTCATTCCTAGTAAACTACATATACCTTCAAATGGGTTTTCACCTTTCTTTATGAAAACTAGCTAACATTGGCTTTAACAACAGCTACAGATCATCTGTCGCAGCTACAGCTTTTCTTCAGGATTCAGAATACAAATGCGTAATAAAAATTTGTAATATTATTATTTTAGGTAACAAACTTGCCCTCCCATCATAAAAAAAATTAAAAAACTCATAAAAAACTTGTACCAATGAATCTACTCATTAAAATTTGGTAGCACTATAGAAAACCCAAGACAAAAATAACTTGAGTTGAAGGTATTCAAGATTCAGAGTTGAGTCCAACGTATTTTAGACTCAGAAGCTTGAAACGGTTCCTTGTCGCCATAAAATAAGCGATATTCTGGTTGACACTTTAATCAAAGTTTCGTTTACGGTCGTTTCTCTTTTCGTATAACAATAAAATTAAAAGGAAATGTGTTGTACAATCATGTTTTTGTGTTTACTTTAGTTTCATCGTATACCGTGACATAAATAGGCTTCTTTTAGGGTATAAAGCACTATTCCTAAGCTTAACCTTATATTAAACCACCTATAACAATCTTCAACGGTGTTCTACAACTTAAGATCACGTATTAATGTAATAGTTTGTTTACCAAATTCTGTACCCTCTCTCAAAGCAAATTTTAGGAAGTAAAAGGCACAGAATTACGTGAACAACCTAATAAAAACCCCCTCTAACCATTAAGAATATCAACAAATGCCTTACCTCAGCAGCAGGATGAAGAAGCCGGCTGTCAGCTCTGGGGATCTGATCAAGTCTGGTCGAATCCAGCAATGTCCATACAAAGCCATTGCCAAAGTATTTACTACATATCCTATAGGCACAATACGATCCTACTGAAGCTACCAGTACTATACCACTTGTTCGTGCTGAAAAATAAAAGGTTACTGTAAAATACGTTTACAGATAACATACCCACTAAAAATTTTAAATTCCAAAAAATTTTTAAATTCCGAATTTTGCTACAATTTTTTAAATTTTATTTTCATTTTTCGAAAAAAAATGAATTTTGACCCAAGTACATCAAGTACAATATAAGTAAAACCATAGCAAAAATACAGTAACCTCAATATATTTACCGTTCCATTTCCATCTACTTTCGGCCCCAAAGACTGAGACGAAAAAGTCGTCGATGGACGAATCCAGGAAAGCCCCAATGCCAGCCATAAAAGCATTTGGCAGAAAGTCGACGAACGTTTTCGACATTCTTTCGCCCGGTCGTTTCTCACGTTCGCTTTAGAATAATTTTATTTACAAATTCCAAAAATTTTCGAAATTTGTTCACATTTCAAATTGAAAAAAAAACTTGTCGTATTTTAGAAAAAGCTAAATAACTGATAATGTTTTAGAAGATTTGGCAGTGAGTGTTCTATAAAAGGTAATATCAGCATTGTAAGCTTTATAGTACAAGAATTAATAGTTATATTGTACGGTAATTGTCGCGACAATAACACATGTAAAATACGACCATATATTGTCAAGCCGTAGACAAAAATAACATTAAAACGTCAAAAAAATTCTGCTAAAACTAACTTTTTAAAACAAACTAACACTTCAAACTAGCCTAGATCGAAGGCCAAGTCTATTTAAAGATCACAACTTTACAAAACTACAGCTTATGTCAAAGTTCAGACAATATTAGACGATTTTACCGTGAAGTAAACAAAACTAATGGAACGACAAACTCTTTGTGCACTTAAAAACCACTTAACCACCAAAAACAACAAAACAATATAAAGTTGAATTGTCAAGAAATACGAATGATTTTGAGTTACTGAAGCAGTAGTAAAGATATGTATACACTTTTAAAATCTAAAAACTAGGCCAAAAAGACTTCTAAATATCTATTTTCAGATGAATTAAAGATAGCTAAACCATGAATTTTCCTGTAAAAAACATTGATTTTTAAGTTGACAACTATCACAGCTCAAACAGATGTTACCCCACATTACTAGCTACCAAAAACTTTCTCCTTACAGTAATCTATACCATACATTTTGTCATGTTTTTCCTAGTTCAAACCCTACCAACAAATACCTGCCGAACCTAAACCATCACACCTTAAATAATCAAATCAGATCAAGTCAGTTCATGAGTCCAAATCAATCTCCGGAAGTCGATTCTATTACAATCCCTCATGGTTACTGTTATGACAAATGAAAGCGATTGTTCTGACATATCGCTCCGAAAGGCCGAATGTTCCGTGAGTTTTGCAAAGTTTCCCTCGAAACAAAAGTTTTTTTATTAAAGCGACAAAGAACAATTCAATACCTACGTCTTCATATTACTAGTCTTGAGATGACTTTAGGATTCATAATACAGGATTTCAAATTACTGTAGTTTTTTGAGCAAGGTAAAAGCAAAATGAAAGGCATATGGCCCTACAGCCTTATATAGTCCAATGTTTAGCTGGAGTATCTTCCAATTTACTTTATTTGCTAAACCTGTAAAGCTAATTTAAAACTTTCCTCTAAACCCACTCAAGTTTACTAACCATTGAATAGTACAAAGAACTCATCGTTTTCGAACTGAGAGTACAAATCTTGTCAAAGATGATCTAATTAGACATATCAAGGATTGTGACAGCCGTCTTCCACTAATAGCCCAGTACATATCAAGACACCAATTTTTGACATAAATGTTACGTAATGACATTCTGCAACTGCAAATGTCAATTTTGCAGATCAAATATTAAAATTAAATAATTTTTTCACAATATCAGACCAATTAAGTATTTTACAAATGTAAAATACGGCTTTTACAAAATACCCTTCCGGAAATATACAAAATGAACCAAAGTTATGTCTAACTTTTATCCAAAATACCCAAAATCACTGTAAAGACCAATTTTGAACATAAAATTCGATCAAACTTTAAAAGTTGTTTGCTACTTTAACTAAATCAACCTTTTACCCAGCAGACACTAAAGTAACTCTCAACCTTTTAAAAGTATTAACACATATTTAACACCAAGATTATCCTAATTTCTCCTAACTTAATGACCGGTAAACTAAACCCTTCATTTCGAATATTAATAACCGCAATCTCAACCTTAAATCTAACCCTTTAACCTTGCCTTTCCTTGAAATTAATATCGGATAATGTTATCCTAGCCATCCCGATCGGCAAAAGAGTTCCGCCGCTTTTATACCAAAGAAAATAACATTACGAAGGCTTTACGACTAATGATAATATGTGTGAAGAATGGTGGTTCCGCAAGATTTTGACAAAAAAATTTAGAGGTTCGTACTAATAGTACTCAATCAGACTCATACTCGAGTATAAGCAGAGTAGTACTATCAGAGCAAAGTTAGAGTAAGAAGACCAAGAAAGGCGGTAAGATTAATTCAGAAGCGTCTTTTCTTTGATAACCAACGTTCCAATTTTAAGCTACGACAATGAGTATTATACCTTATAATCATGACGACCTCCCGCCCAAATAAAAAAAAATCTAAAAAATCCTTAATCCACAAACTTTTAACTGTCCCAAAAGAAAATCACCCCTCAAAACTGATCTTAACCCCGCCATTCTTGAACTTACTGTCCTTCAAATCAATACCACCATAACTATCGTCTTTCCTATAAAAAGCCATTCCCAAATCAAATCATCATATTATAAAAATGAATAAAATCCTTCAGAATTCACGTTTCCTCAAATCGGAACAGTGACTTCAGCCCAATCGAAACAGTGAATTTAGCCTCGTTTATAAAAAAACAGTGAATACAGCCTCATTCAGAGACCTTTAACCTTGACGAACTGCTCGTAATTAGCAACATTCAGGTCGAGCTACGTGCATAATGGACAACAAACACTTGCTATGACAAAACACGGAACCGGTTCGAGAGTTGTGACAGCAAACGATTACAAAAATATCGTTCTTAGCATGTATAACAAGATATATTAAAGCTTTAGCTAAAAAACAAAAAAAATAGCGTAAATATAGTACAAAAATGTAAAAACCTTCCTATTCAATTACATACGACACTGTAAAATCGTAAGTATTTCATACTTTATATCCTTCTTTTTTAAATCTTTGTTTTCTTATGACCTAGTGAGAACTTTTTCAACATATCTTACTTTTTCCAACAGTAAATACAAAGCTTTTTATTCTATCTATCGCGTCTCCAATACATTTTTCTTTAACCTATACCTATATCAAAATAACATCCTTCAAACATTTGTTAAACCCATAACAATTCTAGAACAAACCTACCAATTTCATACCACATTTAAACTTGTCACCTCAGACTTCAAGCCATATATGCCAACAAAACGATTTCTCCATAGCCTAACACATTGCAGCATTTACTTAATGAATCTAGCATCATAAGCAGAAAGTTAAAAGAAGAACAAGTTATACAAGTATAAGAAGATCAGTACGATAAAAGTAGTACGTAGAAAACAGTGTTATCTTAGTAGTATAGACAAATACAGACTAGCGATTGCGAGTAAAAGATTGAAAAGAGGTTTTTAGAGCTTAAAAGTGAAAACGAGACGTTCCGAATCGTTTTTTGTTCTGATTTGGATTCAACGTTCTCTACGCGCTCTCATATAAGCGTGGTATCTTCGCAGAGATGTTTTCAGATTAATTTTTGGCCATATTTCAAAAATTAGAAGAAATGACGTTTTTCTAGAAAATACATATTATTCAACAAGAAACCCGTGGCTCTAGACTTAAACATTAAAAAAAATTAAATAAATTGAAAAATCCGAAGAAAATCCTAATTAAAGAACATGTTTAAACTTAAAAAAAAAGATAAAGGACATACTGATGTATATTAAGCTTACATATCATTGTGACATTCTAGTTTCTCGTCCAAACCCAAAATGCAGCGTGATCAAGAAAAAAACCAAGAACTGACACAATTTTTGTTCGCAAAAATGTCAAAAATCTGAGGTTTCAGATCTTGTTACACTCGACTGGTAAACAAAAAACTGATCTCTAGATTCGGAAAATCACAGTGAATTGTGTCAAACAAGTCATTTAGACATATGATGACCTAATATAACACTTCATTGCCCATTCTAGCTTTGCAAAAATAAAACTTCAGTTTTTACATCTACTACAATATAAAACTGAGTTCATCTACTTTAAGACTCTAAAGATATAACTAAGACCTTTTACCTAAGCCTAGTACCCTAATATTTACCTCTACTCCAACGATTTTAAAAATCAACCAGATCCACCGTCCAAGATTAAAAACAGAATACCACCCTTCCCCAAACCCCATCCTTCCTACCTGAGTAATCATCAATACTATTTAAGGATACAATACCATTGTATCAAAGTAAAAACTCCGTGATTTTTGTAAATTTGTGTAAAGAACGAAGATGTCAGCAACAAAAACCTATATTTTAAATAATTTTATTCCGCTAGCCGGCTCTGTTTGCTTTCGATACGTGACCGACCTCAAATCTCGAGCGAATCCTCGTATTATTATAGGCAATATTATAAATACGAAGGTAAATATAGGTATGTTAGTCAACAAGATTTTGTAGTACTTGGTAATCTTGAGCTTTTATGAGCCAGTAATTTTAATAAGGTTTTAAAAGTAAAATACGAGTTTAAAATAATTTGATTTTGTAAAATTTGCCTAAAGTAGATAATTTTTGATTATAAAAGTAACTTTAAGTTAGATGAACCTAACTTAAAGTTACTTTTATAGCCTAAAATACCCCAAAATCAATAAAAATTTACCGAAATTACCTGTCGGAGTGAGAATAATAGACAAATGGCCTCCACTTTTACAGTCAAAATTGAATTCAAAGCCCTCGGGCATATTCAGAAACCTTTAGAAATGTAAAATACGCTCTAACTTGGCTAATTGGTAAAAAATCTGTAATATCAACGTAGAAATCTATATTTTAGTTTGGACTATTTAAAAAAGTTTTTAGAGCTCTAGATGAATAATAGTAATGACTTAAAGCTCAAATCGAATAGCGATTCCGACTTTAAATAAGAGAATATTAGAGGAAAAGGGAGAGAAGCCAGTTATAACTTGGCCTACGAGAAAGGTTTTTTCTGAATCACTTCGGATCAGGTGTTTTAAACTTTGTAAAAGAGACGAAACAGGTACAAGTTAGAACAATTGGCCTCAAAAACTTGAATTTATTTTAAAATTTGCTTCAAAATATTGAATTAACTTATCTTAACCATGATTTGAGACTACAACAACATCTTTTTTTAAAGAATTATAGTTAAAAAAAAGGCATTTGTTACCTCAAGATTGATTAGAAAGAAAGAATATATAACAGAAATACTATTAAAAAGTCCAATAATATAAAAAATTAAAGAAAAGTTAGACAAACTAGGAAACAATGTCATCTTGGAGATAGTCAAGGTCAATTTTACCCTAAATTAGCTCCGTAAAAGCCCGTATACGACAACAACCAGCAAGTTATATAAAGTTATAGTTTCAAACCTCTATCAAAAATCGGTAGATGCTCAAAATTCCCATATAAAAAACAACATATCCCAAGCAGAATATCATCGTATCGCCCCATAAAGCCTCAATGACCATCTTTAACTAATAAACATTAAAAATCTCGTGTTGAACAACTACCAAACTACAAAAAAACTGTGAACCAAGTTGTGTCATTACAAAAAATATAAACCATGTGTTTCTATACTAATCCTCGAAATTCAAGTAGAATCTGCAGCGCCACCCTCGTTTACCACGGTAAAATCGAGAGGAATGTCCGTGTATGACCTTTGCGCGACAAAAATTGTTTTGGCTTAGAATACGGAGTAAATACAAACAAAAACATGACATAACTATGTTTTTTGTGAAATTGATTCAGAAATGAATCAGGAAGAAGTGAAAACAACCAGTATTAAAGATGAAAGCCTTCTTAAAGTTATTGCACAGTGTTTTTTGACTACCAATATATCTCTCGATTACACAAGCTCTCAATGAACATATTTGCTTTCGCAGTAACTTAATATTGTTATTGTGACCTGAGGCCATCTCTCAAAATCATCTCAAGTTCCTCATTAAATATAACTAATCAAATTGGCGTAGACTAGTCTATAGGCTTATAAGTAAACCCATTATTCATGTTAACAAACACAATATAAACGAGCTCATAATAACTACCACAATAAAAGCTAACTTATATAAACTAACGCAACATACCAAACCACCTCCCTTAAATAACCCCGCCAAGATCAAAGAATTGCAAAAACTGCCAATTAATCATTTTAATCAGCCCTTGGCCATCTATTCAACGTTCCGTGCTCATTGTATACATGCAAAATATAAAAACACTGGAAACACAAATAAATAATCCATTTTCAATGAGCGATTAAGAAGGTTAACAACACATTTTCAGTGCTGGATCAGGAACTAAAGAAGCTTATGACTTTTAGAAGGTATTGTAATGTTAACAGGTTTTACACGTTTGTGTAAGATGCCAAATAATACAGTATATAAGCTAAATTTTGTAAAAAAATTGTTATTGTCTATACAATCTCAAAGTTAACCTATTTTACCCAATTATGCAAACTTTTTTAAGTGCTTTCATCAATATCAACCAAAAAATCAACTTAAAAATGACCATGCTCTTCTCCTCCCTCTACCCTATTTAAAGAACAGTCCATTTTACACTCTCTAACCTTGTCCATTCCAAAGACCAATAAACAACAATATCAGCCTCTACCGATTAACAACATACTATCACTAGTTTCTTTTACAGTAAACGCGGAATTGTCAGAGTGAATCAAAATAGCTTTCTCATGGCTTCTCATCGTACGTTCTTTTATTACTTTCCATCCCTTTAGTCATGTTCAACATGAGAAAAAACGTGTGATCTTTTTAATTATAATCAAGATTGGTGTTTCTACGTGAAGTTTTCGTTTTTTGTGTGTATTTTTTTTATATAGTTACATGTGCAATAAATAAATAAATAAAATAAATATATATTAAATGACATGGTTGTGAATATAGACATAGTTTTTAATCTTTGTAAATGGAACGGTAAATATACTATAGTAATGTAACTTATAATACTTAAAATTGCGTCTTTAGCCTCGATACTAACCCATGAAAGCTACTGTACTTTAAAATAATCATTCTATAATTCCATTTGTTACCTAATATGTTGTGTATAACGTTTTAAAATTCTGCTTTTTTAGGTTTATCTAAAACAACAGCCACAAACCTTGTACACACACAAAATTTTCATTTTCTCGCCTCGTCTTACCCTAAATCCAAATAAACTATACAAAACAACTTACTGAAGACAGCTACATCAACATTGTTTGAAGTTAGTGACAGGCCCAATTGTGTGATCAACTGGTCGGGTTGGCCATGAATCCTGGCCTCGAGAAACAGAGCTGGTAGTGCATTCGAACCGGACTCGATTAATGACGCCGGAATCAAGTTGGAGGTCATTTTCTGAGGTGGGCTTGGCCATCTGAAGGTAAAATATATTGTTACTTTACTTGCTCGTATTTTACACAGCATATTTTTAGGTTTAATAAGAACGTCATTATGACGCATTTAAGGACAAAAGTATCAAGGTAAGGTCTAAACTAAAGTAATAAATGCCATTTTCAACTATTTTAATTCAGAAGTCACAAATTTCTGATAAAAAAAATTAAACTAAAATAATCGAAAACTCTTACCGAACCAAGAATTCTAAATAAAAAATGTTCCTAAATCACCGGGTTCCATGTACAATATGCAATGGGGGTTAGTGTAATATCAGTTCTTGAGCATCATCTGAAACATTGTAAGATTAACAAGATCCGAGAAAAACGTCGGATAATCGCGTAAATGTCAATTCGAATAAAAATAAACTTAAACTGAAAAAACGTTGAGGAAGACGGTCGTAAAACAATTTCAGAAGGCAGTAAATTACATTTCCAGAAACATTAAATGCCTTTGATTGTTATCATTTCTACCGTGTTGGTATGAAATGTAAGTTTAAGAAAAACTTTTATTAAAAATGAAGATTTAGGTAACATTTTATTGATAAATTTTACAACATATTACCTAAAATCTTTATTTTTAAAACAAAGCTAACAGAAAAAAAATAAAGTTTCCAAAAAAATGTTTTAGGTAATATTGTTTAAAGCCCTTTACAATATTACCTAAAATCTTCATCAAAGGTTCGAATTTATATTTTTGCGGAAAAAAATCGACAAAATTTTGTTTTATCAGATTCAAACGGCCAAATTTCGCGCCAAAAGAACAAATCTAAAAACATCTCCAAAATATATGGTAAAATTATAAAAATCGATTGTAATATTAGTTTTTAGTTTCGTAACAAGATGTAAATCAGGTTTTATCACAAAAATTTCAAATTTTTATTATACCAAATCCTTATTATTGCTATATCTAGTATAATATAACGTATCACAACACCCACTCCCAACCCCCTTTCAGAATCCGCGTTTTTAAGGCTTAAAACGCTCGTCTCAAAAAGTTATGATCTGTTACGAAAAAACAAATACAATAATAGCCGAAAGGGTTTTTTGCTCACCCGGCTGCGTCTTTCGGAGCAGTAAAGGTCGTTTGAGGGCTGAATTTGGCTTCGGATCTCTTTCTGATGGCAGATGGGAGAAGGGGAAAAACACGGCTCCAAACGGAAATTTAAATTATTCACTGAATCATTCGGATATCTGTGGAAATTGTGAAAAAAACAATCTGAAAAATATGATTTTGAGAGTTTAGAAGGTGATATTGTTAGTCAACACAGTTATTTTATAATTTACAAGATGAATATAAAGCTTAAAAACTTCAGATTTTTTCTAAAATGGTTTCCAGATCCATAAAATTTACAAAACTAAAATAACCTACGCCCATTTTAAGCTAAAACAACAAAGAAACAATTTACAGTAAAAGGTAACTACATTACAATAACCAGTGAAACAGTTTAATCACATTAGCAAGTTAAGTCAAGGTAAGATGGGGGAAAGAATTAGATCAAATAGTACGAATGGTCAAGAAGCGTAAAGGACATTCGGATTACCTCAAGGCGGTTCTTGTTTATGGCTAGCCGACTGTCAGTCATTAGAACTTCAAATTTCAAAAAATGTGACAAAAATAGGCCAAAACAAAAAATGGCTTTAGGCATTAGTCAAAAATAAGTTGTTATTAGGCTAAAAAGTAATCTTAACTTAAAAAAAACTATTTTTGATGCTGAAAAATCTTTATTTAAAGCTTTTTAAATGAACAAAGTTAAAGGAAAACGGAAGTAAAATCTCAAAAAATTTAAATTTTTTAAAATTTTAAAAAGACGAACAAAAAACACCGCCCAAAACTGTCAAAAAACGGCTGTAAATAGCAATTGACTGTTTATCCAAAAACAGACTTCCGTTTAATTAATTTATTCAGATTCTCTTGGCCCCCCCCACCCCCCACCCCCCAAACCCGTGCCAAAAACAAAGTTTTAATACTTTACTCATCCCTCTTTTTGTGCCCGGAGGCATTTCAATTCCCAGAAGGCAGTTTTTGCAACCAATTTCTTCGTTTTTCGTCCCCGAATTTGTCCTTTATTCCGGAAAAACAAAGAAAAAACGTCTTCGAACATTACGAAAAGCTCCGCCATTTGTGGAGCGTCTGGGATTCGGCACGATGTTTGAGATTGGAGGGCTTGGCTGTATATTTACCTGGTTTTTTTTTTGAGAAAATTGGGATGAACTTTTAGGTTAAATTGGCTGGAAAAACTAAAAAATTGCGAAAAAGTCCTTTCTCTTAAGCTCTTGTTTAACAGTACAGAGGATGTATTAGTACTGTGAGTTACAACTAACGAAATTATGCTGTAGAGCTTATAAAGTTTGTTTAAGGTCATGCTTAACCTTACACAGACTGTATAAGCACTACAAGCCAAAACAAGGTCAACTAAGACGAATCTTATCATAACTACAATAAGTCCAGAGTTGCAACAATAAAACAGAATTTTAAAAATACGATAAATAATGCAAAGGCATAACTCCAAAGTTATGCATGCTTAATATTGTTTACCATAAAAGGCATATTGAGTGATTAAAGAAGAGATATGACCAAGGAAAAGAGACTTTTCAAGGGCCGGAAATGAACTTGCGGGTATGGAATGTACTCGAGAGGAATAAAATTACCCGAGTAAAAAGAGAAAGTTAAACAGAGTTAGTCGTTGAACTCTTTTTTAAATGTAGGTTGAAACTTTGGTAATTGTAAAATACGGACATTACATCATATAAGTTTAACTAAAAATAATAAATAAAAGACAACTCTTTGTTATATAATATTATTGTAAAAAGTACAAAAAATGGAAAATCATGTCATTTATAGCTTACAAGGAAAGAAAAACATTATTAAAGTAAGAGGTAGAAGTTTTCAAAATTACAACACCAAAAATCGCCCCTATTCTCTCCTACCAGTCCCTACAAACCCCTATTGTCATCCCACCCAACCATATATATACCCCCCTTAAAATACGTAGAATTACGTAAAACTTTGATTTTTCGGTTCACTTATCTTGGATTTCAAGTCAATTTTCGACCTTCGTATAGCGATCGAATTTGTTTGTTTTTCTGTTTGAACCATTCTCATACGTCGTCTGGCCGTTTATGTTACAGGCCGCTCGAATTACTATTGTGCTGTAGGTAAATTTAAAAAGAACAAAGATTAAAAAGATCTGGAGGCTACAAATATTGTCATGTTGAAAGGTCATGCAGAGGTAAAAAATCCATCCCCCCCCTCCCTAACAATCCCACGTTCTCGAAAATTCATAGAGGTATAGTCGTAATCAAAAAAAAATTACCTATCTAAGCCAAAAATACCCGCCCAAAAAAACTTAGTTCTTCATACCGTATTTTACATTTAAAATTAAAATTTTAAAATCGCAAAAAGTAACAAACCAAAATACAAAAACCTTCTCGAAGTATCCAAATCGAAATTCGAAAAGAATAATAAACGGTGGAAGTCAAGGGACACCTTTAGGGTCCCTTTTTCACTTTTTTCCTTTTCCGATAAAATCAAAAAACAGTTTAAAAGCTTTCCAGCAAATTATGATAATGTAGCTAATACCCGAACAGTCTAGCGCTCGAAGCAATGTTTTTGAATTCTTTTGAATTTGGTATTTCATTATAGTAAATGCAACGTATCCGAACACCAAACAAGATAAAAAAGAAAGTTTAGAAACAAAATAAAAATGCCATAAGACACTACAAAAGAGAGAGTGCGTTAGACAGTCAGAGAAATGTAAACCCAATCGTATGATAAGCAAAGCTTTTAAGACCTTTTAGAGTATGAAGAGGTCAATAGGATTAATATCCACAAACAAGGTTAGCTTGTGGTTGTGGCTCTCAAAAATGGCTAGATACAACAAATTTTGGAATGTTTGGCTAGTATATCAAACTAATATTATATTATAAAATCAATATATTAGTGTAGAACTAACAAAAATTTTAAATATTTCGTAAATTTCAATAGTTAAAATTAGTAAAAAGTACGAAAAAAGCGTACGCCACTTGAGATTCCAAGGATGTCTCCGATCCAAGTACTAATCAAGCGCACCGTTGCTTGCCTTGCCAGATCGGACGGGATGACGTGCGTTCAACGGGCTATGAACGTACACGTTGCCTGTTCTCCTCGTTCCGAACTTACAAAGACTGTTTTGCCTGATCCTTTTAACATTAACAATAGTAAGCTAACATTGTAAGATACATTTTTACAATAACTGCATTTGTTTATTACTACAAATAGGACGGTGTTCAATATTATTAACCACACTAAAAATTTACAATACATCAGTAAAAATTTCTGCTGAATTTACAAAGATTAGAGAGTATAAAGAATAAAGAGCGCGTAAGGTTACAGAAGTAAACCGAAACCAATCAAAAGGTAATGATCGCATTAAAGACCTTTTAGAGCATGAACAGATCTATAGGATTAATATCCACAAACAAGGTTAGCTTGTGGTTCTGGCTCTCAAAAGTGGCTAGAAAAGAGAAATTTTGGAATGTTTGACTGATAAGTTGAACTGATCTAATATAAACTATGTAATCAAACTTAAACTAATTTCTCTTAAAATCCGCCATTCTAATACAACGAATGTAAGCTATTTCAAACTTTTTTAACGCGCGACGGTTTACACAGAACAAAAAAGTAAATGTAAAGAAGTAATTAAAAACTATCAATTTCTTTGCAAATTATCGACAGTTGATTAAACATTTATGTTAAAACTAATTGTCAAGGAAATTGTCTAGAACTTAGTTTTTAAACGTTTTAATCATCAACGAACGTTCAATTTTAAAATAAATTATATAGGCTTTTACCATATCATGAGTTAACGATAGTACTCCATTAATGTACGTTTTCAAGCTCAAAGAACCATGACATCAGTTTAAAAAACCTAAATGAACCCTAACCCTCCCTCCTCATTCCAAAACCGTTTAAAAATGTGCCATTGTTAATAATCGTTCCTGGCAACACATTACACAAAAAAGGGGTAAAAGTTCGTATCTTCCATGCCTATTAATAGCCAACCCACCTCACTTTTTATAATTTAGTAATATCGGAAAAGGAAAAAACACTGCAAATAGTAAAATTCAGAAAAAGAAAGGAATTCGCGGCCGAAAAGACGGCCAACCTTCTCATTCCCTCGAAGGAACGCAAAAAGACTTTGCAAAAAATTACTGCCGAGTAAAAATAGCCATGTCTACTGCCGAGATTTCTTGTATAGCTGTCTACAGAGATAAAGCTTCTATTCATGATGAGCGGGTATTGTTATTCGTTATGAAATTTGAGTTTAATGTGAAAAATTGGGTTTAATGTGGGTTGTTTTGAATTATAAATACTTTTTAATGGCATTTTTTTAAGACTCTACAACAATGTTAGAATAGATACTATGCTTTGCTACACAATGTATTTTTGTTAAGATCGCGTCACTTTCTCTGGAGATATTGGCCATAAATCATCGCTAAAGCTTGAAAAATGCTTGTAAACAATGAAAAAAAAGTTTTATAACTTCCATTATGAAAAACCACAAAGTAAATCAAAATAAAACTTCCAAAACACTTCTGTGTTCAAAATATTCCAATAGCAACCTAAGAGACCCCTGCAGGGGGTGTTAGGGCCCTGGGCAATATCTTTACAATTACCCAAAAGAAAGTAATACCCATTTTCCGATATTACTCATGCTTCAACTCCCCCAACTCCAAGTTCAAAAAGACTTCTAGTGTTCCACTTGAAGGACATCACGAATTCTGATGTCTATCCTCACCCCCATCGTCCCAACGTCCTTCTTCCAACCGTTTTCCCTCCATTTTGGGCAAACGACGTCACGTAAAAAGATTTTATTTCTTTTTGGAGAAACGTTCAGAACACGAAGCAATAACCACAAAACATGTGAAAACTAGCGCTTTTTAAGGTGATGAATGTGAGAACAAGTTAGTTTATGTGAAAAATTTGGCTTATTGGCACAACGGAAACATTAAAGTATTTTAGATTTGTTAAAATATTTATGTTGTCTTATTTTAAAGATTTAGTAGCTAGCGTTTTCGTATTTTACAATAGTATTTTAGTTTTATATAACGTTAGGAAAAGCAGTTCTAAATTTAAACACATTTGCAAAACTGTATGATTTTTGGTCAACGTATAATAATGCTGATTTTCTATATTTCCATTATGTTGTTGTTATTCAAAAGCTATATTGCTTTAATCAAATTTAGAAACACTAGTCTAGACTTTTAAAATGTTTGTGTCTTAATTTTTTCCGGAATTTTTGCATTTCGAAAATACAAGTGCATATTCACTACACCCCACAACGAAAATTACCGTATTTTGGCGCAGCGCAACAACTGCTTTTATTTTCTCTCGTCGTCTGCGCTTTTTTCGCCGTACTTTGACTTCTTTCCCAGCTTTTTTGGTGTATCCTGACCATTTCCAAGACACAACCAGCCGCCTGACCTTATTTTATATCACTTTGCCTATTTCTTCGTGTCAATGTATTATTGTAGCTTTTTATCGGGTCTAATTGAAATATCATTTTAGTTTCTCGTCTTCTCTCTGCTCTCGGCTTTTCCGTCTAGTCCGAGAGATCGAAGCGACGAAAGAACAGGACAGTTTGGGTTCTCCATCACACTTAACAGTGAGTTTAAAAATTTGCTTTTGATTTCTCGGTTTAGGGACGTCTGAAGAAATGTTATATTGGGCCAGAGGTGTCTCGTCATTTTAGTCGAAAATAGGTGAGCGGGTGAAAGGTATGAAACGGAATAATAAGCTGAAATTATTTTTGTTGAAACATATGGTTTTTTGGACAAAAGGATATTTTTCATTCGATTATTCAAATTTCTATGCAAATTTTTGCCACGTTTTTTCGGGTATAAAAGCGTCGTGGGGTTTGGGACTTTTTCATAAACTGTTCGAACGGTTGTGTGTGGTGGGTCTGTTACTATAGCTCTTGTAAGTTGAATTTATGCTTCTTGAGATGTTACTTTAGCATTGTCAAGTCTTGACTTTTTCTACTTTTTGATATCTAAAGTTTGTTGAGTGATAGGTAGCACTAGATAACTTGTCTTATTATCCGCTCTGGTCTGAACGTTCTTCTGTCTCAATAAATTCGCGACTCTAAAATTGCAATGCTTTTTTCGAAACCGTCGATGATGAATTTAGACAGTTGCACCTTCTTACCCTTGCTCATAAAATGCTGACCACCGGATTTAGGCGTCAGTTTCTGATCCGATTCCACCGATATTGTTCAACTTCGCTTGGGGAAGCGAAATCAAGTCGACAGGAACGATTCGAAGCTCATAAAGAAGTGAAAACAACAGATCGTGCTCCATTAGGTGATCAAAAGACTTTGTACTTGCGACATCAAAAGCACAAAATGAGATCATCAGGCGACACTCGATTGTAAGTTTTGAGGTTTTAAATATTTTTAGTATAGGTGGTATCTTGGGTTGAAATTTAGTTTTATATGCAATGTTGTATTTTTTGATTACTAGGGTTTAGCGTTAATCAATCCACGATTGCAAGCGGATTTCTTACTTGTGATTACTTTCACAGCGCTAAAATTAACGTCATTTGCAACTTGGGACTTGTCTCTATGCAATTTTCATTACTGATAATGACTACATTTTTTACAAGTAATATGAATTGATTTTCTATATAAACAGCTTTTATCGGTATTTTAGAAATTTTACTTTACTTTTTTAGTGGTGCTTACAACCAAGGGTTCGGAAGCTATAGCAACACCTATAGCGGTCCAGGATATGGCGGCGGACCTGCTGGTGGATTCGGAGTTAGTGGCTACGGCGGAGCTTCACGTGCGTTTGGCGCTGGAGGATTTCCTGGACAAGGTTTGAGAGAAGTTCCGTACAACACCCAAGAACTGGCCAAGATTGACAAGGACTTTTACACCGAAAGTCCGGCTGTTACCCAAAGATCTGGCGAGGAACTTCAGGGTTGGATTGAAAACAACCAGGTTAGTTAATCCTCTGGTCTTCTTATTTTTAGGCATTATGTGTGTGTGAAGTATTTTTGAATTATCTTATATTTGGTTGCTTTAGGTAACATTGAGCGGAAAGAACATTCCTCGACCTGTCTTCAACTTTGACGAAGCTGGATTTACCCCGGAGATTGAGCGAAGTTTGTTGCAGAACTATCAGCAACCAACCGTCATTCAATCTATCTCATGGCCTGTGGCTATGTCTGGTCGTGACATCGTGTCTATCGCCAAGACTGGTAGTGGAAAGACTCTTGGAGTAAGTTAATGTAATCTTTTTAATTTTTTAATTTGCGTTTTTCATATATTAATTAATTTTTTTTTAGTTTTTGTTGCCGGCTATCATGCACATTCTGCGCCAGGAAAGACGTTCACCACGTGGAGGTCCAGGAGCTCTTGTCATGCTTCCAACTCGTGAATTGGCGCAACAAGTCGAAGAAGTTGCGAGAGTTTACTGTCCGCTCATGGGCCTTGATGTAACCTGTCTGTTTGGTGGAGCTCCAAAGACTTCTCAATTGAACGATTTGCGTCGTGGTGTTGACATCGTCATTGCTACGCCTGGTCGTCTTTTGGACTTCTTGGAAGCTGGTGCCACTAACATGCAAAGATGCAGTTACTTGGTTTTGGATGAAGCTGATCGTATGTTGGACATGGGTTTTGAACCTCAGATCAGAAAGATTGTTGGTCAAATTCGTCCTGATCGTCAGACTTTGATGTTCAGTGCTACATGGCCGCGTGAAGTCAGAACTTTGGCTATGGACTTCCAGACCGAACCAGTCTTTTTGAACGTTGGATCCTTGGAATTGAGTGCCAACCACAACATCACCCAATACGTCGAAGTTGTCCAGGAATACAGCAAGCCTCAAAGATTGTTCCAGGTTCTTACTCAAATTGCCCAAGAGGTGAGTTACTTTTTAAATCTTTTTGATTTTTTGGTCTGTTGTATTTTACATTGGACTTGTTTTAGCTCTTATTACATTTATTATTTTCAGAAGGAAAACAAAACCCTTATTTTCACACAAACCAAGAGAAAGGCCGATGACCTGACCAGTGCTATGCGCAGAGACGGATGGCCAGCTTTGTGCATTCACGGTGACAAGTCTCAAGGTGAACGTGATTGGGTAATGAGCGAGTTCAAGACTGGAAATGCTCCAATTCTTCTGGCTACTGATGTGGCTTCACGTGGACTTGATGTCAGTGACATTAAGTTTGTCATCAACTACGACTATCCCAACAACTCTGAGGATTATGTGCACAGAATTGGACGTACTGGAAGAAGAGACAACAAGGGAACTGCCTATACCTTCTTCACTCAGACTGATGCTCCAAAAGCCAAGGACTTGATCAAGGTATTGGAAGAAGCCAGTCAGAACGTTCCTGACGAGTTGAGAGAGATGGGATCTGGTGGAGGTTCCTTCAAGTCTTCCTTCGGTCGTCGTCCAGGTCCTCCATCTGGAGGTGGTGGCTACGGAGGTGGATATGGCAGTGGTGGAAACCGTGGATACGGCGGTGGCGGCTACGGAGGTCGTTACTGAGCAGAGAGATGTTTTTATTGTGTCTTATTTTCTTTATAAAATGTTATCTTAATTAAATTTTATTGTAGTTGCTCTTTATAACGATACTCGGTTTTGCTTCATTGGGATATTGGATAAGTGTCTTAGGTTATTTTAAATGGCTGTTGACAAATTATATTGTCTCTGTAGTCTTTCTATTGGTCTCTGGTCTGAGATTTGTTGCCTTTGAAGTTGAATTTGTTGACTTAAAGCTTTACGTTATTGTCAGATCTCAGATTTTAGTTTACACTTATACTGGCTGTTAATACTTTTATATTAATACCTCTCCTTATATTTCAAGGTATGTACTCTTTTCATTTGTAATCTAATTACTATATCTGTTCTCTTGGTAGTTCAGTCTAAACGTTTGTCGCATATAACTGGATTACAATATATATTGGGGGCAGTTTTATGTCTTAATTTGTATCCTCACGGGTCTTTTCTAGTAATTATTGACCTTTGCGGGTAGTATATATATTGTTATTGTACATACTTTGTTGAATTTTGTTTCGTGGAGAGAATGTTGGGGTTTATCGTTTTCGTTTAATAATTGCTGAACCTCAACAGTCGGTAAATATTTTGTTGAATAAAGCTGAGCTGTCGTTTATCAAATGATTTTTTTTTGAATACTAATCGTTAGGTCGACTTTTGGTATTATAAAGTTTAATTGTAGGTGAACTAAATAATTAGTCTTTACAGGTTTACATTAATTGTAGAGTTATTAGTATTATATGTTTGTTATTGTTCCAGGAAATTTGCAGCAGAACAGTTGTTCCGGAAGGTTACAGGTGGCGAACAAGTACTGGTTTTAAAGTTTGGGATCAAATAAACAAAAATATTGCAAAAGGGGTGACAACTGCTCCCAGACGCATAAAATTAACTTGACGAATAGGTTATTTCGAGTGATATTGAAATAGATTTAACTTTCCAATATGTCCATCTGAGTTTAAATCCAAACCTAAATACGTCTGGGTTTATACTTAAGTAGGCTTATCTGGCGTCGCGAATGATAAGTTTAGCTAACATTCATCAGGTGTTTGAACAAATTAGCTTGATTTAAAAACTCAAGTGTCAAACTCAATTCAATGGTTTATTACCTCTTGCGGAGACAACGTATAACAAAAGATACATAAGAGTAGAATGACGATGTAGTGTGAGGACAAGTCTCTGAATCTAATGACAATCTAAGTATTGTGTTTTATCATTTATTACATTCATAGAATCGCCGCTGAAATTGGTTTACTGAAAATATTTTCGAAACATGAGAAGAGTTGATCGTATGAAGCGTTTACAGTAGTAGTATTACGGTATCAGTAGTAGGATTGTTGTTTACCACATTCTTCGCACGTACTCGCCGCGCACGTCACGTGGGGTACCGAACGAGGTCATACCGGTCTGGTTAGCAAACGAGTCCTCTTGACCCGACCAGAATGGTACCTCTGGTCGTCTGGCAATGTCAGCGGGCAGGTCCTCGTGCGAGTCGTCCACGAAGGCAGTGAATGTGCGGCGGGGCATACCGAAGGCGGTCTTGCCGGATTGGGAGTCGAGGAAGTTGACACCCATCTGGTAGGGGATCATGCCTTGGGAGCGTTGGTCTTGGTTCTGGAGCAGGAAGATGGTGTTGTTACGGAAGGCACCGAATCCGGTCATACCGGCTTGGGAAGCTCCTGGAATGATCGTTAAAGGTTTTGTTTGAGTATAATATTACTAAAATAGCTTCTCCGTACTTTAATATCTATCCATGATCTTAACTAACCCCTTTCTTAGTGATAAGGGTAGCACAAAAAGTCTTGTCGTCAAATCGTATGTTTTACAAAATAAAAAACGACAAAACGTTTGCCAATACTAACACAAAAACTCAAACATTATAAACTTATATCTTACCCTCTCTCCATCCGGAGGTCTGTCTGGAGGTGCTGGATTCATCATGGGGCATTTCTCCGCGCACCTCATCCTTGTACTTGGTGATGTTGTGGCGAGGCATACCGAAACCGGTCATACCGGACTGGTTGGCGAATCTGTTGGTTCCCATTTGCAGATGGATGAAGCCCTGAGAGTCACGGTTCTGGTCGTCGGTCTTGCGCACGTCGACGATACGTGGCATACCGATACCGGTCATACCGGCCTGGGAAGCCAGTTTGTTGGTACCGGACTGGAGGGGCACGATACCGTCGGTGAGGCGAGCCTTCTCTTCGGGCACCTCGCTAGCACCACCGGTACCTTTGGGGCGGTAGTTGACGTCACGAGGACAACCGAAGCCGGTTTGTCCCTTCTGTGAGGCGAACTTGTTGGTACCGGACTGGAGCCAGGTGGAGCTCTTCAGAGAGGCGATCTTGGCTTCGTCGGTGATTTCCTTCAAGTTTTCGGACTTGACCTTGTCGATGACGTCACGAGGTACACCAAATCCTGGAATGGGTGAACGGTAACAAGAAAGTTAAAAATAGCGAAAACTTTGAAAAACAATAATTAAAAAAATTTTAATAACTAAAAATTCAAAATTTTAAAATTTTTGTGTAAAAATTGAATTCAAAAAACATTTCTAGTAGTCTTACCAGTCATTCCCTTCTGGGAGGCATACTTGTTGGATCCGGCTTGAATTGGGATGATTCCCTCGGATTTCATCAACTTAGCCTTGTCGAACTTGGATGGTTTACCACCAGAGTACAACTCTTGACGGCGTTGCACGGACTTGGGGATAGATGGGACATAGTTGACTTGAGCTGATGGAGTAGGACTCTTGAGGCCGGCTCCGATTCCAGGCGATTTAAGCTCGTCGGCCTTGGGGCTTTCTGGCTTGGCGACGGCGTCACCGTTGCTCTGAAATCAATATTTTGATATATTTTTAAAAATTATTTTTGGCTGGTTAAACAGAAGTTATATTATAAGTTATACTGTTTAAAAAATCATGTTGGAAGGTGTTATATACAAGCGAGCACTATAATATAGCACCATAGAAAGACTTACAGCTGGCTCTTCCTTGGCTGGTTCAGGAGCGGCTGGCTTGGGTTCTTCCTTCTTTACTGGCTCTGGGGCTTCAGATTCTTCTTCGCCTTCTTCCTCGTCTTCCCACTCCTCCTCGTCTTCGGCAATCTCGTCTTCGACACGTGACATGGTTGTTGGTAGGGGTTAGGCAAATGGATTAACCTAACATATTATGCAAATTAACTGTTTTCGAATCAAAATACGACGTAAACTTGTGCGACGTAAGAAATAAAAAAATCATCAAATCATAACTTTTGAAAAAAAAATTTTATTTTTAAATTTTTTTGGCATAAAACTATAGAAAATTTATAAACAATATAGCCATATAGCCAAAACTAATTTTTAACATTTTTAATAAAATTATAACACGTTATACCAAAACGGTCTTAGACGTACCACACTGTCATTAAAAATACAAAAAAACATCAAAAAATGTAAATAAAATAAGATACAATAGTAAGGTAAAAGCTCACGTTTGAACTTGTAGCTCAATGCCACTACATGCTTAACCCACGCGTTTCTGGCAAATCAACAAAAAAGAAAAAAAATCAGCCAAAAGACCCAATCAGTCACGCTAAAGACAAGGTTAAAAAAAGAGAGCGGCAGAGAAAAACATTAAAATTTGAAAATAATGGAGAGTTTTATTAAGTGTAAACGTTTTATTGTAATAACATGATAAAGTACTGATTAGGTAAGAGTTATGAAAAAATAAAGTTGTCTGAAAGTGACTAACTGGCTCTTAAGTTGTCTTTCAAATCTAATGGATCAGATAAACAATTTAAGATAATCAATTTTTCAATATTAATCAAACACAGTACTGTTAAACACACAGTCATACAGTCAAATCAAAACAGCTCGAAATAGAAAATGATGGCACAAAAGAAGGAAACGGCAGGAAAGGCCCGGGAAAGCCGGCGGGGCCCATCGAATCGCGATAAAGCCGGGTCGGAAAAGCCCCCTTTCGACTGATCTTGAATCCGAAAAAGAAAGCACCTCAGGGCATAACCAGAAACAGCCGAGACAGCGACCCGCCCCCACAATCGCCGAGGCCAAGGCACAAACGGAGGGAGAACGTCAGGCCAGGGTGATCCATGAAAAAACAGGCTTTGATTGGAATGCACATGTCCAAAAAACAATGACAAACCTGACATTGACGGCGACGATCCTTGGCCTTGTACTTTACAGGAAGTTTTTGTTATTGTAAGGTTGGAAATGGCATAGAAATGGCAGAAAATGTGAGAAATTTATTATGTAATAAGGTGTTAACTTTTACTGGTCAGACATTTGTGTAAGCAAGCTTTTCAACTGAAAAAAGCATACAAAAAATTATCAAAGTTAGTACCATACTATATGTTACAAAATGCTCCTTTTTTTGCTACTAATCGCATATAATGAGTATTGTGAAAGCTTTACTCTAAAAAACGTGCTAGGCTGACATAACTAATGCTAAAACAACAAAAACTTAAAGCAAAAAAGTTGAATTATAATGAAAAGCCTAATTGTACCAAAAAGACTGTGTAAAGTACAATCAATTGGAGTAAGACAAAAAAATTAATTTTTAAAAATGAAATTTAAATTTGATAACAAATGTTAACACAATTTTTTATTATATTATCACAAAATGTTGCAAACAGTTAGTTAATCAAATAAAAAGTTGGTAAACCGCGTTGAGATTTAGAAGCCTTTGATATGAAATAAAATCAGAACATATGTGCCAAACCCTGAGGGTCTGTGCAGTCCTCCGCCTCCACTTTGCCGAACAAAAGTTCGTTCAGAATCAGAGAGTAAAAAGAAAGGGGTGACAGCCAGGTCAATCTCCAGCCCTTGCTAATTACCATTCGTTATATAATATGGGTCTATGTTGTTTATGATAAAAGGCTTACAATTTAAAGATTTCGTTTAAAATAATGACTTTATTGATGTAAATAAGGTTGGTTTTGCAAATAATTTGCATTTTAAAACTTTCTTTCCCAATTTTAAAGCTTTAAAGATTTTAAACTCTTAAAAACAAAACTTCAAAATAAAAAAGTTAAAAATTCCCACTAAAATCAATACGCCAGAAGTTGTCTTAACAACATTAACAATTTTATTTTAACAATTAACAATAACAAGATAATTACCTTTAAATCAAACGTTATAGACCGTCAAAGAAGTCAGGATCGACCTTGTTATCTGGCTGATTCTTCTTGTCATCAATAGCTTGAACAAAGTCAGATGAAGAAATCATAGACAAATCAACGTGAATACCGTTCTCTAACGCATAGAATAGGTTTCCACCTGGTCGAGTGATAGAAACATCGTGTATGTCACGACGGTCGCTGACCAAATTCTTTACTCGTCGGGATTCTCGGTCAATAACTCTAAAATGAAAATAATAACTATAAAATCATACATAAGACCAATAGGACCTTTCAAAATGTCATTTTAAAACTGTAGAACACGAAATTCAATTTTTTTAAATTACATAACATGACACCAAATTTCAAAATTAACCAATAAAAACTTACACTAGATCCTGCCCAATGAAAGGTTTAGCCAAGAGTAATTCATCATTTAAAATCTGAAGTTTCTCCACCAAAAACTGAGTTCGTTTCATGTTGTACTTGACATAGCCTTCTTTCATATCTACCCATTGAAAGTCGTTCTTATCCGTCGTCACCAATACCAAACTAAACAATGATCATAATTATGTTATCTCCTGTATAAACCAATTATTAAAATTATGCTAATTTAAGCTAAAAACTTAGATTGACCCATTAAAAGAACATAAATATAACATAGACTTACTCCTCATCCATGATAATAGAAGTAAAGAACTTGTCATCAAACTCCAACTTTCGACTGAAAGCTCGTTTCTTTAAATCGTAAGCTCCTATAACACCATTTTCAGTTATCGTATACAACGTATGGTCTTTAATCGTCATTCCTTTAATCTCATTCTTCTCTGATTGTGTTTCCAAAGTGTGAACATTCTCAGCTGGGCTTTGTCGAGTATCCAGTAAATGAACCTACAACCATAAACATATTAAAGAGGTTTTTTTGCATCCTTTTTATATAAAAAAGCAACTAGATCCTCTTATAACAACGCATTCCAAAGTCATAAACATACTTCCCCATCTTCATCAGCTACAATTAACGAAAACGGTGACTCTCCAGTACCAAAAGGCAGTACTTCAGTTGGCGGAACATCAAAGATTTGGGCTGAAACCCCTTGTAACCTTTCAGTATCCAGAGAGTATAAACAAGACGATGATAAGCAATATAATCCATTTCCACCCGGACCAAACGTAAATGCTCCAATTTGGTCAAACAAGTCGTTTCTTATCGTTGTTCCAACTGAAAATATGTTTTCTATTATATAAGCTATCAATGTATTTCATATATTCCACCATTATTTTTAGACATTATAACTTAATTTTATTTAAGGTATAATGTTACCTTTTCAGTCTAAAAAATCTTTTTATTTCACAAACTAAAAACGAAGGGAATAGAGACGAAACGAAGAGGGGAAAGCCCAGTGATCTCGTGGTGTAGTGGTTATCACATCTGTCTAACACACAGAAGGCCGGCGGTTCGAGCCCGCCCGAGATCAAACGTCTTTTTGGCGTTTTAAAAAATGTATTTTGTACTAACATACTCTGATAACTAGTAAAAAATTAACAAATAGTACAGATAGTCCTTAGTTTCACTGTTAAACAATTTTTAAACGACTTTAATATATTTAAATAACTAAAAAACGTAAAATATTACCTGAATTATGCCCATTTTCAGCTCCATCAAACCTAGATACCACAATTTGACTTTCCCCACTGGTAGCAACTACTGTGTCTTCAGTAGGGTGTCCCTGCACTTGACATGATAACACACCAGTAAATACCTGGCTCTGAACGTACTTTTGAGGCATTTAAGGCCTAAAATAAGACTTTAAAAACCTGCTTTGCAACTCTATATAACAATTAAACTCTAAAATACTTCAGAACGTGTATTTTATAAATATAAACCTTCCTAAAAAATAGTATTAATAAACTACAAATTTTACAGTAACTTAAACAAAAAACAAAATTTTGCAAATTAATTTTCTCTTGCAACAGAATGCCAACCCGTATAGCATACTTTGTTTTCCGCGCGAGAGATTTTATTTCCTGGAAAATCTAAACTTCAAAACTGATAACACTGTTTACAGCAACGATTTATTTTAAAATAATATAAATTAAAATTAGCGACAAAAATAATACTATACATACCGTATAACAATATGACATACCCGTATCATAAGACCCTACAATATGCTACAGAAATTTCAAAGATAAAAATGAGGAAAATAAAAATATAAGTGACGTATATGAAAAACTAATTATTTTACCATACCAACAAACGTCCTATGATCTGGACATAGTATTAAATTTGAATTGCTCTCTCACTTTTTACAACTGAACTTTTCTTCGACCCGCGACATTCATCTCCGTTTCGACTTTTCAGTAGAGGTAGAAAACTTTCGGTGGTGAAATATACAGCCGTATTGAGACAATGATCATCAAAGATTGGTTTTACCGTTGATTTCTAGAACAGAAATAAGTATAAACTCACTATATATAGCAGTAGTAAAAGTCTTTATAGAACAAGAAATTACAGTAACCGTCAATATAAAAAAACCTTTAAAACCAATCTTACCGCATCTATATTCAGTTCGTGAGCTTTTGGATCAACGATGATGATAAACCTTTTATGAACTTGTCTAGAAGAAGGCATCAAAAGAGCCATTCTTAACGCAAACAGAAAGTCAACTGTGATTCCAGATTGTACATCTCGAATTAACTGGTCAACTTTGTTGTCCCTTATAGCTGCCGGTTCCACAAAGTGAGTCAATGTCCACACCAATGTCAAGTTCTTCAAATTAGGATACACTTGATCGACCTTCTTCATGAACATCAGAATGTACCTGAGATTCGGTGTGCAAAAGTTGAGCTCCAAAGTTTCTTGATAGAACTTTATGTAATCGAAAGTTTCAGTATATGGAGGTATTCGTCTGATCAATGTTACACTGGTCGATACGGCATCAATACGCAAAATATCGTTAATACATACTTAAAATAGACAATTATGATATTATACGTAGCAACATAAGTACGTTCCAATATATGATCAATAAATATTCCTTACATTTCCGATTGTCAAAAAGAACAGTGAACAAAACTGGCAATGTTCCCTTTTCACAGCACAACTTAAAGACATCAGGCGACAATGTTGTTTGACATCCGAAGAAGTTTTGAACGGTTAAGGAGTTAATCATCGATGCTTTAAAAAGTCTTTTTGCTGTCCACGTGGCTGAAAAATAACACAATCAACACTATAATCACATTCCAGCTAAATACCTTAATTTTTCATACATAAAAACATAAGGTAAACTTACATCCTCTAACCATTAGTCTAGCAAACTGTCCAATGATAGAATGATCTACATCAGACATCAGAAATGGTCGTGAAAGGTTCTTGAAAGTTCGCCTTGATCTCGGTCCAATAAACTAAAAAAACCTTATAAAAACCTATAATCTTTTGATACTTTCTTGCCAGCCAAAAGATATTATTTTTTCTTTAACAACAGTAAAAACGGGTATAAACGTTAATCTTTAAAATAAACCAATGATTTCATAAACTTAACCTGACGTATTCCTTTAGTCCAGAAATTTTAACGTATCTACAAACTTCGCGGATCTTAAATACCTAAACATATAACCATAACCCAAAAAACCTACCATTATCCTCCAAACAGCGGTGTTACACATCCTTCTCCTCATTCGTGTCCTCATTGCAATCTGCTTGGTGATGAAGTCTATATACGCTCCCATGTAGTAAAACATGAACATTTCATACCCTTGTGGAGTTAAAAAGTTTTGCTTCAACACCGAAATTGCCATTCGAATTGAGTTTCCGTTAAAAGAACGAAGAAATTAGTGATTTATATCCTTTATAAACACTTAAATCATTGCTTAAAAGTTGCGAATATCCATAAATTCGTCAGCGATAGACACTATCGCTTTGACATTAGCCGAACATTGCATATATACCCATAATGTGCTTATATACAGCTGCTGCGCAGTTGTTTTAATAAATATTAGCAAAAATGCGGAAAGCCAATAAGTTTTGGCTCTTGTTTGTTTCCGTGGTGGGACTGTACGTTGATAAGTCTTGGCCCTTGTAAGAGTTTGGTGTTCGTAAATTTTTAAAAAGCAGACATAAGGAATGGCCCGGGCCTGAAATCAAGTCCCGGGCCCGTTTCCACGTAAAAAAAATCGGGCCAGGCCGAGCCTGAGCAAAATTTTGATCGGGCCGGGCCTAACATTTAGGTCCGCCTGGCTCGTTCCTCATGTTTACTAAAAAGTAAAAATAGTGACTTAAGTTAATTTCGAACATAAGACAAACAAGATCGTGATAGATAGTTGTTTATTGTTTCACAAATCTTTTATGAAATGTCGTTTCAAATCATTGAACGCTGATTTGAATACCAGATTATGAGAAAATTGTACTTCATCATCGTCTCCAATGTGGCCACGTTCCATTTTCATAAGCTCGTTCATCTCTTCTCGAATACATTTATCGTAATATTGATCATCGGACATCTGAAACAATTCCAACTTCAGTATAATACACAAAATCTCTTAAAATTTTAAAAATATTTTTAAAAAATTGTAAACATAAAATAATGTTTATATCGTATATATTATATAGAATTGTACCTACAGAATAAATTTCATCGATCAACCAGATACTCAACTTTACCATAACCAACAACATAAAGGCAAACAATGCAATAGCCATCATGACGATATATTGACATAGGGTAACTTCTTCACATGTGTCATCCTTTATCGTGCAGAAGGCTCTCGGAAGTTCACAAACTAGAAGCTGAAAGCTAACTGTATTAGTATATCATAATACTAAAAATAGTAAACACAATAGTACATCTCAATATATATATTTATATAACTATATCTCAACTTACCGACCACAAGGTTGAAGGAACAAGAAACGACCATAAACTCATTATTATCAAGTACAACAAAAGCGACTGTAAGTTAAGTTTAGAAAATGTAAAATAAACGTTATTTACTTTGCAAATCTTCCTAAAAATTTGTAAAAAATAAAGTTTATGTCTAATATAATAAAATTCTACAGCTGTATTTGAATTTAACAGTAACTTGAGCTGACTTCGTGTTTTACCTATATATATATTGATAATTCAATCATATATTTGCACCATCTACATCATTAAAAGTTTTTAAATATTATCATCCACAGATTTCAATGATGACCAACTTTATACTTTAATCACGTTCCGTAGTCTCAATACAAACCACAATTGGTTAATTTTTGTTGACGACATTAGCAACTTAACTTTGGTAACATTTAAGTCGCGCAAAGTAGATTACCGCTTACGTTGTAGCCTATTACAACAAAAGTTGGCTGTTTTGTAGTAGTGAACATTAAAGAGCACTGTTGATCTTACCATGGTAGAAAATACAATAGCACGTAGCTTTTACCACTGCAAGGAGCGATATGTTGCTGTATATAGTAATAAATAGTAGGTAACATTATATTGTTATTGCTTTAGTAAACAAACCCTATGCTGATAATGCTATCAGTAGAAGAACCATGAAGCTATTACAACACTTTACCCTACTGCTTCTTGCCATTCTGCATTTACCACGAACTCGAGTAATCACTGAGTAACATGAAATGGGCTTTCCTCTTGCTTATCCCATTACCTGATTACTCGACCTTGACTCGGCGGTAGTTTGTGTTGCCTTAACACGGTATATAAGAAATGTTGCCATTTGGCAGTCGATTTTTGTTTTTTGTAATGTACTTTTAACTTGAGGGCTGACATTTCGTTTGAGGTTAATGAAAAGGTAGTCGGAGGTAAAACAACTTTCAAAGATTACTTTGGAACTGCGAGAGGAAGGGTTTAGTATTGACAAAGTTACTTTTTTGGGGTTACAAATTACTGCTACAATGTGTTGATCACGTTTTTTAAAGGTACTTCTAGTTAGTATATTGTAGAAATACTTTGTTTACGGTAGATTATGTTATAATAACGGTTTGTAAACTAGTTTTAACTTTGTTTTGAGTGCATTAAATTTAAATACGACGATCTTTTTGGTGTTTGATACCTAAGAAAGCAGTAAATAAGTACAAATCTATATTTACTATCTAAGTCTATAAATAGATTATTATCTAAACATAAATAGTATTACTTCCTGGTCAGTTGCAACTTGTATGTCTCGTTAAATTCGGTAATTTAATGACTTTGTTTGAAGTTTAAAGGGTACTAAAGTCAGTTTGATACCTAAAAACAAGTGATAAAAGTAATGAAAACTGTTTTAAATCAATGATCAGGTTGTCTGGCGGATAGATTTTTTTAAATTAGAAGTATAAGTGTTAATAGTAATTCGTATTGCTAGGCAGTATGTTTATATGTAAGAGAAGCAAAAATTTTTTGCACAAATATTTATAAATTATAACGTTATTTCGAAAATCATTAAGGTGTAAATCTTATTTCAATTTTTCAAAAATTTTTTTATTGAAGTAGGGCATTGTAGTGTTTCCTTTAAAACTTGAGCTGTTACTTTCATCTTTTAACCACAAAACAACTTCCTTCTTGATGTCAAAACAATACCGAGTAAGTCAGTGTAATAAAATAAACAGCCCAAATTTATTAATATGTTCCAGATGAGTTTCTTGTAATAACTGTAATAAGAACTGTAATTTGGGTTTTCCTTTTTTGACAAGTTTGTTAGTTTCAGTTATGTATTGTCTGAAGTTTTGATTTGGCTTGCGTTGTTTTTTCGTATATTAAAAAAGTTGTATTGGTTTTTTTCAATACAATATATATATAATTTAATACGTGGGGGGAAGTGGTGAGGGTTTTGTGAAGACCGTCAGAGCAATTCATTGTAGCTGTTCCCAATTTAGCTCTATTCAAACGATCCTGTTTCTCGGGTTTCATATATGGTCTAAGTATTGTACAGTAGCAACGCAATAAATTTAATGTTTTACTAAAGAAGGACGAGGAAGAATAAAAGTAGATTTTTTTCAAAAAAGTGAAGTTTGTATTAAAAAGTATTGCGATTTTATGTCATCAAAACATAGCGTTAAGTGGTTCAAGAAGTAATGAGCTATCAAATTGTGTAACCAAAAAAATTTTTTGCGCAACAACAACAACTATTTATGGACAACCGTTTCCAAAACAGCATTTCCTTAAGCAATTTTTTGTTAGTCACAAACCAAACCAACACCACATTACTTATTGGTGTTTGAGCCTCTTTTTTAATATTAACAAGGGAAGGTACTTTAATCACAGATGGACTTTGAGATGAGATCTATATATTCTGAAAGCTGAATTCACAGGGAGTACCGATCTGAAAACCGTTTTTCTGTGCGGCTCTTAGTTTTTGAGAAAATCACCGTTAAAATATGGCAAAAGGCGAAAACAAGCGCGCAATTAATTCGAAGAAAACAAGTGGCGGCGTGGCCAAGTGGTGAGTCAGTTTTCTTCCGGACGTCGGTGGGGGAGTTCGATCTCGGCCTTGTGCAACAGTTTTGCAGCGACTTAAAATTACTTTTAACTTAAAATTTTTACAGTATTTTATAACTAAAAATTATAAAATAACAAAAATTTCAATTTTCATTAAAACTCGATTTATTAACAAGAAATATGCTTAATTTCAACAAACTGAATAAAACAAAAGTGAAAATATCCTCAATGTCTAAAATCTTGTCTATCACCAATTCAAGAACCCTATTTTTCGCCATATTTTAAAGGCGATTTTCTCAAAAACTAAGAGCCGCACAGAAAAACGGTTTTCAGATCCGTACTCCCTGTGAATTCAGCTTTCAGAATATGTTAGTCTCATCTCAAAGTCCATCTGCGATTAAAGTACTTTCCCTTGTAAGTTATCAGTTACTTCTTTAAACTTCAAATTTGAAAAAAACGTTCAGAATACACTTTTGATTAAAATTTCGTTGAATTCGACCACTTGCCGAGATTCTCTAATACTTTTTAGACATAGTATTCAACGTTATGAAAGATAAGAACAATATCCAGTTCACATTACTTCCGTGTTCTTCGCCCAAGAAATCAAGAATTCTTATCACTACTTTTTATGGTAGCTATTATGCTGAAGTGTGATAATTTAGGTATAGTTTGAATTGTACTAGAATATATAGTAAAGCACTGTAAATAAAAAAGTTTACAGAATAGTAACTTTTATCTGGAGGGGGAACAAAGAAAAGGGTAGTGAGAACTGTGAGCACATATACGTATATCATCCAGTAAAAACGTATGACGAATGTAAAGGACAGTAACCGAACTTGTTCTTGTGCTCTCTTAAAGTTTTACCAGGAAACGTCGCTTATATTACTACAAACCAAAGATATAATTCAAATGCAGAGCCGTGTCACTATGTCCAGAAAAAGTGAAGATCGGTAAAGGGCAAGTGAGAGGGTCATGCAAATTTGTGGGAAAATCGGTAAAGAATAAAAAAATTTGTAAAAATTTTGAAAAAAGAAATCGGTCAGTTTTATGAATTTTTTGGCACAGAGCGGCCGTGTTTTAAATTGTTTTTGGTAAGGAGATGTAAGTACGTTTTTTGATACTATTTTGAGTACAGTACTATTTATTGTGATTGGGTAGGCATGGGTATGGGTACGGGGGTGGATATTATTGTTTTGGGTATGGCATGGGTATGGGTACGGGGGTGGATATGGATATTGGCATGGGTATGGGTTAGATGCGGGTTAAGTGCGGGTATGGGAATGGCATGGTTATGGAATGGGTACGGGTATGGCTATTGATATGGCATGGGTAGGGTTGTGGGTGTTGAATGGGTACGGGTATGGGAACGGGGGTGGATATGAATATATTGGCATGGGTATGGGTTGGGTGCGGGTGGGTACGGGTATGGTATGGATGTGGCATGGGTACGGGTATGGGTTTGGCACGACTACAGGTATGGGTATGGCATGGGTACGGGTGTGGGTATGCCATGGATTTGGGTATGAAATGGGTACGGGTATGGGTATGCCATGGATTTGGGTATGAAATGGGTACGGGTATGGGTTTGGCACGGCTACAGGTATGGGTATGGCATGGGTATGGGTGTGGGTACGGGTATGGCTATTGGTATGGCATGGGTAGGGTTGTGGGTGTGGGATGGGTACGGGTATGGGAACGGGGGTGGATATGAATATATTGGCATGGGTATGGGTTGGGTGCGGGTGGGTACGGGTATGGTATGGAATGGTTACGGGTATGGGTATGCCATGGATTTGGGTATGAAATGGGTACGGGTATGGGTTTGGCACGGCTACAGGTATGGGTATGGTTGTGGGTGTGGGTACGGGTATGGCATGGGTTTGGATGCGGGTGGGCACGGGTATGGGTTTGGGTGTGGAATGGGTACGGGTATGGGTACGGGGGTGGATATGGATATTGGCATGGGTACGGATATGGGGTTTTAGTACGGGTACGTGTGTGGATATGGATATTGGCATGGGTACGGATATGGGTGGGTATCGGTTTTGGTATGGGTTTGGGTCATTTACAATATTTAAGTGAAAATGTGGTGCGAGGGCCGCAGGCCCAAGCGATTAGTTTGAATATTATAAACTGTATTAAAATTGGCACATTTGAAATACAATAATCTATAATAAAGTAAAGCATAAGTAAAAGTAAAAGTGGAGGGCCCGAAGGGCCCTCTCCAGACCATAGGAGGCCCGAAGGGCCTCTGTTGGTCTGGTACTCAATGAACCCAGAAGAACATCGTTTTTACAATAAGATTGTTTTTAGCTATCAAACATTACAATACGACGCTTTTTAATGTTAAATGTTTAGTAAAACTGTCTATATAAAGTGGCTAAAATGCACTTTTAGCAGTTCTATGATAACCTCCAGCTTCTGAATGATAAAACGTGTTTTTAAGCATTCAAAACTTACAACTTGTACTTTTGTGTAACCAATCAATTAAAATTACCAAAATTACGTTAAGATACATTTGGTTTGAAAAAAAAATTTTATTACAAAAAGCTAGACCTCCCAAGATGTTGCTGATAAGTAACTGATCGGCTATGACAACAAGAAGTGTATTCAAATAGGGAATGAAGGTTTACTGTGTAATTAATTAGGTTTTTGCTAGGTTTATTGATGTAAAGTCAAGAGTAGAGTAAGGTTCAAATATATTAATATTAGTTTTTCATAAAAGCAGCATAAAATCGAAAAAAAAATAAAAACTTAGTCTCCAGTAGATACAGTAATTCTTTGTTCTTACAGTGTTTACAAAGTCTTTTCAAGCCGTTTATATACGTATCGAAAACAAATAATAGGTTTGCCTGTTATTGAAAAGTGGTTATACGAAGCATGGTATACTTGATAAATGACAAAAAACAGCTATTAATTCGACAAATATCAGCTGTCGAAGGTCGTAGTAATAAAAATCGCAGTAAAATTTTGTTTTATCATTTTTATGGCATTGGTTATGAGATGTGTTAACACTGTTGTGACCTTTTGAATTAAAATTGAAAGATGTTTTAAACTTCAATGTTACTTTGTAAGGATATATGTTGAAGATAAATGTAAATCTAATCTTTAGGTAGAAACACAACTATTTTAAAACTTGGCTCTCAATGTTATAACTGTCATAGATGTCCTGATATATTAGGCCTTATATACCAAACCACTTTCTTGCAACTTCTTTGTAAACACTTACAGTATTATGTTGTTTTATTACCCCTAAACCAATTGACTTTGTTACTAAACATATGTTGTAAAATGGGCGGAGTTTTGATAGACCAAACACTGATTTATGATAAAGTAGTAAAAAGCTTGGAAAAATAGGTGTCTATTCACATGTACGTACACATCGTATCACTATTTTATGTGTTTTTAAATTACATCGTTATAAAAGGTTACAATTCTGCAGCTTGTGAACAACGTGACTGTAGCGTGGTGGTTTCTGTAATTGATATACAGTGATTTTTTAATACCGCGTAAGGTTATGGTCGTGTTAATAAAACAGTCAATTAATACCGCGTATTACTATTGAAGGTAGTATTCAATAAACAACAAATTATAGTAAAGTACTGTTTCAGAAAATGCTGCCTAGGTTAATATGTATCTCATTACTATGTTTATATACGACTGCCAGTCCCGTAGTAGAAACTAAGGTTGGTACGATAGAAGGATTTGAACATAAAGTAATAAATGGCCAATCTGTTGACATATTCTTGGGTATTCCTTATGCAAAACCACCCGTTGGAGAGCTGAGGTTTGAGGTATGTTATAGTATCATAGTTATAAAGTACTGATAAAATTAAAAATTTTTTAAATTTTGAAGTTTTATTGAAAATTTTGATAATAATGACAAGTTTTCAATCCTAAATATATATATCAACATACTTTATGACATAAATAACAGTCGTACAACTTTTCAGCGTCCTCAACCCCACGAACCCTTTACCCATACCCTCAGGGCCAAAAAGTACTCAGCAGGCTGCCCATCCCACGCTGATGTTGATGCCCTATCTCCAGAGAATGAAGACTGTCTTACCCTTAATATTATGGCGCCAAAGCCAAAAGAAATACCAGTACCAGACAAAGGGTACCCAGTTTTGTTTTGGATTCATCCTGGGGGATACTGTATTGGGTCTGCCAGCTGGTTTTCGTACGAATCGATTGCCGAAAACTTTGTTTCCAGAGGCATCATTGTGGTCACGGTCAACTACAGATTAGGGTTCTTGGGTAGGTAAAATACGGCTTTTTTTTGTTCTTTTTATAATTGATAATCAATTTTATTGATTTCCTTTTAAAACGAAGCCAGCTTATTTTAAAAATATAAATTGCAAATTTTTTGAAACTTAATATTTCAGGATTCGCGGCAACCGGAGACTCCACCTTCTCCGGAAACAATGGTCTTTTTGACCAAACCTTGGCCTTAGAATGGGTCTACAACAACATAAAATCCTTCAACGGTGACTCACGAGCCATTACAGTATGGGGTCTAAGTGCTGGCAGTGCCAGTGCAGCTCAATTAAGTGTCTCACCGTACTCTCGACAATTCGTTTCCAAGTCGATTCAGATGTCAGGCAGTTTCTTTGCATCGTGGACGACTTCTGATCAAGTCATCAATGAAACCTGGAAGTTAGTGACAGCCGTTGGATGTGACAGAGATTCGACTACAGAAGTGAAGCAATGTTTGAAGAATAAGAGCTACAGACACCTTCTGGATGCTTCTCATCATATTGGCATTAACAGACAGTCACTGAACTTGGCATTATATCAGCCTCGACTCGATGGCGACTTCTTTCCTCGAGATTATGTTGAGTTACTGGCTGAGAGCAGAATAACAACTTTTGTTGGCTCGGCCAACGATGAAAGTATCCTTTTTGGTAAGTTTTTATCAAAATATTTTTTAAAGTTGCCTTTTCATTTGAAATCGTTTTTAAAATTTCTGTTTTTAACATTCAGGCCTTATAAAGCAAATTTTTAGCTGTTTTCAATGCGATGAGCTCGATAAACGGTCTCGGCCTGAAACCGGAAGAAATTCCAACATTAACAGTGAGTGATCTCAAGCGAAGAATCCGCGACAACCTATTTCCTGCTCATGAATATGGCAAAAGAGCAAAGCAAATCCAAAACCGAGTAATCAACTATTACCTGGAAAACCTCAAAAACCAAGAAGACCCTTTGGAATTGACTGAAATCTACGCCAAAATCCAAACTCACATGCAATTCTTTGTCCCAATGCTCTACGAACTAATGGAACGGTCAAAGTATGATGTGCCGGTATATGTCTATCACAACAATTACTATGCTGATCACCACTTTCCAGCCGAAGCACCGTTTAGAGCTGCCATTCATGCGGCCGAAATGAAGGCAATGTTCGACTTTCCTATTCCTGACAATTATGAACATACTCTGGAAGATCTGGAACATAAAGAACGACTGATCACGGCAATTGAAAAGTTTGTAAAGACTGGGTAAGTAGTATATTTATGGAACTACCAGGCCAGCGGGGGCCCAATTTATGGAACATTAACGAACTGTTACCTAAAACATAGCGTTTTGATGCTTTTAAGGTTCTATTATATTTTTTTAGATTGAAAAAGTAGAACTTTTAAGCCAAAACCGTGATGTTACATTACGATACACCTACGATAATTTTTTGAAAACTTTTTCCATGACAATACTATCTTATCTTTAACCATATTACCTTCAGAAACCCTTCAACCGACCAAATTTCCTGGCCAAGCATCTCGAAGCAGAATCCTTTCAAACATGTTCATCTTGAAGCCAAAGCTGAAGTCAAAGACACATTCGACCAGAAACTGGTTGACTTCTGGCTCAAGATGAGGGAAGACTTTGGCGACATTGTCGTTCGAAACATCCACTTCGGTTACTATGTTGATGAACACGAGAAAACCGAGTTTTAGGTGTCTACTGCAATATCATGTACATTTTGTAAATAGCTTTTTAAATTTTAATGAACCATAATAAAAAGATAATTTAAAATACTAATCAGAATTAAAAAAAATATTTCTTCAAATCAAAATTTTTCAAAAAATCAAAAAATCCTTTCTTGAAATTTCAAAAACAAAATTTTCAAATTTAAAAAAATTTGCATACCCAAATGTGTCCTTTGGAAAAGCCACATCCAACAAAGGTGCCATTTCGTGGTTCATTGTGATGACAAACGAGTTCGTGATGACGGTCGGACCCAACCCCAGCAGCGGAGCCCAGCGGTCGGGAGCGGCCATCGGCGTGTCCTCTGCGCACGGCCATTGCATGTTCTCCAGCTGTACCCACTTCTTCTCCCACCACTTTGTGCCAATCTTGATCCTGGTCGGCGTCGCTGGAGCTACCATTCGTTGTGTCCGTTTGTCGCTAAAGTAAGGTTTTAGTATATTTTCTTTATTAAGTTACGGTATTTATAGAGTTTGTAAAATACGACGTAACATCTTGTAACTCCAGAAAAACTTTTTTTTTGAAATTCCATAAAGCTATGCCAAGAATTAGTCAAACTAAGCTTAACAAATAGTATGTATAAAATGTTAGTCTACACTAATCCTTATACTAATATCGTCATTTCAGTGCCTCAGGCAGTCCGGCAGCTCCCAGCAATTCCAGTACTAGTACCGCAGCTCCCAACTCATCTTGAACGTCATACAATCATGAACATTCGTTTAACTGGTTAAATAAAGCACTAATTTGAGTCTCGACTTTATTATTATTGTAATATTGTTTTAATCTGAAGAAATAAATGTTAATATTGTTTGTATTTAAATGTCGTTTGTTTTAAAATGTACTTCTTTTGAGCTATAACCATATTATCCTTTAAACTGTGGCCAACATACAACCTTACAGTCATCAGCTGATGTGACAAACTTTCCCTTATGAGTAGAGCCATCACATTCCGTTATGATGCCGTTCTAAAGTAGAAAAAGTATAATATTTGTATATACGTTCGATTGACAACACTTATTATGTCAAGACCATTTTACTATAATATTCGCAACAATATCCCTACTAAAAACCCAACCTTCAACTTACATTATAAGTACATTCTCTGTAATTCAAAACTCGACCAGAAGCCCTCATTTCTCTGCTCACCGTTCCAACACGGCACGGTGGAGATGCCAGCGTTGATGCCAATAGTATAAACAATAACATCGCACAATATAACTGTTTTACCATGGTAAAAGCGTGTTGGTAATGATAAAATCAAGATAACTTCAAATTACCTATGTTGAAATAACTTTTGATCTTATAAAGTCTGACAAAACTAATCAATTAAACTTTGTTTATTCAGATACGACGATCGCAAGAGATTTCCCAAAAGCGACACAACAAGATTAATGAATCGTATCTAAAGATATGAGGTTGTGAATTTTAACATATAAAATTTCTCGTCGATGAAAAATAATTGTGAAACGGAATGTCAAAAACGAAATGTCAAACCTTGAAAAACGAATTTTCGGTTGATTTTTTGACATCTTTGTCCATATTCTGATAGTTTGGACTCAATTTCTTCTCAACTTGATAAATCTTGGATTCTGAATCTTATTGTTATCTGTATTTTTATTGCGTAATTTTTAACTTTCAGAAAGGTTTAGCAACGGAATTTTTAAATTTCTCATGAACAATATTCTTACGACGTTATGGATAATATACCTGGCTATTATATTTGTTGGCGAATATGGTTAATAAAGGCACTAAATGATTGAAGTTAAGGAAAAAGGACTAGAATTTGTAAGTTTTTTTTGTATTTTTGAGTTATAAAAGTATGAGTTGGTTTATTAAGGGTGTTGTTTATGGTTAGAAATTCGTATTGTTGCTTAAAATATGCTGAAAAGATTTCCGATAGTATTTTTTGTTAAATATATTAACTTTTTTACTTGTACATCATTAAAAAACAGAATTTTTGACGTAAAGGAGACCTGCAACATAATTTTACTAGTTTGTTACCTAAAAATAAAAAGCTCTCAAAAACAATATGTTTGGTACGTTTTTTCTTTGGAAAAATGATAAAATTCACTTAAAATTTGCATTTAATGACGGTTTTCTCTCTCATCAAAGTTTTTTCAGTTTCTGATACTTGTCACCATTGACAGCGGTCGGTCAGCTCGGAACTTGTGGACTTTTCACAAAGAATGTCTCTCTTCCCTCACAGTTGGCCTCGAACTGACGGTGATCCATTTGATAGTCAGTTGATGACTGAAGACTACTATCACGGTAAGTTGTGGTTTTACGAGAGTTTGCTTTCTTATGTAGACATGTTTTCTAAGGTAGATATTATTGTCTTTGGTTGGTTTTCATGCATAGAAAGAGGTGGTTACTGTATAAATTGAATGAAACTTTGTATTTTAGGCCTTCTGCCACGTGAAGATATAGTGGAGATGTTGGAAAAGAATGGCGACTTTTTAGTTCGCATGAGCATTCCAGAGCCAGACCAGCCGAGACAGTTCGTTCTATCTGTCATGCATGATGAATCTGTCAAGCAGGAAGGTGTAAGTTCATGTTTTTACTATATTTTTATACTTTTTAAACTAATATATTTTTTAAAATGTTTAAAGTATTCAAAGTGTCGTTATTGTAGATTAAAACTAAAATTTTGGTTTTAGATACGACACTTTTGCATTCAAGTTTCTGTAGGCGGTTACATGATCGAAGATGGCCCAGCATTCGACAGTGTGGTTCCTATGGTCAACCATTACTTGAGCACCAAAACATCTATTACCAAACGATACTCCTGTCCATTAAGCACTGCTGTCACTCGACGTCTTTGGCAGCTGAAGCACGAGTTAATCCATCCGGAGAAGAAGCTAGGTGAAGGTGCCTTTGGAGAGGTTCAAGCAGGTAAAGCTTTTGTTAGTGGCGAGATCATGAAAGTGGCAATAAAGCTAGCCAAGATGGGATCTATCACAAAGGAACAGATCAGGGAATTCATGATGGAAGCCAGAGTAATGAGAGGTATGAATCATCCTTATGTGGTCAAATTCTATGGAGTCGCTGCCTTCCAGGACCCCTTGCTTCTAGTGATGGAACTTGTCGACGAAGGGTCGCTGGATAAGATCTTGATCAAAAAACATCTTACTATGAAGACGAAAACCGAGTTTTGTGTCCAAGCATCCTGGGGCATTGAGTATCTTCACTCAATCGGATTAATGCATCGAGATATCGCTGCTAGAAACTGTCTGGTCAATGCAGGCAAGTTGAAGATCAGCGACTTTGGTTTAACATCAAAGGGAACAGAAGTTTCAATTGATCCGAAGAAGAAGGTACCAGTAAGATGGTGAGTTTTACTAGTGAATAGTTTTAAAAAGTAATGGTTTATTGCAGGATGGCTCCAGGAGTGATGGCAACTTTTAAGTACACGCCCAAGTGCGATGTCTGGGCTTATGGTATACTCTGCTGGGAGATTTTTAGCGACGGACAAATGCCATATAACACGCTACCACCACAAACAGTCGTCGAGCAGGTATGTTGTTTTGAAAACTTCATTTTCCAAAAACTATATTTTTTTTAAACTTGTTAAAGGTTTTTGATGCCTTGTTATCAATATTTTTGATATATTTCTTCTAATTTAACCTTGTAATTTCAGGTAAGATCCGGTTACAGAATGACATTCCCCGAGAGCACCCCTGCTGCTATTGGACGTATTGTACACGATTATGTATGGCAACATGACGTTCATCGTCGACTCACAATGGCCCAGATCTCTGAATGGCTGGAAAAGGTAACGGGCATGCACCGACCAGGAACAGCAGCAACGCCAGAAGACAGGAGGATCTCATCTCGTAGCCCATACACCAGCCCTTCCACGGTTTCAGTGAATTCAGATCGGCGAAGAGTAATGGATCGTACTCAAGCCGACAAGGAGTCCAAGAAGGACCGACTATCAAGAAGGTCGTGCAAGTCATCGAAGAAAGTACCTCATAAAAAGAATGGCAAGGGAAGGGCACCCAGAATTGTGAAGAAAACCCGCACAAATGATGAATGACAAGGATCCAACTTGATTTTACTGATTTAACATGAGTAAATTGTTATAATGGACGTTGTTTTACTTTTGAATTTACTTTAGTTGTGTTACTATTGTTACCTAAAATGTTTTACAAGGTTTTTAATTTTTGTTAATACAAGATTGTTTTAAATGAATATTAGTTTGACTTTCAGCCAAACATTCCAAAATTAATGTTTTCTAGCCACTTTGGAGAGCCAGAACCACAAGCTAACCTTTTTTGTGGATATTAATCCTATAGCTCTCATAGCACTCTAAAAGGTCTTAAAAACGCTCATTACCTTTCGATTGGGTTAGTTTTACTCCTCTAACCTTACGCGCTCTTTATTCTCACTTTCTCTAGTTATACCATAACCTGCACACATTTAAATTTTTTATAATTTTTTTTTATTGTTTATTGCATCTATTAATACATTTAAACAAAAATAATATAGACGATAATATATATAGTTCAATGTATTAATTATTGCTGACCCCTAGGGGGCTGACTTGCACACATTTAAGTGCTATTAAATGTTTATGGTAAGAGGTATGACAGTTTTTAAAACTTAAATTCACATTATATTATATTTTTTGAATGGGCACGGCGGTGGCACGTTAGTCTTATTACCATGTTACGTAAAATTTAATATAGTTAGAATTTTACTTTTAAGAATACATTTTTTAATAAAACAAGTTTAAAAGCTACATTTGTTTGTCAAACGTTTATATTAGTTCAACTAATCAGTCAAACATTCCAAAATTATTAATTGCTAGCCACTTTTGAGATCCAGAACCACAAGCTAACCTTGTTTGTGGATATTAATCCTATAGATAGGTTCATACTCTCAAAGGTCTTTAAAGCACTCATTACCTTTTGATTGGGATTCCGCGTCTCTGATTGTCTGACAAGCTCTTTCTCTAGCATTATCTTTTGCTTTACGAAAAAGCACACAAATTTTATTGCCTAATCTAAAGCTACATTTAATATTATAGTTATGTCGACGTTTTTTGATCCATTACATATCTAAAGCTTTCTACTCAAATTATTGATAACATAACTTTGCACGTTGATGGATTAGGTTTTTGGCAAAAAACCGTCATTAGAAATTGGCGGTAATTAAAAACATGCTATTATATGTATTATTAGAAGTCATTTCGAGTTCGTCACAACGTATTTAAATATTACTTCCACAGCGATAAATAATAAATAAAAGGGCTTAAAATTGAAAACTTTTATTTACTGCTTAACCCGTCTTCAAAACATGTTATTCATGGGCAACCATGTCCTTAGTTATTTTGCCTTTATTTTTTGAGGTTTTATGGGTATTTTGAGGATTGGTGTACTGTAATATTTAATTTTAAAAGGGTTGTAGGTATGCCATCTCTAAAAATGGGACTTCATTTTTAAGTTTTGGACAGTATAGGTTGTTCAATTAATTCTGTGCTCCCTAGCGTCAAAAATTGGCTTTTAGGGGCGCAGAATTATTTGAACAACCTGATATTTAAAAAAATAAAAGAGGAATTATAAGCCTAAATTTTGAATTTTCTGCTATTCTTTAGCACACATCGTGAGTGTTTTGAAAGTTATTTTTAGTATATGTCCTTACTGTTTTTGACGTGTGAAATTTTTAAATAAATTTATTGTAAATGCGACAGAAATGACTAATCTAATAGTAACGAGGAAGCGGTCGCTGGTAAACAGTAATTATGTATTACAAGTTAATATATCATGTTCAAGCTGTCTTGATGTGAGCAATATGGCTTACGTGACAGCTTTTATTCATTTTTTAGTTATTAGGTTGTTCACGTAATTCTGTGCTCCTTAACTCCAAAGATTTGCGTTGAGGAAAGGCACAGAGTTATTTGAACAGCCTAATAGTAGGAAAGGTACTTTTGATATTGTAGTAGGTCAACAATTGTAAAGGTTATGGCGGGTGATTAAGTATAGGGGCACAGAATTAGTTTAACAACTTGATAAAACGAAGATTTTTTTCAGTTTTAGGTAAAGAATTGTGCTTTTTGAATTCTGAAAAACTAGAAATGCCACAACTTTGTGAACCGGTTTTTAATTTGTGTCTTTTTTACTAAGAACTACCGATACTGTGTATTTGTTTGTTGATGTAGTTGTCTTGGTAATAATAGAGTTGTGCATGAAAGTGATTCCCATGCAATTTCAAAAAACAAAAACATTCGAAAAATAAAAGATTATCATGACAAATTCAGATTGTTCCTTTTGATTCTGAAGGCTTAGTCAAGTTTGAAAGTTTAAAATATGGCTAGCTTAATAACTATGCTCATGTATAGATAGCTATGGTCAGGGCCGGGCGGGGACTTTCGGTCTGGGGGCGGGGGTCAAAAAAATTTACATGGGAGACCACGTTCAACTCGAAATTTTTTTCTGGGGGGGGTTATTCTAACTCCTGTATACCGAAGAGAGTTTATGTAAGAACACATGTATAAGGAACGAAATTTTAACTTTGTTTGTTATAAAGGAGTTTTCTTTGTATTTTAGTATACTGTATTACAGATTCTTCTAATTCATGAAAGCTCAATAACTCATAAACAACAATATTTGTTGAGTTTAAACACTTGACATACGATTAAATTACTGTGTTGGTAAACAAAGGACGTGGTCTTTATCTAATAGTTGGGTTGAGAGCGTAATATGGACTGATAGCCTAATGGCTTCAGCTAAAATGGGATTCGAAAGATGGTCGAGAGGATGTAGTTGTCCATATGTTTTTAATGGCTTCGGCTGGGGATTTTTTAAATTAATTTTTTAAAATTTAAGTGTGAATTAAAGGTTTAATTGTAAAATACGACTGGAAATGGGTATGTCGCTTATTTTTATGGTTTTTTAATATGCAAATGGCTAAAATTACTTTATATTTACCTTACTTTATTACTTTATATATTTATTGTTAAATAGGTTGTTCAAATAATTCTGTGCCCATTTGGTTAGCTATCATCTTATCGTAGGCTAAAAATTACGGTGTCTTTTCTTGCGTTATCTTAAGCTACAGGCTCTAAAATGACTTTAGTTATATTAGGCTGTTCAAATAATTGTGCACCCTCTAACCTTGAAAATTTGCTTTGAGGAGGGGCACAGAATTAATTGAACAACTTAATAATAAATGTATTGCTGTTAGCACAAACTTTCGGACTGAGTTGGTAATAAATTTAGTATTAATGTGTGGTCAAAAAGTCTATAGAAAAGCCCAAAAGTACAACTTTTTATATAAAACATACTTCTAAAAACTTTTATACTATCTTATTGCTATAACACTTTCATAAAGGAACAGTGAAGGTATATTCTACTTCCATTTACTTCCTTCAGTGGTCTTTCACAGTAAACGTGCTATGTTCAGACTATTATGGCGATTAATTACATTGTCATTGTTCGAGATGGGACATAGATACGGCGGTGTCATTGAACCCCCGGTTACTAAGCGGTTATGGGCCTTATGTAAGATGTACAATATAGTTACGTGCAAATTTTTCCTTCGAACGTCTTAATTAGTCTTTACATTGGATATAAATATATTTTGTGTGACGTATTTAACTATTTTTAAATTTCGAATTGTATTTTGTGGAAGTGATGTTATTTATAGCTAAAGAAAAGTAAATTTGTCCACCTTTATGTATCTTATTTTAGGTATTTGAGCATACAAAACTATAAAAAAATATATATTTGTAGGCTCAGTAAAGTATGGTAGTGACTTTTATACGTAGACAGACGTCTGATTAACGTACACGTGCATGTGTACAGTTTTGTACGTTTTTGTAGTAGTAAGTTGTTCAAATAGTTCTGTGCCTCTTCTCAAAGAAAATTTTTAAGGTTAAAAGGCGCAGAATTATTTGAACAATCTAATATAACTTTTAAACTCTTTTTTAGAGCCTTAGATTAAGATATCACAAGATACGACGTTTTTATACTATAAGATACGAAGTGTAGAGTAGATTTATTCGAACAACCTAATATATTATCCATCTTTTTACATGTTGCTTTACAATTTTTCTGGCAAAATTAAGGATAATTTTAAAGTATTTTTGAAAACATTTTTTACAATACCGTAAATCAAGCAAGGTGACATTTTTGAGCAGATGTTGTACTCTTAAAATGTCAAAAGTAGCTTTACTATAAATTATTTTACATTAGTTGGTGTAGTAGCGTACTAAGGGGCTTATTGCTTATCTAATATCATAATATTACATCTACCACGTTTTTAATAGTATATCTTGTTTTCAATATTTATTATTAGGTTGTTCGAATAATTCTGTGCCTTCTAATACAAAAAATTGATTGGAGAGGGAGTACAGAATTATTTGAACAACCTAATAATAACTTTTTAAATATTTATTAACCGAGATATTTTTGTAAATACAATGTTACACAAGCTTGTTTTTGGCAGTAAATTACACATTCTAGAGGTAATTACTGTTTCTTGTTACTTTCTTGTTATTGTAGATGTAATAACTGCTTGTGGTGGCTGTTTTTTACATTGTAATTGGTGTTCATTAACTCTAAATATGTATAGTAAGTGGTGACGGCCTCTTGTAAGAACATGTTTTAAGGTAATTTTTTGGGTTTAGGGGCACAGAATTGTTTGAACAATTCAATGGTTAGGTGGTATAGAAAATATAGAGCCTTTTAAAGTTTAAATATATTTAAATTTTAAAGATTTTTGTATATGGTATGTTATGTAGGTATTCCATCCTCTTTTTGATGTTGTATGGCACTGATAATATATTCATTACAATAGCAATATCATTGAATTTACGAATAGTACGACGCACTTTACCCAATTACTTGACAATGTCGTCGTATGTTCTATAATTATGTTTGGTCAAAACTAATTTGGTCGATATTCGATGCGCCTATATATATACAAGTTTATTAGGTTTACATTGACTTCCAGATGCCGTTTGAAGCTCGACTTTTAACATTTAGTTTACAAACATCAACAGTTTGCAATTGTGTTTTAGTTTTTGAATGGAAG